CCACACCGCGACATCATCGGCAGCGCACGTGAAGACGAGGATGTCGAAGCGACTTCAGCCACACGACCCACTGTCCCCATCGAGCTATTTGGCAGTTTCTCTTCTCTCGCCCGGCAGCCTCACAGCGCTGTTGTTGAGCGAGCAGATGGTTATGATCATGTACCAATAGACACCCCAGTCGAAATGGCCGCAAATCGATCCGACACCCTCGCAGATCAGCTCGGCCGCATCCAGCTAGACCGGCCATCATCATCAACTGCCCTGCCGTCGCCTCCGACATCGACACAAGGCCCTCCTGGCAGCATACCCAGCCAGAATGCCACGGCCATGTCGGAATCACTCCCCGCAGACGATGGCATGGCCCATCTCCGCACGCGCATCCATGAGATCAGAGCAATGGCCATTCCAGACCAAGATCGTGCTCGCATGATCCACGGCTTGATGACGGAAAAGTACAACTTGATGCGGCCAACGTCTCCTGCCAGTCTCGTGTCACACGACCGTCCTTTTACCCCCACCTCTGGAGAGTCCCTCTTTTCCGAAGTCCACGCCTCGTCGCCCTACTCATCCACCTCCGACACGAACCCAGACATCCCCTACAATCTGCGCGAAGGCGACACCAACCCAACGTATCGACCTCAAAGCCACCACCACAATAACGGAGAGCATGGCGAGGAAGAAGAGGACGACGTCATTGAAGGCGAGCTTGTCCTCGGTTGTCAGCACTACAAACGCAATGTCAAGGTGCAATGTTTCGAGTGTCGCCGCTGGTACACTTGTCGGCATTGTCACGATGCAGTCGAAGACCACAACTTGAACCGAAAGATGACGCAGAACATGCTATGTATGCTGTGCGGAACACCCCAGAAAGCGGGTGACGTCTGCATCAACTGTGATACAGAGACTGCATGCTATTATTGTGACATTTGCAAGCTCTGGGATAACAACAGCAAAAAGAAGATTTATCATTGCCCAGACTGCGGTATTTGCCGGCGAGGCGAAGGCCTGGGCAAAGACTTCTACCACTGCAAGGTAAATCCACCGTCCTCAATCTATTTTATACTGTGCTCACAATTCTCAGAGCTGCAATGTCTGCATCTCCATTTCCCACGCAACCACGCACAAGTGCCTGCCACGCGCTACTGAAGGCGACTGTCCCATCTGCGGCGACCACCTTTTCACTTCGTCTACTGCGGTCGTATCAATGCCTTGTGGCCACTACCTGCACAAAGGCTGTTATAACCTCTACATGCAGACTGCTTATAAATGTCCCATATGCAAGAAGAGTGCCGTATGTATGGATTTGCAGTGGCAGAAGTTGACTCAGGCAATTGAAGGTCAACCAATGCCAGAGCAATTTGCAAACACCCGAGCAATTGTACAATGCAATGACTGTTCGGCAAAGTCTTCGGTTAAATATCACTGGCTTGGAAATCAGTGTTCAACATGCGACTCATACAACACGAACGAACTCCGTATCCTGAATGGACCGGAGAGTGAAGAGGTCGCTAACGCGATCCTGGATGCAGACATAGATTCCGGATCGCGATCACCCGTAAGCGTCAGCTCACCCTCATCTCAAGCCCCGCTTCGTTCGCCTCGATACTATTTTCAACCGGATGAACCAGAAGGGACATGGCTTCCAGGTCAGCTGCCCTCCTTTCCATTCCAGATGCCGCAGTTCCCTGGAAGGCCCCGGATGTTGCAGATGCCTCAGATGCCTCAATTCCCGTCTCTGCCAAACTTCCCACAGATGCCCCAGTTCCCGCAAATGCCTCAAATGCCTCAAATGCCTCAGATGCCTGATGCGGCGCAGCAGATGCTGGAACGGGTCCGCAGGTCATTTGATACTTACCTCAACCCCACCGGAGATGTCCGCGCCGAAGACGTACCGATCATCGACTTGGGACATGAGGAACGCACTGAGCGCTCGGCTACGGATGGTACTAAGGTTAAAGAACCATCTCTACCTCAGTACGTCTTGGAGCGCTTTACCCAGTCCCTGGTCCGCTTCCGAAACGATTTGAATCCGGCACTATTCGAAGATATTCCAAATCTAGATTTGGCTGAAGATCACGATCCTGATGGACTGCAGTTTTGGGGCGAAGACGGCGGACGGCTTAATCGCTTCGTCAACGGTGGTGATGACGATGGTGACGACGGCGAAGAAGAAGAGAGCGACAGTGATGACAGTGAGCATTTTGACGAAGACGAAGAGGAGTACGAAGACGATGATTATGAGGAGACAAAGGACAAGCAAAAGCATGGCAAAAAGGAGTTTGATCTACCAGGTCACATCTAAGGCGCATACGGGTGTTCTGGGCATGATAAAAACGAGTGCTGTATTGCGTGAGTGGGGCGTATTTGTGGCGTTTTGACTCAAAGGTTAGAATTGCAAGAGAGTGCGTTGTATTTAGACTCGAATACCCAAGTAATGATACACCATGACTGAACAATAGCTTACCATTGATGGCATCCTGTCTCACGTGTTTTGTGGTCCGTGCGCGTTGCGCTAAGTAAGCGACCACAGCGATTTTCGTGGTTCTGAAATTCCGAATTCTACGCCTCACCTCGCATCCTCAACGTCGACTAACCCCACAGCGAGACCCTCTGTCCGTACGTACCACGATATTCCCATGAGTTTTGTTTGCGTATTTTGGGTATTGCTACGACAGCGCGCTATAGCAGCTGCGAAATCCGAGCTCCGCGAAAGGCTATCCGAGGACTTATGCTAACGTGATTTCTGTATAGAAATGGCTCCCACTACTAAGTCCGCCGGCAAGAAGTCTGCCGGAAAGACCGGCCGCAGTGCGATCGCTGACGTCGTCGCCCGCGAATACACGATCCACCTCCACAAGCGCGTATGTTGATTCAGTTTAGTGAAGTCCACAGATGGTCTCGCACAAGCTTGGATGGGCGCTCAGTCAGGTTGATGACACTGAACTGAGCGGCTATGCTCGCGCATGCAGGCATCGGGCGGAAGACTGAAGGCGAACATTAGGCTAATAGATTGGGGATATAGGTCCATGGCGTAAGCTTCAAGAAGAGGGCCCCCAGGGCTGTCAAGGAGATCCGTGCTTTTGCTAAGCAGGCTATGGTACGTGAACACCGAATTTAGTCGGAGGGCAATGTCTGGTGACTGCTGGCATGGTCTCTGCTGGGACATTTTATGGGATATGGAAGTGGATGCTAATGCTATATTAGGGCACCAACGATGTCCGCCTTGACCCTCAGCTCAACAAGAAGGTCTGGGAGTCTGGTATCAAGGGCGTCCCATTCCGCCTCCGTGTCCGCATCTCGCGTAAGCGTAACGACGAGGAGGGCGCCAAGGAGAAGCTCTACTCCTACGTCCAGGCCGTCAACGTCAAGGACCCCAAGGGTCTGCACACCCAGATTGTTGAGGATGCTTAGATGGGATCGCTAAGGGAGGGAATGTAAGATGTGCATATCAAAAGCATGGCGTTCCGGCGGGATATGCTGAGTAGCTACTATGGATATGTAGAGCGAAAAGCTGGTGAAATGATACCTCAATGACAGATCATGCCCCGCCACGTTTGATGGTTCAACAACGTTGGATTTTGACCCAATTGAAGTCTTTGCGCAGGTTTTGTTTGACGCGTGATGTGTAGTATTGGAGTGAGTTGTGGCGTAAGTGCGGATGGTAGGGTTGGGATTGCTACTACAGAGCGTTGTGCAGTTAGTAGTAGGTAATGGAAAGACGAAAGCGAGGGTATTGACATGGAGGTGCAAGTGTCAGGTGGTAACTCTTTGACCATTGCCTCGTGGTCAATAATAGTACTGTTTGTTATGTAGTATACGAGTCGTGCAGGTTAGGCGAAAGAGGTACCATGGATGATGGAGATGGAAGAAAGTCACATGGGATCTAAGCAGTGGTGTGATGTGTGCAAAAGGCGGTTGCGCTTGTGTTTGTTGTTGATATTGGTCATTTTAAAAGTATTAGACGACTCAAGTATATCAACAGCTAACATGACTGCTGACCTCGGCTGAGGCGCGAAAATGGGGGGGCACAAGACGACCATGGCGTTGTTGCAATCTCCATGGTAGTTTAGCACCAGCACCAGCACCAGCACCAGCCGCTGGTTCGACTGGTGGTCCACTTGTGCCAGAGCGACAGCGGGCCATTGTACAGCATGTGCTTGTCGATCGGCTGGAAATTGTAATGTAGTCAGTCGTGTAGTCGTTTGTCGGTCCAGGCTGCGAGATGACATGGATGGGGGTAGAAATGAGGAGAAGGGCTGGTGTGCCGTCTACTGGTGATCCGAGGGCAGCCGATCGGCGCGTTGATTGTGTGGAGAAATGGAACCGAGATTCGTCGTGTCTGGTGATACTATAGACGAAGTGGCCGTCACCATGGAAGCCATTGGCCTACTATAGCTTTTGCTTGGCGGTTGTTTGCCACCCCTGTTGCAGCAACGGCTCACCCCAGCCAGAGACCCTGTGCTCATCACACGCACACCAATTACAGCCCGTCTCATCAAGCGAGGGCCAGCCGCCAGGTGCTGGTCGCAGTCGGGTGTTTGCACGACAATCAGCCTCGTCCTTGCCAGTGTGTCCAACACGAGATGCATACGCTGACACACTTCGCGCACATCGATCGATATACACAGCCACCGACAAAACGGTTTTCTTGAGTCCTTGGTTGATCAGTTCACCCCACATATTCCTAGTGCTGCATTAGCACGCGGTGCCCTTGTGATAGGAGCGAGTATTGGATAGGAGGCGAAAACGTCCATGCGGGAAGGGAAAGACCTCTTGGTGCATTGAAAATCACTAATTTTGGGGGCTTGCAGCCGGCGCCCTAGGCCGATAAAGTGCCAGGTAAGCTCCGATGGCGCCTCTGCCAATCTCTACCGCGTTAGCACGCCTGACATGGCGCAGGGAAAGTGCTGGGAATGCACTGATGTTTCTAGCATCACACTAGTTCCGGGGAGGGAAAAAGGGTGGGCTTCACGGGTATTGGGTGCGCGCGCACTGAATGGGCAAGGCAAGAAAAGGAAGGGAAAAAAGGAGCTAAGCCAAGGTGCATGCATATGTCGTGTTTGTGCGCTGTCGACCGAAGAGGCCTGGTCTGAGAGTCTCTCGCGGTGCCGGGGAGGGGGGGGCGCCAGAGCATTTGTTTAAATGTCTCCCCCAGACGGCCCTCCCGCCTGGTTATCCCCTCTCCCTTCGTTGCTGTTCCGTCGTTGTCGTCGTCTCACCCAAAAAATAACCTAATACCCCATCATTCGCTCGGGGTTGCTCTCGCTTTTACAACTTTATAATACTCTTTTAATCAACCCAGGCGTCGCTGTTTCCCCGTTCCCCCCGACCCTGTAACCTTACGTTCGAGTCGAATACCATCAAGATGCGTTTCTCCACCGCCGTTGCCGTTGCGCTCTCCGCGTCCGTCAGCCTCGTCGCTGCCCAGAACAAGTGCGATGCTCAAAAGTACGTTTATCTGGTCCATACGCGTCATTGTTCCTAGAGAAAAGATGACCCAAACTAACCCCCCGAACAGCATCGTTGACACGTGTGTTTCCGGCTACCAGTCGCGCATCGACGCCTGCAACAAGAAGGGCAACGACTTCATCTGCCTGTGCGACGTCTACCGTGACGTCCTCGTCTGCTACAACAACTGCCCCAACTCGCTCGACAAGCCCCCAGTCGAGAACACCGTCACCTCGTACTGCAATGCTGCTGAGCCCCTGCGCGCCGCTGCTTCCAGCTCCATGGCTTCCGTTGCTAGCGTAGCCGCTACACAGTCTCACGCCTCGGCTACCAAGACCAGCGAGCCTTCTGCTACTGGTTCCGGCTCTGGCTCTGGCTCTGCCAGCTCTACTTCCCCAACTGCCCCTGCTTTCTCGGGTGCTTCCGGTGCCGACAAGAACAGCATCAAGGCCGGTGCTGCTCTTCTTGCCCTGGTCGGTGCTGCCGGACTTTTGTAAGAAGTGAGAATGAGAGTTTGAGAGGGGGTAACGTGGGTTTGGGTTGGAAGTGTGGATAGGATCAATTTCAATTGGGACAAGCATTTGCTATGCCTGTTGGATCACTGTTTTTTTTGTCTTTTGTCGTGTCTTTCTTGCCTGTGATTTTGTGCATTCCAATTTTTTTGAGCTTTGCGTGAAACAGATATCACTCTTTTTTTTTTTTAACAAAGTAAATCTATTATATGCCCGATCAAAAGCAGACCAACTGATAAGTACCATAACCCCATATCAAGTTGTGCATATCACATGTCCTCTTTTTACTCCTTAATCCTCCCATCCTTGACCATGTCCCGAATAGCATCAATACTCGAATCCACCGCCTTCTTCGCCATCTACATCACAACGTTAGCTTGTTGCACTTCCCCACAAAAGGTCACCCGGTTCTCCGCATCTTCCCCCCGCCCTTCCTCTTAGGTAATCCCCAGCCCAACCACCCAAAAAAAGTAAAAAGGAAAGAGAAGAAGAAAAAGAAAGAGCAAACTCACTCCCTTAAGCCTCGCCAACTCCTTGTCCGCCTCCTCCGTCCCTTCCTGCACATTAGGCAACCGAAATTCAAACACATACGTCATGTGCAGATCCTCGACCTCCCCCGATGCACCGTCAGAAATAATGTTGCGAATATGAGATCCATCTTCTTGTTCGAAATCAACCTAAAAAAATAAATAATCATCTCTCTGTTAGCCCATCATCCCCTTGAAAGCAACTGCGTCCGAAAAAAAAAGGTAGGGGGCGGGGAAGGGAAGTCAAGGGAAATAATAAGAATGTATAACTAGTAGTTAGTTAACATACCCAACTCGGCCAAAACCCCCTCACAACCTCGCGAGCCGTGTCTTTCGGTCCCATGCCCTTTTTAAACACGACATCACGCGTCACCACTCCATCGGCACTTTCTTCGAGCACAGTGCACCTTTCAATCACGGGCACGAATTCCTGTGCAAGCCGGATTTTGCGCTGGAGTCCTGCCCAGAGTTGGGGTTGTGTGAGGACGGGTGTGGCGCCGGGTGGGTTGATGCGCGAGGTATGGGCGAGGTTGAAGTTGACCATTCTGTTCTTGCCTTTCTTTCCTTGGTTCTTCTTTTGCTGGGTTTCTTTGCTGTATATGTGTGTGTGATGTGACTCTTTTTATTTAGGCCTTTTTTGGGCTGTTGATATTGGGATGGTAGAGTGTAGATCGTTCTCTTGAGTGGGGTGAAAATCGATTGCGAGGAGATGCTATTATGGTGGAGGAGGATGGGAAATACAAAGATGGATGATACAACAACTATATACCTAACCTGCACCTCAACTCCTCCTCACACCACCACCCCCGAATTGCCGAAGCGCGAAGATGGATAAGCAAAGACTCATGAGCTAAGCAAGACGTTTTGCCCATCTCCATTCTTCGGCTCCACACATATGCCGTCCGAGCATACGCATGCCCAGCTTTTTTTTTCATTTTGCTTACACAATCCCTCGCTGTTACGGTGTTACCGGATGCGCCCCCCGCAACTCCATGTTTGTTATACACATAACTACACAAACATACAAACACAAAAATAACATCCATGCATAAAGTGACTAGTTTTCTACTACCAGAGAGGGGAATTTGGACAATGTACAAAAAAGTCTTTTTCGTCAACAATAATCGTTATTCTTCATACTGACCACGCGCTCGGTGTTAAAAAACAATAAAAAGCGCTACCCTTTCCTCGTCCCGTCTCAAAGCACCCCCAAAACGCCCATGGAGCACTTGCATGTCCTCGCAAGCCTACGACATATCCTCCCTCCCCTACAATGCAGTAAAGCGAGCCAGGTCAAATATAGTGCGGAAAGCGGAAGAGCATCATATGCGATCCAAAGAGCGCCTTTTTTTCTTGCTCGCCAGACTAGTTGAAGCTCTTTTCTTGACTTCGCGTATTTTGTACATTGGCATAGAGCCAACAGAGGTCTCCGCCGGACCTAGGGCCGCCATGGCGGTTCATGTGCAATATTCCAATGAGAAATTTGTGGTTTTACTCTTGACCAAAGCCAACAGTTTCTTCAACAGCAATGGTAAGTTTCTGGTTGAGTACCTCATACGTCTTGTACGGTGGTAGATCGAGACGGTTAAAACTGTTAATCCAGTTAGCTCCTGTCATATTACAACGTTTGCCCAATCGACATACCATGTGTGAGACTTTGGCAGTTGGTTTGGCTCGCCAGCCTTCTCGATTGTAAACCTTCTTGGACCATCACTACCCTGCAAATCCTTGAATCCGTTGACGGGAATACGCGATGTACCCGTGGCGAACTGCAATAGACGAGACTTTTGTTCCGCGTCCCAGCTGCGAATGCACTTCCAGAAGTTTTGGATAACTTCGTCATTCTCAGTGTAACCGCGGTAGTCGGTGTGCTTCTTCCAGTCATCCACGTCGATGTCTGCTATACCACCGATAAGCAACTCTAGTTCACGTTCGTCGAAGACGTTGACGAGGTCGGCCGGAATCAGCTCGTGGAAACCAGTGATGAAGGCCTGGAATTGTTCTTCGACACGTTTTTGGATACGCCATTCCGTGATGAGTCTATTGTGGTCAGCATGCTTATCTGGCAAAGTTCAAACAGGGTCCACATACTCGACGTATTCGTGCTTGTTCTCGTTCGTGACCTCGATATTTTCACCTCCAGGCTTCAGCTCAATGCTGACGGTCTCGCCAAAGCGCTCGTCGTCGGTTGAAAATGTCAGTTCCAGGGCGTCCGTAATGTCATTATTCCTATTGTCCGTTAGTCTCGAATCATTCACAGGTGAGACTGCAGACTTACAGCATCCATTCCAAGTTACGATGGAAATCGGCATCTACACCCTCCATGTCCTGTAGCGAAACCTTCTTTTTAAGGATCATCTTGTAGAACGCTCCAATGAAAAAGGCATCCAGGAAACGACGGTGGAAGATGGCCAAACCCACGACACGACCAATGAACTTGAAGTAGTTCAAGTGCTCAGGGTTGATACCGGAGTGGGGGTTGATTTGGAGAGTGTAGTTGTCATGTGCAGAATATTCAAACAAACAATAGAAGGGATTAAACATCTCGTGGGAAAGCAAGAAGAAGAATTCTCGGGAGAGACCTCCGTAATCAAGACCGTCTTCACCATCGAACTTGATCATCAGTCTCTTCTTGAGGTCGGCAGCGCTCTGCCGCATGATCTCGTGGTAGGAATCCTCGAAAATATGCGATCGGCGCACCTTGACGTGACATTGACCACTAACAATGCGGAGCGCTGGCTGCGACCTGAAGTAGATGAGCTTGCGACGGAAATCGCGCTTGTATTGAGGCACGTTCTGATCCAGTGACGAAGGTAACCTCGGGTCGTCCCACGTAGTAGTCTTTGTGTTGTGGTCCACAAAGTACACTCTTGCCGTGTTGGTGAGACGCATTTCCCATCCTGAAGGTAGTGGGCCAAGCTGAGAAACGGGCTGCTGCTGAATAGTGCTACCGTTAGCAGCCTGACCGCCGTACATGCGGATGTATTGTTGTCGGCGAGGATCCACCCATGTTGTCGTTCGTGTGTTGTGATCAACAAAGTACGGTCGGCCTTCGGGGGTATGGCGCTGCTCCCAACCAGACGGAAGCTCTCCTGTACCAGCAGTGGTTGCTCCCGTTGCCATCATGCTCGCGGCATTCGCTGCCGAGCCGCCAGGCGGTGATGGCTGGCGCTCGGTCAGGGTAGGCGAATTGGCACCTGTTCGGTCCTCTGGCAACATCCGGTTCTGATGTCGCATGCGTTCCTGCTGCGTCTGCGCTGCTACATCTCGGCGCTGGTCTGCCTCGTTGAAACCCGCGCCCGGTCTGATCCATGTAGTTTGCCTGGTGTTGTGGTCGACGTAATATGTTCGTCCCAAGTGATCTTCACGGCGTTCCCAACCATTTGGTAGTCTTCCTTGCGCATCTTCGAAAGCACTGTATGCGGCACCAGCACTGTTGCGAGCTGGAGGCGCCCCATTGGGTGCAGGCCCAGGCCCTGCAGGTGGGCCAGTCGGTCCACCCGCTGGAGGGGCTTGGCTCTGGCGCTGGGGAGCGGCTTGACTGGCGGCCGAGGCTCGATTGCCTGGATACACATCGGGAGGATGGAGGTTTGAAGTCGAGTGCTGTGGGGTAGAGGCAGCGCCGGGGATGGCGCCGTTGGTGGATGGGTGCGGAGACGCATTCGGGCGGGTGGCATTCTGGGATCCTTGGCTGATGGGAGTAGATAGATTAGTGGAGAGATTAAGAATGAGCTTGCCGTGAACGACCATGTTGTCGTTGGACTTTTTGAGATCGCGCGTGAGCATCTCTGGACTCGAGTTAGCAGGTGCGATCTGTGCCGAAGGGTCCCACCTACCGTCTCCGCCAGCGTCAAGATCTATTACCGACCCGATGCGGACGTTGATGACACCCAAGAAGCCCTGGTCCTTCTTCTTGAACTTCTTCTGGTCAAATATTTGAACCGCCAGGACGCTTTCTTCGTTCACTCTCCTATCCCGTGTGTTAGTGTCGAGCGAAAGCGTAGGAGGGTGTGGTTGTGGTGGAGGGCGTGTAACGTACATGTCGAAGCTCTCGTTCCAATAGGGGTTCAGCGTCTTCTTGATGACGCTCGTGGTGCGCGTCTGCTCGCCATTGATGGTGGCTACGGCGAAGGGGTCGGGAAATCCTGTGGGGCATGCGTCAGCGACGCGACCAAGGCCAAGTAGGTGAGGGCATACGTACGAAACACATCGCGCTTGTAGAGTCCATCAGCGGCAATGACTGTATGGTGTTAGCTTCTGGCAAAGCCCACGGGAGGGGGAGAAGGCTTGTCGTCTGGTCGGAGGTGAGACGTACTGGTGATGCGCAGGTTGGGCTGGCCTGCGCCGTCCATGATGCTGGAGATGCGCAGTGATGCAGCGCAGGATCAAGGCACAACAAGGAGCAGCAGGACACGGGGCGAAGGCGTTGCGAGGGGGATGCGGCTCTCAGAGCTCGCAGAGGTGAAAAGAGAGAGAAGGGGGGTGGGCGTTTAGTGTGGTGGTGATGTTTCGCCTTGGTTGGCTCGCTGAGGGTGACGAGGGTGGTGGTGCTGGAGGAGGCTGTGCGTAAGGAACCGCCCGTGCGCCGCTGCGAAGGCAAATGCGACTGGCGTCGAGGGTCGTGCCCAGAGAAGATCCGGCGACGCTGAGAGTGTAAGGGCTTATTCAGGGTTGTGTAATTGTGTATGTATATGCGATTATGTGAGGGCAGCAGGAGCAGCCACTAGACTAGTCAGTGTGTGGCCGGTGTAGAGTGTGCCTGGCCTCGCTCGTGGCGACTGGCGTGATGTTGGGCACTGGAGCACTGGAGCACTGGAGCACTAGAGGGGGGCGAGAGCAGCTGCTGAAGGCTGCGATGGCCGGAAGGTGCCTTGAGTAGGAAGGCTTGGCGCTTGCCCCGCAGGCACGCTGGGCGATGCGAACTGGTGGTGACGGGAGGGCTAATGCTCACCACGCTCACGATACAACAGTCTTGGAGGCAGAGCGATGCTGCACCGGGCGAGCATGCCACTGTCTGCTTTAATACCACTGCCACTGCCACTGCCAGCACTACTCTCCCCCTCGGGCATCATCTGTGCGTGGGCTGTCAAGTTTCTGCTGCTCCCTCGCAAGATGCATGGTGTCGATGATGTCAAACCAGGCGATGGCAGGCCCAGCACCCACCAACCCGTCCACTGCATCCATGGCCCCAGATTGACCGCAGGGCTGCGCGGCCATGTCTTGCATGTCACCACTTTGCTGCTCCAGCCGTGTCCAACCCGCCGTTGACGACCTCTTGGTACGCCTCAGCTCTTGTTTCGCGGTGCTGGGCGCTGCTCCGCCCCGGCACACGCCTCGTCGACATGGGATCAGATGACGGCTGCCTCAAACGCATTGCAGACAAGTCGTCAAAGCACCCCCAGAGCCCGTCTGTCCTTTGCATTTGCATTCTCCTGCCACTACACTACACTACACTACACTACACTACTCATGCGCCACACCCAATCCACACCTGCCACCGCCACCGCCACCGCCACACCACCCCTCTATGTACACTACCATCCGCGCCTTCCGCCTTATCGCCCCACACCCGGACTCGGACTTGCTCATAGCCCGCCACCACCTCAACAATAGACTGACTGGCATGCAGCAAACAAACAAAACAATCAACAATGCATTCAGTAGCAGTTAACCCTCTGCGACTAACTCCCAAGCCCCAATCCTCGCCAGACTCCTCGCTGTTGATGCACCTCTATTTTTGTACATATGTAGTACCCTACTCCCGGAAACTATCCCCAATCTCCATCTTCCTCATGCCCAGCAACGCCCTGAACTTGAGATATGTCTCGTACCCACTCAACTGCATCTCCACCCTCATGTACCTCGTCCATGCCGCTAGCCAGTACAAAAAGTTGGTGGGCCACAGTATAGATCCCCCGAGGTTGTCCAAGCACTCCTCATACACTGTGCGAGACGCGTACCGGGCAAGAATAAGAAACGTGCGCACCGGTCCCTGGCGCGTGTGCAAGCCCTCGTCAAGCGAACGTGCTAAATGCCAACCGTCAGAAAAGCTCTTCCAAAAAAAAGTGTATCGTGATGCACATGCAAAGACTTACTCAAATCGTTCGTCTTGAGAATTAGCAGAATGACTCTCGGCACTTGACCCAGTAGTTCAATCAGGTTCTCAATCAGCCCTTCTCCCAGCGCATCTCCAATCACCTTCTTCTCTTCGCTTGTCCTCGATGTCATCACACCCCCACCTCCATTCTCCTTCTTTGCCAGTACAGTGTAATCACGACCCGTAATGGCTGATGCAAAAAGCGGAAAGTGCTCATCCTTGATACCCGCAACTTCATATGCATATTTCCGCATACCCGCCTCATCCGCGTCTAGCACAGCGAGCCAGAGCTTCGCATAGCTGCGTCGTATGGGCAAAGGGATATCGCGATACAATCCGTGGTCATAGAGAATAACGTCGAAATTGTTCTTGCCGCCTCGCGCAGGATTGTGCCGAATAGCAATGTTTCCACCGTGGGGATCGCAGTGCAGCGGTGCGTCCTTGCCGAAAATCATCTCGTTGAATATACGTGCCAGCGCCGCAGATACCTCGTCCCTATCAATGCCATACTCATCCAGGCTCTTGAGATCGTCGGTCCGGAATCCAGATACGTATTCCATGACCAGCAGCCGTCGCTTGGCCCAGAGCACCTCGGGTATGATGACCGGTACCTCGCGGACGTGGGAAAAGTACTCGCGTGCGCGCATGGCGTTCTTGCCCTCGAGGGTGAAATCCAGCTCTTTGGGGAGAGATTGCTCCATTTCATCGGACAGCCATGTGAGATCGTACTCGGGGAACCAGCGCTTGAGCGTGGCAAAGGAGAAGCTCGTCAGCGCCAGATCGAGCCTGGCCCATTCATCCAACGCAGGATGCTGCACCTTGACTGCGACTTTTTGCCCCGTCTCGCGCACCGTAGCCCGATGTACCTGAGCCAGTGACGCGGCGCCAATGGGTCGCTCTTCAAACTCGGAAAAGAAGTCAAAAAGCCCCAAACCCGTGTCTTGCCGGCACATTTCCTGTATTGATTCGAACGATGAGACTGGGCACTTGTCTTGTAGCGGGATGAACGTATCACACCATTCGTTGGGGAGGAGATAGTTCATGCTGCTGAGATGTTGGCCCAGCTTGACAAATATCGACCCGTTCTTCTCGAGAGTGCGAAGCGTGCGTTTGGCGCATCGAAGGTGGCACGCCTTGAGTTGCTCATTGTAATCCGGCTCGTCGTCGCGCTTGAGCACATGGCGGTAGCTGTGCAGAAAAGAGTGGCATTAGCTACCGATTTTGTTGTCCCATAGAGGTTACCGCATTCCATGGAACATACTCTCTGATGTTCAGTACCAACGTCGAAACTACCCGGTAACTCCTCTGTGCAGCTACGTAGACGTGTCTGGCATCTTCATTGAAGGTGACTGCTGCTGTGCCAATGACGAGTCCGCCTCCTATCAGAACCAGTTGTCTCCGTCTCTTGCTGCTCTTCGCACTCCTCCCCGCAGCTTTGGCAGCAGCATTCGCAGCCGTACTTTCATTTGCAAATGCCCTCTGCGTGCCAATCCCTCCCGTAAAGCCATTCTGCCCAGCACGTGTGCCCCGTTGTTGCCATAGACTCTGCCGTTGCGGGATTCTCGTCGTCGTCCGTCGTTGCGATTGTATACAGGCTCGACACGTCCACGTCCTGCGGAGCAGCGGACTCGAAAAAGCGCTAAAAGTCGACATCATGTGCGCATGGCCGGCGCGGTGGGCAGCATGGCAGGTGGAGTGGCGTTCAAATTGAGAAAAACATCAAAAAAAAAGCTCAACCGCCTCACGGCAACCCGTCCGCTTCTAGCCACAACGTCGTTCGGTCGACATTTTTCCATTGAGACGTAGCGCCGAATCAGAACGCCGCAGACGCAAAGACCCCTGGTCGGCCTTGCAGCTTGCGGCGACCATCCACACTACCGAACTGCAGCTTGCAAGCCTGCATCCGTACCCTCGCACTACATCACATCACATCACATCACGCATACACACATGCGTACAACCCCCCATACGCTCCATCCCCCGCATATTTGAACACACGACCGCTTAGCAATGTAGTGGTAAAACGCTCAAGTCAAACATTATACAACTAGCCCTCCTACCCCCAAAAAGTAGTGCAACATCATCAGCCTTTGGCTCCAAACGGGTATAGCCGCCTCTACCCCAAGTGTCAGTCCGCCATTCAAACGCCAAGAAAACTTCTCTACCGTCTTTCTCACCCGCCATCGTCAAGTGAGCAATTGGTCGTTATTTCGTACGTTTCGTCGTGAAACAGGCCCCAGACACTAATTCAGCACAAGCACACTGCCGAGTGAATCTCGGCAGTCCCTTGTTCCCCCTTCCCCCACAAAGCCGTTTACCACATATCCTTGTTCACATGTCAATCGTTTCATTAAAGCAGAGTACACCGTTCCCCTTCAGATAGCCGTCAACTCCCTCGGGTGTGGTTTGCCGGCGTGGATTTGCGACATGTAGGCTTCCAGGCTGCGCAACGTTTTCGGTTGGGGAATCTCTAATGTCTGTTACGAGAACGAGGCCGGCCGTCTTTATGGACTCGATTAGGGCAGGAGCAAGCGACTAGATACTGTCAGCTGTCGAACTTGTCTTCCATGACAAAATACTCACCAGCAGACGAGAACTGCATATCAGACCCATGAAGTTGTTGTCTCTTGCAATCTGCACTGCCTCCTTCACAGATATTCTCGTGCGGCCGCTGCTCAAGACAATGTGCGTACTTCCAGAAGGCGACCGAGAGCTGTCTGCGCCGAGTTCGTTGCAAAGGAGAACTGGATCTATATCAAGGTTAGCACCTACCATGTAAGCATTTCTTGACTGAGCACTTACAGTTGGGTTGCTTCCAGTTGATGACTGTACAGATGTCCTGATTAAAGGAGCTAAAGAGCACACTCCTCAGCGTACTATCAATCTCGCCCGCTCCGTGCTCTCTCAAATGGCGTGCGTGTTCGAAAACCACAGACAGAATCTTGTCTGCAAAAGTGTTCATGTCAAGTGTTGGCCCTAACTTGAGGCGTTCTTCTTCAAGTTTGGACGGGAACAGGACGTGCAACTCAACATGGATGTGAGCTGGAAGTGCTGCCAAGGCTTCCTTCAGGGTAATGAATGAAGATGCCATGACCTGGTAGATGTTGGGTATATCTTCTGCGCTAGCATTACTTAGCTCCCTAGCTAGCTGATCTGCGGTTGCGACAGCTTGCTGAGAACCAATAGTAGCAAATTGTGCATGCGTGAGAATGTTAACCGGAACTTCCAGGCCATGGTGGTTGACTTTCCACTGAGGATGCAGTACCGGTATACCGTCGGCAGTCAACTGAACGAACAATCGGACATACTCACCAGATAGGCTTGAACCTGTGATGAGAGTATGAGGCTGTGAGTCGAGCTGGCTCGTAGCCTTCCAGTACGTGGCAAAATGGGTGATCTCCAGTGGGATACCGTGGAAGGGTTTGACAACTTGAAAGTCAAAAGTGACTCTGCCAATCGCGCGAAGCCTAGGATCGAACAGCTCAAGATGCCATCGCCCTGTGCCTTTGGAACGCTCTGTAAACACCTTGGAGGAAGCTACGCTGCGTGCAATGACCTTTGATCCTATCGTAGGGTACACATCAAAGTCGATGGAGAAAGTATCCAGGTTCTCGATTTGGAACGAGATGACCTTGAACTCGTCCTGGATAGGTAACAGAATGTTGCGTGGTATCAGGTCCGAGCTTTTTGACGAGATTGTCAGTCTTGCGGCTGGGTATTTGGATTCGTCGTAGAAGCGGATCGCATCTTTACCAATTTTCTCGAAATTGATAACAACGAAAGTTTTGGTGTCTAGGAAATTGTGACCATATCTCCGGAACGGGATGATGGGAGGGGGCAGGATAAACTCGGGGATGCCGTCGGGGTCGCCCTCGATATCCATCGCTGTAGGCATCGAGCTCGACATTTGCGACGGGATCTGCGGGGAAGCTTGTTTCTGTGTCATCAGTCCAACGCCACGCCCTACAGAAGCAAGTAGTGTCATGCAATCAATGTGACCTTCCCATGTTGCGTAGTACATAGCAGACAGGCCCTTCTCGTCCACAATGTCCACATCGACTCCGCATTGGAGTAATGTTTGCAGACATTCTACATGTCCTTCACTCGCTGCGTGGAACAGAGGTGTCCATTGGTAGAGTTTGTCTGTTTGGTTAAGATCCGCGCCATATCTCTGTAGCAGGAGAAGCGCCTGTGGCGTCTTTCCCGATCTTGCCACCAAGTGCTGTGGAAACAGTCCCTCTGCATCTGGTAGCATCTCAGCAGATCTCTGTAGAAGAAGCTCAAGGATCTCTAGCGACGCGTATTGGCATGCGAGGTTGAGTGGCACATGTTCTCCAGGTCCCAGACGAGTAAGATCGGCGCCTCGTGATAGGAGAATCTCCACACATGCAAGTTTCGAATGCACAATCGCATGGATCAGTGGTGTAAAGCTGTCTTGGTCGCGAAAGTTTACCGTATCCGGGGCGGTGTTGATAAGTTCTTCGACCAGTTCGACATACCCATGCATGCAGGCATAGTGTAGTGGTATCCTGCCGTACACGTCTGTCGCATGAGCATCTACGTTGCTTGCAAGGCCAAGTTTGAGCACTTCAATGCGTCCGCTGATCGAAGCTTTGTGGAGACAATTTCGCTCATTGATTTCGTCTTCTTGTGCAAGATTCACAAGGTTTGAATCAAGAAGGATTTTCAGCGTAGATTCTGGCGCTTCTGCGACTGTGCTCAGGAATGCCCTTGAAACGTGCTCGCGCGCGTCAGGAAGTGTGGCTAGGCGAGCAAGACATTCTTGAGTCTTGCCTTGGTTTCCGGTATTGATGGCCTGAACAAATTGGTTGTCGAGCTCGATCTTGACGTCGAATGCAGGTTCGGAGAGGCGTGCTTCGGCTGCAGGATGGGGTGCTTGCACCCCTTCACCTTCGGCCCACCCAGAAAAATCAAACAGCGCCTGAGTAGCTTGATCGGAGAGTGTGCTGATAACTTCTCGGTTGAAGCATGGTTGGACTTCGACGGCGCGCGCAAGGTAAAGCTGTTTTTCTCTCGACTATTACTGACGTCAACCAGCGCCCGGAAATCTATGGAATTTGGCGGCAGACCTTTGATGTTTTGTCCCACTAAGAAGAGTTAGCAAACTCAGGACATAGGTGTTGAGAAATAAGGTGCAGCACACCTTTTTGAGGATTTTGGAGAAGGCAGTTTCGTTCACTTCGACAAATTGCTAGAGTCAGGTCAGTTTCGGCAAAATCCCCATTCCAAATGCACGTGAGCCAATCACCTCGAGTTTGTTGAGATCCATGCTAAACTGTTTTAGTCCCTCCTCTAGAGCAACGTAACGTGAAGATGTCTTTGAGACAGATTGCGGATGCTGCTGCATCACTCTTTTCTTGTCCAGAAGGGTTGTCAAGCGTAGACGCAACTGCGAGCATGGTGAGCAGGTGACGACACACAATCTGTGCGACGTACCTCTGCCTCCTTTTGCAAGTAAAAGGTATTGACCTTTTCAAGTTCGCGTTCCTGTTGCCATTGTCAAAATTTGACCTAGCGATTGCAAGAACCGGCAGTGCCTACCACTCTGAAGAAGAATGTGGCCTTGTTTGCCTGTAATGAGGTCTGAGGGTCGAGCAAATCATGATTGCTTCCTTCGCTCAGTGGTGGTATGACTGGAGTGGCGCTAAGTTTCTTGATAAGCTACACAAAACCCTATCAGCTACCATGTTGTGAAAAAAAAGGCAAAAAGTAGAAGGACCTTCTTGAGCGCTTTGTAGTCGACAAAGCTGGCGGCATATTCTGGGATTTCCAGTTGCCTTTTCTGTATGTGCTTTCCGAATTTCCTGGTGAAACGTGCAGAGTCAGTGGTGTCTTCCTTGGATGCTAGACTTGTTGACGAGGCCTTCTTGTTCAAGACCACCATAGGGCGGGGTTGGAGGGTGTCCATATGAGGGGGAAGACGTACATTGTGCTAACAGAGAGTGAAAAACCGGCGAATGTGTTCTCGAAGCCTCACGGCAATGCGCGTATGATGCACAGGCAACGGATGCTGGTCCAGATCGCGGTACAGATCTGGCCATACAGGTTGTGCCGAGACAAGCGTGTGGTCGTGCAACAGACGCCTATTCGGCAGTGGGGCCTGAAAACAAGGACAAATTGAGCTGAGGGTCGATGATGACAGCCCTGGCAGTGGCCGTGCGTAGTGGTCAAGCAAGTTGGTAAAGTGAAGTCATTCGGGATGCGGCTGTAGACACCCTGCAGAGAAACGAATCAGTCCAGAGATGGTTCTAGTCGGGCAAGTATTGGCAGGTGCCGAGCAAGGTGCCGGGCGTTCAGCGAAGAGCCGGTGGCTTGTTCTTAGAGGGCCACGAGACGAGGTTGAGCATACGCTGGCAGAAGATCAAAAGAGCCCATGTCGTTCACACGACAGGTGGTGTACTGGCGAATCAGAGGGCGTATAGGCGCCACGAGGTTGAACAACTGCTCACGCACTGTCGAGGATGTTAGGCTGGCAGGGGTCCACATTTGGCGATTCTGCCGAATTGTAGCGCCCTTGTCGGGTTACGTAAGGGCAAGTGCTGCCATTCTTTAGCTCAGACAGGTAGCTCAACCGCTTCCCCCATCACCGAGGTATGCACAGCGCTGTACGCGATGACCCCTCCAGCCCGATCCGCGGAAAAACAAAGTAAAAGAGACCCTCATCTCTACATGCTGCGTCATCATATCACCGACTGGTAAAGGCGCACTACACTGCTTGAGTACATGTACAGCTGCAGAGTGGGACGGCCCGGCTGCACGGTCAAACGCGCATACGCAGTAGCCGCCAGACAGGCATCGGGGAAATCATTGTGGCACTTAACCATGTTTCTTCTTCGCTTTCGAGACGACGTTGCCTTGCACGCCACCAGCAACGTCCTGTCTCCTTTTTTTAATCTGTAATCCAAGCCACGCTACCTCCAGGCCAGCCATGTGTCCATGCATCAAACGAACAAATGAAAGGTCTATAGGGTATTAGACCACAACGAACCCATTCCTGCTTGCCCGAAACTCTGACGGTGCATCAAATCGCATGCTTTCCATTCAACCCAACATCACCACCGCCACTTTTTGCGTCCTCCACAGTTTACCCCAACAGTCGCTCACAATCCATACATGTCCCATCCATCCAGGTCATTCGAGAGCTTACCGCTTGCAGACTCGTCGGGAGCGCCTTGAGCGTCGTAGGGCGTGCGTGTAGCCACGTTTGCTTCCAATTCGACGTCAAGTCACAATTCGTCGTCGTCCATTTCCGAGGGCTTCAGCAGACCGCCGACCTTCATGGCACGCTCGCGCTCCTGCTCCTTGGCCGTCTTGGCCGCTTGTTCGCGTTCTTCGGCATAGAGTTCGGTATTGTCCCCAGAGAACTCCTTCAAAGAAATCAAAAAGTCTCGGAGGATGACCTTGAACCGGTTCAGGTCCGAGTTGGTGGCAAACAATCCGTCAATGAATGATGCGATTTGGGCACTAGCACATGTCAGTAGATGCTACAACAAACAACAAGGGCAACGTACGTCTGCAGGTTGGGGAAGGCGGTTGCCAGGAGGTTGCCAACGAAATTTCGCAAGAATTCTCGGTTTGGTGTACCTGCTGGTGCCATGTCTGGTGATGTGTAGATTGGGCCTTGCAGCTTGTCCGAGTCAACAAGCCAGAACAACTTGGCCAACAACATTGACTGTGACTTGAACCCAGCCTTGTGGTCGCTGTCGGTGACAACAAAGAAGACATCTTGGAGGATGGTAGTGAAGAACGTTTGGAAGAAAGCATTGCAAGTCTGCTGGTCGGTTTCCGCCATGTTGGAAATGAGCTCAAAGCACATGGAGAGACCCGCACTTTCAACTTCGCGGTTGTCGTGCTTACTAGCCCACATGCACGAGTCGATGACAAACTTGAAGGATCGTGCATCCAGACGCAACAGGGCTGGGAAACAGCGGAGGTTAATGGTTCGCAGAAGTTTGAAGAACTCGACGCGGTGCTCGGGGTACTCTGAGAAGTCTTTGTTGATCATGTCCAATGTGCACTCGAAAACGCTGTCCATGATGTTGATGATTTGGTCCTCCATCATGCCCTGTGAGATTGTTAGCATAGAGCCGGGCAGTAGCTGAGCGAGTCCAACCATGTGCTTGCTCAGGTTGTGTCTCCAACGTACATGTAGTTTGTTAATGATGGTTGTCATTACGTTCAGCACTTCTGCTTCACGAGCGTCCGGAACGTTGTTCTTGTAGTCGATCAAGACGGCTTCCAAGAGCTTCGGCACAATGTTGTTGTGAATCATCTCCAGATCGTCGGCTTTCTCGACGTATGTGTTGATGAGCTTAAGGATTTCCTTCTTGATTGTGCGGAGCCCGCGCACCTTGGGCATCTTGGTCGCAATGTTGCCCTCCCGTTGAACCGCTTCGTCAATGAGCTGTGAGCTTGCACGGTACATTGTCAGCATGTCGAAGTATATCCGGCCAATTTGTGGGTAAAAGTAGGATCCGATAGACCCGCATGCTGCAACGTTAGTCTTCATGATGTTTCCAACAATCTTGATGACCTCGGAATCCTGGAGGCAGGCAGGGTTCTGGTTAGCTTGGGCAATGATGTTATCCCAAGCCGAGTTTGGCAGAGCCATCAAGTCGGCAATAAGGCGCTCCTGCATGCTCTTCTGTCCTTGTGCGCTGATCATGTAACCACAGGCCTCGTAGAAAGTGTGGACCTGTTGAGGCGAAAGGTCTGCAGTAATCTTCCTCAGGTTGCGAACAATCTCGTCAATGAATGGTTCCGTCTCGCCAGGCTGGAGAGCGACGAAATGTCTACGGCACTTGTTTGCAATCTTAATGAAGGTGTCGCAAGCCATGTCCTGGACACCCTCGTGGGTCTCGTGCATGAATTCGAACAGCTTGTTGACCACAGTCTTAAGGAATTTCCAGTGAGCCTTGAGGAATCGGGGATACTGGCCGACAATGTACATGATGTTACTGGCGACGACAGCTTTGTTGTCCTTTCCTCGCTTCATTTCAGTCAATCCCAAGAGATCCTTGATAACAGTGACCAAGAAACGCTTTTCAGTTTCCTCGTTCATGGCACCGGAAATAGAACCAATAGCCCAGCAGAGGGTGTTGCAGTTGGCCCATGACCATTCCGAACCGTCAACTTGACGAGCCAACTTCTCTGACATGATCTGCTCGGTGTCGTTAACGTCCAAATGGGTAAGGAAGACAAGACATTCCCTGGTAGATTTGTACAGCTGGATCGTGTCGCTCTCCTTGACGAATTCACGGACAATCTCGCCCTCGTCGTTCTCGACGATAAGAACCTCCTCGGGCCTGACCATCTTTTCAATCATGACCGTTCGGAGGTTGGAAAGAATCTCCGTGTACTTGTTCTTCCTCAGGGGGTAGTTTGCCAATTCACGCGCTCCATTTCCAGGGATGCCCATATTCAGGAGGGGGTTCATGTCGGTGATTGGGAGTGCTTGCATCTCATCATACAGCTCCGAGACAAGTTTGGTCCAGTACTCCAAGCAGATCTTGAAGACCTCACGATCGTCAATCTGACTAATACGAATGAGGTAGAAGTGCCCGTGGGTGAGGAAGTCCCTGTTCATTAGATTCTCAATGACACTCAGGTGCATTGTGAAAAAGTTGGTGAGGAACAGAGCGAGATTCAGTACGAACTCCTGGTCTCTGCTGTTGCTAGAAGAGTATGTGCTCTTCAAGTCAAGCGAAAGTGGAATAATCTTGGAAATAGCTGTTAATGTCTCGGTGAACATGGAAACAAGCTTGTCGTCGTAGGCCGGCTCTGTGTGGAGACCGGCGATCTCGGTGAGACATTTTAGCGTAATGTTGCGGAAGTCTGGCACTTCGAGGAAGCGACTTCGCAGCGTCTCGATCAGACTTTGGCCGCTGGGTGGCGTCTCAAAGATATATCCCAAAGGAATCCAGTTAAGGAAGCGCAGTAGCGTTTCCAAAGTTGCCTTGATGAGCGAGGCCTCGGTGGCTGTGCGCAGGACCTCTGAGCAGAGTTGGTAGATGGCGGTAAACTCGTCGCACATGCTCTGCTTGAGTTCTCGTCGTTTGGCCGAAGTCATCTGCTCCTCTGAGTAGTCAAAGACCTCTTCAGAGAGTAGGCGCAGAATGACCATGTTGTTCTCACATATTCCCAGGCTGCTATGGCATGATGATATGATTTCGTTGATAAAGGTGGGCCAGTTGTGGGGCCATTCCTGCTTCAAAACCGAAACGAGGACGAGATTGAGCTTGTTGAGGAGGGTGCGCTCGGCGCGGCGGGTGTCGTCATTGTTGGAGAGCTGAATAATGAAGTTGACAATGAAGTTGCGGATGCCTGGTGTGGTCAGCCTGGTTGCAGGAAGAAGTTTTTCTCAGTCATACCTTGACATTGGTCGCGGGGCAGCACCTTCCATCTGGTCATAATGACATTGTCGAGGACTTGGAGACCCAGATCTGCCCTCTTGGTTAGCGCCGTGGCTCACTGGTCTTGCATCGCAACCTTTGTCTTCACTCACACTTGGTCTGTGGATACTGCGCATCGGAAAGGATCTTGTCGACCAGAAGCCACGCATCAGGGTTTTCCTTGAACTATGCGGAAGTCAGCTGGGCAAGCTCATGCAGCGTCCGCAGAAATGAGGAAGCCTACCTGGTTCAGCGTAGCTTGAGCTTGTTTTTGCTGCGAGGAAGAATGTGTTAGCTATGCTCCAGGGCGTGCTGGGTAGCCCAAGGGGAGGAGAGAACATACTGTATCACCGCGGCCCTCGTAGAAGGCGCGCACTGTGGCGTCGAGCTCTTCAATTGACAGAGACATAGCGGGCTGCAGCGCGGCGGGAAAAGCTCCCAATCAGCCTGGAGGCGTCGTCTGTAGTGCCAACAAGCTTGACCAGCGGCTCTGCTTCAGTCGTGGCGGGGGGATGTGCGCGTCGGGCGTAGGCAACAGGCGAGCGCGCAGAGGGTGGTTGGATTGCAGAAGTTGTGTCTATGGGCGAAGGTGGGGCACTTGGGCCAAAGGGAGATTGTGCGGGCAGGCTGGCGGAGCGGGGAGGGCAAGTTTGTGCTGGCGGACGGGCGGGTTGGTGGAGCAAGAGGCTGTCGAGCTGCTCGTACAAACAAGAGGCTTTGGGCGCTGACGTCGCAGAAGAAGAAGAGGCACGGGTTGCGCGGTGAAGTCGCGTTTGTCAACCTGAACCTGGAACTACCCGTGCCGAGAGACAAGAGCACACACCACACCAGCGCTAGCAACTCCACTCTTGCATCTGCGATCTGCTCCTCCCCTGCTCTTTGCTCGCTCCTACTATGCATTTACTCATTCACCACCATCCCACCCTCATCTCACCCTTTACTGAAGCCTCCCTTTTCATGCTGTTGCCACCCCTCAATCGGGCAGCTGGTGGCTTACATCCACGTGCTGTCGTATGCAGATTCGTTATCTACTGCCCCGCCAAGCCATTGGAAAATGCCTTCAACACGAGAACAGCCTTATTACTAACACTCGGGTTACATGCCTAACCCAACCAAAACTGCCTTTCCATGCCTTTCCATGCGTATACCCAAGCAACACTAATCCTCCCATTCAAAAGGCGTCCATGGTACAGCAGAGTATATGTATATATCCATCCGTATGTTTAGGCACACTGCGAGCATCACGCTTTGGGCAAGGGCTCTCCTTGCATAACGCCTCTCGCCACACGACATTCCGGTTCAGCTCCCCGCATTTTCCATGGCCCCATACATGGCCAGTCTGCCTTTTCTCATGCCTGCTGTGCCGCCAAAGCTGAATCCTCTTGCACCTGCATTTAAATCCAAGACGCACCCGTCATCTGGCGACATGCAGTCATGCTGGGATCCACCTACTTGGACTACTTTCTCCGTCCCCACGATCTGAACTATGTTTCCAGTGACTTGTACCATCTACTGCCACAGTGTGCGGTTAGTCAAAACCCGCTGCTCATTACTTACGTTTGTAGATACAGTATCCTGACCTCACTAGATAGACTGTTTAGCATCCACCCTGGAGACACTGTCGGTGTGCTCTCCTAACAATGCCACATGCTTCTGTACCAATCAAGATGTCGCTCATAGCATGCATGTGTGTGCTGATAGAACATGTACCATCAAACAAGCCCTCACTGCGCTCAACATCACCGCGATCATGTGTCAAAGACCCGTTCGCAATCGCTCAATCCAATCCTTGACCGTTGCAAGCGTGAGCGGAAGTATTGCTACGATTTCAGTTATGTTGCGTTCCCTGGATGCAGTCCTCAATCGCTCCTTCCGTTGGGATGACGCCTGTTCTCTTGGCGCTGGATTGACCTTGATCCCCATGAACGCTATACAACTACGCATCGCATCTGCAGGTCTAGGCCGGGATGCATGGATGTTACCCTTTGACGATGTCACCTACATACACAAAATGAGCTGGCCACACACAACATAGTCTCCCGAACCCTCTCACTAAAATAAACAGCTGGAATGGCTCGGGAAATTCTTCTACTGGCCCACAACCGCCCTTGCGAGACTGGCATTGTTATTCATGTACCTCCGCGTACTTCCCCGAAAGAAGACAAGGACCTATACCTATACCGGCATGGCCTTCTTTTGCAAACCCGTTTCTCTGGTATGGACGGGCTGGGATGGTGAGCACAAGGGCTCATGCTGGGATATCAATCATCTCGTACTGTCCGCTGCTGGTGTTGCCGTTTTCTTGGATCTTCTTATCGCACTTATACCGGTCCCTGCCCTGTATCAACAATCAATGACTCTGGGAAGGAAACTGGAGGTACTTGCCATGTTCACTGTTGGTATATTGTAAGTAGACTCGTCTAGACGACTTTTCTTAGACCACGAACGCTAATAATACGTTTCTTACTGCAGTATCCTCGCCGTTTCGTGTCTGCGAATAGGATCTATCATTAACTTCGCCGAGTCACTGAATCCCACCTGGGATAATACGCCCGCCAACTACTGGAGTATCTTGAAAGCCAATACCAGTGTATTCTGTGTCTGCATGGTTAGTAGAAAGAGATCATCCCATGCTCTAAAATTTGCTGTGCTAAAGTTTCATAACCATAGCCTGCACTGCGTCACATAATTGTTCACCGACTGCCCTTCTTCAACACCAATCATCCACACAATACAGTCCCCGAGAACGGCGATGGTATTGAATACCCATGGGAACGCACAACGGCGCCTAGTGAGCAGATTGGAAGACGATCCAAGGACACAAGCCCTGGTACAGACGAAGCGGTTATGTCGGGATATCATCGAGCACAAGACGTTGAGCTAGTTGAACTTTGCGAAGGGCCCATGGGGGAGCACGTCTTGCTGAGACGGGGGATCAATGATACAGACGACATGGTGGAGGGAAGTGCGCGGCAAATGCCAGCAATGCCAAGTTTCGAGGATGATGACTGAGTACTATGATATGTTTGCATATGTAAATTCTTCTACAGACGCTTCTACAGAAAAAGTGCCTGTAACATACAATATATGTATTCGAGTCGCTCCATCGCTTTTTAAACTATATTATGAAACAAGAAAAGACAAGGAAAATGCCCTGCAACAATTGAACCTCCGCCCTAGAGTTGACATGAACGCCTCGCTTGTATGCACATCATGATGCCAAACGTCTTTTCATCTCATCTCCATCTCTTGCAAAAAAAAGAAGAAAACATCCTACTCTTCATCAATGACACGGCCCCACTCATGGCTCTCCATACCATCACATCCCCACATGATACCCTTGAGAGAGCTCTTGAAAAACTCGGCATACGCTCCAGAATTGCCCTTGACCATGGGCACATCCATGTCCTTGCCACGGAAGTGAATCTGGCTGATAGGCGCAACAAACCAAGCCGTACCCGCCGCGAACGCCTCAACAACACGACCCTCCTTGGCCGCCTCTTCAATCTCAAAGATGTTAAATTTGCGCTCCACAACCTCCAGCGCCTCAAGGTCCTGCGGCGCATCAGCCGTAAGCTTCGCACGAGCAAGCTCCAAAATGGACCTCCTCGTCACACCATCCAGCACAATCCTCTCGTTCAAATCCGCAGTAACAAGCTGCAACTTGCCCTCTTTCGTCCTCCACACAACGAAAAAGTTGCTAGCACCTGCTTCGGTAATGGTACAGTCTTCACCGAACAGCCACAGAATCTGGTGGTAACCGCGCTTGCGGGCTTCACCTTGTGCTACGAGGGAAGGACCGTAGTTGGCTCCTACTTTGGCGTATCCAAAACCGCCGGGCCACGCACGACACATGTCGTCTTGGGAGGCGAGGAGTTTGATGCCACCGCTCATGTCGCCCATGGGGGCAAAGCAGCACAAGATGACAAAGAGTAAGGCTTCTTTGGGGCGTTCAACGCCGAGCGCGGGGTCCGAAGCGATCATTGTGGGACGGATGTATAAGAATTGGCCCGGGCGGTCCTTGGGGAGCCAGCGCTTGCCGTCTGTAGCGCAGAGTTTGACTATGAGCTTGAGGAGCTCCTGGGGGTCGAAGGCGGGGAGCGCAATGCGGTTTGTGGACATGAGCATGCGGCGGCAGTTTAGGTCTGGGCGGAAGAGACGGAGCTTGCCGTCGTGGCCGCGGTAGAGTTTCATGCCTTCGAAGCATTCGGTTGCGTAGTGCAGGCATGAGGCGGTGGGTGCGAGGGATAGTGGGCCGTAGGGTTGCAGTGTGGGTGCTTCCCAGCCAGACTCGACGGTCCATTTTGCTTGTACCATGTGGTCGGTGCACACCTTTTGGCTGGCCATCTCTGCCGATCCTACGGCGGGGACTGAGCGGGGAGTGTTGGTGTATGTGCAGGTGATCTTGGAAGCGTCGAGCCCCGCGAGAGGTGCTTCTACTACATCCTGAGTCTTGGATGCCGGCTCATTTGGTGGTGTGGCAGTGATGGAGTTTGTGAGAGATGACGAGTTGATTTGTCCCGGGGCGTTCTTGAGAAGCGCCGACTTGATTCCCTCTTGTGTGAGGTCGGTGACGTTCTCGTTTTGGTTCGGGGGCGTGACGGCGATGGGTGCCATGATGACTGTTTTGATTTGTTTTGTTTTTTATCACAGTTAGGTTGTGACTCAACAAGAGTTAGAGTATCAATGGCCGACGAGCAGCGGTACCACAATCGGTGGTAGAGAGATTGAGGGGGGGAAGGTTAGTCAAGTACAAAGAACGGAAAACAAGGTACCCAAGCCAGCCTCTTATACAAAGGGAATGAAAATTTCGACCAAGAGTCACACCTCCCTATCACACGGACGGGACCAAACCCACCTACCTGTTGGATCCATTGACATGATGTCCGCCCAGCCGTGCACCGACTACCGCGGCGGTCTAGTGTCCTTTTTCTTACATACGAATGCCATGGTCATGATATAAGGTTCCACTTCCGGCGGAGCCCCAACTTGATAACAAACTTTTTTTTTAGTCGCCGCCTCTTTGCCGCTGACATTGAACATCGTCTCGTCTTGAATTTGCCATTGCTGCAACACAGCCGTGTCATTGTTTCCCGCCCGGTGCCGGCATACGCGTCTTCCAGAAGCCGGTGTGGTGTCTGCTAGCGTACCTGACTATATTAGATGCAGTGTTGTTGGTAGGGCGTGTGCCGAGCCTGTGGTATCCAGGCCCACCGCTCCCGTACCTGCCGCTAGTATCCGGCCAGGCTTCCGATTGATGAAGACTCATCCCAAGTCTCAGCAATGCGACATCGGACTCGGCTCCATGTTCGGAGAAGGACAATATAGTATATATATATGCATGTGTTTGTATACATGTGCCTAAAGTTCCGCATCCGAGAGTACTTGCGACTTCGCGGGACAGAATCGCTGTCGCCCTAGCGGAAGATGCCCCGTCGGCAAGCAGCGGTTCAAGCGATAGAGAGCTTTGTTGCAGGGATAAAAATCGTTCAAGTGACCTTCGCGAAGCAACAGGGTACATATCAAGATCGTTTGACATCTTCCGAGAGCCGCTATGCAGTTTGATGCCGTAGTGCCACCTACATCATGCCTGACTAGCACCATTCCGCATATAGCCAGCTCCTCCATCCATCTCTATCCGACAATGCAATGCCTGAGATAAGATGACGAGTGGATGTCAGCATCCAAGAAATGAGGGTGCTTGGTTCATGTAGCTCGCTCAAAACATCTATCATGCCCTCAAACTGTCAATGCCTGCAAGTATTCCGTCGGCAACCTCTCCAACACGACCTTCCAGCGAGCCCATATCTAACCTGCTAATCGCAGCATTGATCTGCTCCGTGACCACTTCATCCTGCACCACTTCTGCCGTGACCTGTCCCTCCGTCCTCCAATATTCCTCCCTTACGCCCCTCAGCGCCGGATCGCGGTTCACAGAGTTTGTGAGCAGCCCCAATGCCCGCGTCTTGTTAAAAGTATCCTCCGCCGTCCGAGTAGTGACCTCGATGCGCTCGGCAATGGAGATGGGTTTCGCAAACAAGCGGTTGGTACTCGTAGCCCAGAGCACATACGCTAGGCCCATGTCCACCAGAGCGAATGTTATGTATCGTAGGAAGCGGACGCGCCAGTATGCCGAATCGAGATCCTGGACGTACTTTGCCCTCTTGTTGGCCAGAATATCATAAGTACCCATGTACCAAATTTCTACCACCATCACAAATATTCCTGCAATTGTAGCGTGGATGCGGAAGCGTGAGCCTTCAGCTCCGACCAGCGACGAGGTAGCGAGACCGAGCACGGCTAGTTGAAAGATGTGCGGCGTAACAATCTTCGGCAGAGAGTATAGAAAGTAGTTGAACTGATCATTCCCGTCGGCCACGGTGCACCACACGCAGTTCAAGAGTGTGTCTGGACCATACGCGAGGTAGAGCAACTTGTTGCGCATACCCCACTTGAACTTTGTCAGGAGAGCTTCATCGTCGTCCGTGAGTGGGCGTAGATGTCTCAGTCGCACAAACAGCACGCTTGGCTCCGTCCGTATGTGGCTCTGTGTCTTGAGGAAGATATTCTCGGGTGCATATCGCGAAAGCGAAAGACCAAGGCACACGACTGCGCTCAAGAAGAGCAAATTGAGCGCATACTGAACTCTTGGTGGTGTCGGACGTATGGGGACGCTGGGAGAAGCTGTGCGCGCGGCTTTGATCCAGTCGAAGACGAGAGGTATGAGGAAGGGCCCGAAGATGCTTAGCAGCGAGTGGACATTGGGCGGGAGAAATGTGAGGCGCGGAATGATAACGTAAGATATCACCAGGAGAATGATTGAGCGCAGGTTGATCATCGTGCGCGCACTGCGATCATGGGAAGGTCAGGCGTCGAGAGCGTTGCGTTTGTTGAAGACATGTGTCCTTGCGCTTAGCAAAAGTAGTGGAAAACGTGTAAACGACAGCGGGACCGAAGTAAGCGCGGTAGCACGTGACAATCATTGCACTAAAGAGCGCATGTCTTACATTTCCAATTCCACTCAACATTTGCTCATTGCAACATCTTACATAGTACGTGTGTAATTTTGGCTAGCCTAAGATAGCTGTAATCTCTCTAAGTATTATAGTCGGCCCGAATTTCATTTCGTTAGTATCTAATTGCATATATCCGCTAATAATTAATGTCATAGTAGATTCTGAAAAGATTGTATATCCTGTGCTTGACTAAAGCATGCCAATCCCAAATAACGCCAGTTCATCATAGGACATGACCCCGAAAATTAAAACCCTTGATGTCTGCAAGCTTGATATCACAACAGGCCAAGTTTCTGGGCCCTGCATCAAGTTGCATTACTCATACATAATCTTCTTCCATAAATCTCCCTTGGACAGGTCTCCTTCCATCCGGACTCCGTCCACCGCTGCTCCTTCCTGCCGAAATATACGATCCTGCATGTGTATAAAAGTGAGAAGGCGTGTTTGCAATGCTGACAGGGAGCTGCTCCAAACCACCTGCTAGTGAACTGTCAGAGGCCTCCCCATCTTCGGTGAGATTGCTCCGGGAATGCCGCGAGCGTGTTGTCATGGCATTGACTTGCGGATAGTATATTGGAATTTGTTGGTGAAAAAGATCCCCTGGGGGCTGCCGTGGTGTTGTCGGAGTGGGATACGAATAATGCCCTTCATGATTTGACCCATATAAATGATAGTCTGCCGGCGTAGCCCACACCGTAGTTGGAGAGTTTTGTGTAATTCCGTCATCTGAAAAGGACCGCCCTACACTAGGGGAGATGTGGTTGAAAGTAGCTTCTGTGGGTGATGTGTATGGCGGCACAAATCCGTACGACGGAGGGCCTTGAGCGGGCTGCAGCGAGCTGTAGTTGTGGCTGGCGGAATGTGAGTACTGTTGGGCATGTTCCTGATGTTGGGCAAGAGCGGCAGCGTCGGCTCGATTGTGAATGGATACGTACTTGCTAGCCTCCGCGGCGGCCATCTCCTGTGGAACCGTGGTTTCCAACTCGGCAGGCGGAATTGGCGGATTCGCGTTGTTTGTATCACCTTTTTTCTTTCTCTTTTCCTTCAAAGCATTCTTGTGTCTGCGTAGGCAAAACAAGATAAGGCATAATAAAAGGATCAGTCCCACAGCACCTCCAACAGCGGCTCCAGCAATAGCCCCAACACTTGTCTTCTTGGATTGGTTGGGTGACAGCGATCCCGTTGCCGATGGAAGTGGACGAGTAGCTGATCTGGCTGCGAAGGAAGGTTTCAAAGTGTAATATGTCGCCAAGTCAGGATGCCCCCACGTTGCGGGCGCAGTTTTAGTGGCACCTCCAGTTGGTCTGTTACTATCGTTAGACATGGCCTCTCTCACAAGCTGCCGAGTAAAACATACCCCCCACCAATGGCTGCCACAATAGGCGAAGGTACCACGTAGTCGTCAATCTTTGGTTGAAACTTATCCCAAAGCTTAGCACCCTCGCCATTAAACCCAAGCACCATGTTATGCTGTCCTTGACTTTCTGGCGTATCGCATTTGTCGTATATGGGAAACCAACCACCTATGACCAACATCTGTGTACGGTTGATGACGTTGGCACTACAACCTCCATGGCCAATTATGACAGGATTTGGCCCACCATCACCAAGGGGAAATGCCTTTATCCACGTAAAAGAGGGAAGGGAGAGGGTGTAGACATCATCAAATGCGGGAGTTCCCCCAAACCCATAACCGCCATAGAGATAACTGATCACAGTAAGCCAACTCTGCTCGCATCATGTGAATATCACAACCACGTGACCAAGTGTCGATGGACACAATAGAGAGGAAGGGGTTCTTACATATTATAAGATGACTTGTCATCTGGCCAGGTAACATCTGCGCAGAATTGTCTGCGCGTAGGAGGTGCGGTGCCCGAGGCTGTCTGTGTATACCATTTAGACGAAGCCATATCGTAGATGTGAATGGTCTGGATAGCATTAGTTACATACTAGGCAGGATTCGCATAAAATTTACACTCATGTTCGCCTAGAAATGAGGTTAGTATGCTGACTACGTGCATGTAGTGTTTAGACTTACTGCATCAAAACTCCCGTTACGATAAGTATCCTCGATGCCGCCGAAATAAACCAGCACGCCGCTGTCAGACACGGGAAGATAGACCAGTTGTCCCTCAGCTCTTCCAATTTCATCCGGTCCCGATATATTCTTCAAGTCGCCAGTAGACATGTCAAACTGAATAAGACCATTTGTAGCCATAGGGGGTCCTTTCCAGCCTACCGTAGTTCGATTGCTCAGCCAGCCGCCAAAGTAGAAACCGAGTCCACGCTCTTCTACCTGTGTCCCAGCACCGAACGATACTCGTTGTATAGTTTTGTCGCCTACTGTGTCGGTGCTGTTCCACTGATTGAGTGGCACGTCATAGGTCCACATACTGAAATCTGTAGGACTGACGCCTTCAGGATATTCTCCCCCAAATTGATAGAAACATTTGTTGGTGTTGTCTGCCCAGGTATAGCCGCCAGATACGCTCGGTATGTTGCCAGGCTTGGACAGATTTGCGTATTGCGCCGGCATCTCGGCACCGACGGTCGATGGGTTCAAGTCGCTGAATAAAAGCCATGGGTCTGGAGGATCATTGTTAGGCTTTCCAAATACGATTGTAGCATCTGCTGTCAGGTATTTTACATACTCGTATGGTTTGACTGAAATGGCGTCGACGCTATCATGCCGCCATCGATGTAGAGTTTCGAATCGATCTGCGCCGTCGCGTGACCCCATCGGCGGCAGAAGTCTTTGATCGGATCATTTTGTTGAGATAAAGCCAAGGTGAGAAGACTAGACACAACGAACGAGCACAGTCGTACGTAGGCCATGATGTGCATTCATGACGTTTCCCAATGGACAAGTAAAGGCCCCCCAGGTACAGGAGACTTCAGGCACGATGAAAGTAGTATAGTGGGGAGTATCGGAAAGCGAAGGACGACGACTGTAAATGGGAGTGGTCTACAGGGCTGAGAAGAAATCTCCGAGCAGGCAACAAATGCTTAGGTGACGAAAACCAGGTCTTTGTCCGAGGCGCATTTTGTCGAGGTGATGGCCCTCGAATCACCGATGCGACTATGCAGTAGTTACTTGTGCTGAACGACCGAGTTCCCAGCCACCAAGTGGGCTGTGAGACACGTTCACCAATAGAGTGTCACCGGAAAATACGGCCAGTCTCCAGACCCGAGAGACGCGACGGACCAAGTGAGATACAGAACTAGCTGGGACAATACGACGACACGCAGCGGGCTAGCCAATAGTGGCCCGCTCAATTGCTGATCGTGTGTGCCATGAGTCTGAATGAATGCCATGGCCAAAGCAACGAAAACACGCTCGCTGTAAAAGGGTGGAGAAGCACGAGAAGCAGGATGAATTGGTGGCGGTTGGGCCACTGTTCAGCTGCTCTATTGTTGTCGCGCCCGGAGTGGCCAATGGTGTCGTGTTGTGACACCAGTCTAGACATGCGGGGGCCATTCAGCTGGTCGACCAACTTTATTTGTGGCCATTGACTCCAACCGCCTAGAGCCGTACGACAGGTGGCTGCGCAGGCTTCCCAATGCCCATGAGTGGTTGATCAGTGTTTGGCTGGCTCCCTGCAGCATAGGGCATATGGCACGCCTAGTTATTGGGACGCAACCTGGGTGTCGGTGACGGGAGGCCGCATATTGTGACAGCACCACTGGCAACAACTATGCCAGGTACCTTGGCCGCTGCGAGGGACGGCGTCATGGAACCATGACCTCCCGGAAGGGCCGTCGGATCAGCGCAGCCACGTCTGAAGAGAGAGAGTATGTATGTAGGCCTAAAGCGAACCCGCAGCTCCAAAACCGACCGAGGTCGACGACGACGAGCTGCAGGATTAGAACGGCTGTGCTTTCTTCTGGGTCTGCTCTGGAAAAGGCAAATCCACTCTTGCGAGGAAGGACCTTAGGGTTATTGGAGACCGTCGACAATATGTGAAGAAGAAGAGAAGAAGAGGGCGTCGCCAACAAATTTCATCCACTTGGTTGAGTGTCTTGGCACGCTAGGCTGCTGCTGTAAACAGCTAGCTCATTGGCTCCCTTCAGCCCACCCTCCTCCACAGCAGCATCAAGAGACTGGTGCAACATCGGTACAGCATACCATCGCTCTCTCAGACCCTCACCGCATAGCCACCGTATTCTATGGAGCAAACTGGACAGCTGACCCTCCCTGCTGCAGGTCCAACTTCTCAAACACCCATTTCCTCAACCATGGTTCCCCATCCAATACGCAACCAATCCTCGAATACCAACCATAGTTCGCAGTCTATCCATATATACAGGTGGTTTTATATTATGCCTCTGATTTCACACCCCCTTTTGCATTTATACAAGGTTGCCCTTCATGACTACTTCAGTGTCGAAGAAAGGAATCCACATGAAGCTATACAGACCAAAATGACCTCTTTCGTCGCCCACTAATGGCGCAATCTAGCAGCGCTCTTGTGAGCCTTCCGAGGCCTTGCCCGCTTACCACAACAAACAGGGAAACGAGCTCCGAGGATGTTACAGCCAACTCCCATTTTTCAGACTCCGACTCCGACTCTGGCTCCGATGATGATAATGATGATGATGATAACGACGGCGTTGACGAAGACTGCTTTTGCATCAACGCAATCATCTCTGTGCCAGGCCCCTACGCATTGTCATGGGATTGTTCTACATCGCTTCTTTGGTCGAAGTCTCTGGTCCAGCATGGCGAGTTCAAAGCCGCTGACGCCATTCTGTTAGCTTTCATCGTAGACGTAGCAATGAAGCTGTATATTGTCGATGGTATCAACTACTCCGTCCTCAACATCCTCGACACCTCTCACCTTGTCTGGACGGTCCTCAGCATAATCCACAGCTCAATACACCAACGAGTAAGCCGTTACGGATGGAGCAAAGGCGATGTTATACAAACCGTAGAAAGCTTTTACCTCGCCGCAGCCGTTGGTCTTCACCGAATTCGCGAGCGCTTTGACATTGCTTTTCTGCAAAAAATCCAGGATCCAAATACCAAATCGTTGTTTGCAAGAAAACTCGTTTTCAATGAGACTTTTGCGCCCAATACCGGAAAAATTGCCAAAGTCTACCGCTGGGTCTATGGGGAGCCGCCCGAGTTGATCTTCTTCAACGATATGGAAGATGCCAAGCTTCCTTCGCGCAGTCCGATAAACATACGGCAATGGGTTTTTGAGTATAATTAATGCTTTCGCAAGCTCTTGTCTCTCGTAGCTGGCTTGGGAGTTTATGGACAAGGAGTTTATGGGTAGGGAGTTCAGTTTTTCCAAAAGTCTACAACTACGCAACAGCCATGGTGTCGTCCTCCGCCATCATTAACCAAAATAGAAATCGAACGAATTATAATTAAATCATACATCAAAACAGTTTTTGCGCATTCCATAGAAAACCAAAATAGCGTAGTTACAGGAATGGACCTTTTTAGCTTTCTCGTATAAATCCGCCCTGTTATACAATCTCCACTTAGCAAGTTTATTTCCCTAGCATCACTGTAAGACCGGTTTGCACGTGATCCGTAGACCGTAAAACAAGAGTGGTAATTAGATAAAAATATCAATTAGAACAATCAATCTAATACAAAATCCGAACGAAAACCCTCAGAACCTAGATTCAACCTTCTGCTGAGTATCCTGTAGCGCCCACTCACTCCTCGCCTTCTTACTCCTCACCGAATCAACCTGCTCCTTGGTGAAGCCCTTTGCCACCGTCGCAGGGTTGTATCCCAAGCCAGTAATCTTAGAAATCTCTTCATCGGACTTGTCCATAGCAGCGCTTCCATCGTGCCTCTTGTACACGGTGCACACGACTGCACCACCGAGACCCAGGTTGTGCTGAAGCGCTACCTTGGTGTCCTTGACGGAGCGGTTGTTGGCCCATCCACGCAGGTGCCAGACCAGCTCAGCACACTGAGCGATGCCCGTGGCGCCGAGGGGGTGGCCCTTGGAGATGAGACCGCCAGAGGGGTTGATGACAACTTTGCCTCCGTAAGTTATGCCGCCCTGGCGGATAAGCTCGTGGGCTTTGCCCTTTGGTGCGAGACCCAGAGCTTCGATGGTGACCATTTCGTTGGCAGAGAAGCAGTCGTGGAGTTCGCATACTTTGACGTCATCTGGAGTGACCTTGGCCTCTGCCAGTGCATCTTTGGCAGCTAGCTCGCTCATGCTGTATCCTACGAGCTCAATAGCACTGCGGTTGAACAGCGATGGCGTGTCGGTGGCTAGTCGCTGTCCGGCAATTAAGATGGCTTGGTCCTTGAGCTCAGGCCGCTTGTCAAGGAACTCCTGCGAAACAAGGACTGCAGCTGCGGAACCGTCCGAAGTCGGACAGCATTGGAGCTTCGTAAGAGGTTCGTGGATCATGGGGGCCTTCATGACCTGTTCTAGCGTATATTCATCTTGGAACTGTGAGTAAGGATTGTTCTTCGAGTGAGCATGGTTGATGCGACCGATCTCTGCAAAGTCCCTGAGCTCGGAACCGTATCTATTCATGCCATTAGAACACAGTAATGATCATTCATTGAAACCAGAAAACTTACTTCTCCATGTGTTCACGGCCGGCATTGCCAAACATCTGCGCTGCGCCGGGAGCATTCGTGACACCCCTCGTCTCCTTCATCATTAGGCCCGACGTGCCTGTCGGATTTGCTCTGTCCTGGAAGAAAGTCTGCAGACTTCCTGGAAACATCTTCTCGAAGCCGACGACGAGTACGCAGTCCGCAGCTCCATGCGCAATCAAGTTCCGTCCCATGTATAGACCGGTAGAGCCTGTGGAGCAGTTGTTGTTGACGTTGTATACAGGAATACCAGTCATGCCGAACTGGTAAAAGACGCGTTGGCCACATGTCGAATCGCCGTAGCAGTAGCATGCAACACCTTGATCAACATCGTCATAGTTGATGTGTGCATCGAGCATAGCTTTTACGCCAGCTTCGAAGCCAAGTTCAGGGTAATCCACTTTGCCGCGAGGCTTGATGAACTTGGTCATGCCCACGCCGAGGACGTAGACGGGCTGCTTTTCGCGAACCATGGCAGCGGTGATACGTCAAAAAGTTGCGAAAATGAAATAAAATACGAGGTCCACTAGCCGAGTAGCCGTTACAGACGAGGAGAACGATGGTTGTAGAGCTAGAAAGTGGAGGCGGTGTCCAGATGTAAGTATATTTATGCTCCGCATCAGCACGTCCGCACGCGCCGTGATAACGTACAGACAGTCGGTATTCTAAGTGTCAACCGGGCTATTTGATACAGCCATTGTATGAACATAGCTTAGCGGGTTTGCTATATGTGGCCTAGTAGCCTTTGACCGAGATAAAATACACCATATCGATCCTGTATCCTTACGGCGCGCGGAAGGTCGTCCCCGCCTCCGCAACACGTTTCGGGTACCGAGGTTAATACTCTTTCGGGAAGGCGGCAGCGGAGAACAGCCGACACAGGTATGCGGGGGAGACTTGCAACTGACATCTGATTGTTTAGTCATTCAGACAATACGATGCAGTACATGAGTATCCTTAGTGTTGTTAAATACCTCGGGTTTTGTGAAGCCTTCGATGGAGAGAGTTGGAACATGCAGACTTGTAGAAGGATCTATCATTCCCACCTAAACTTGGATCATCGGTAAAAATTATTGAGAAATTTGGTTCTACGATACTCGTAACCTAGAATGGTTTATGTACTCAAATCTACAGTCGGCCGGGATGAGGATTGTCAAAATCTGACAAACACAAGAGATCTCATCTCATAGACAGCGATCACCCAAAACAATACGCTATGTCAGTTAGCAATACAATGTTTGAAACTTTACTTCTACAGGTTGTCTTTAAAGGCAGATTTGATTTTGTTGTTTCCGGTTCCGTTCTTGTTTACCGAACAGTCTCGGGTACCCATAGCCACCGCTCTTTTTTTGCTTCTGGGGTTCTTTCTATTTAGCCGTACCTATACATGTGTGCGGAGCAAAAATCTAATTACAATCTATGTAAAGGATGCTACATATAATCTAGTGTAAGCAAAAATTCATCCCAAGTTTCCTTCCTGGTCAATTCACCTACCGAGCCGCTTTCCTACAAGACAAACGTATTGAAACGGCCAAACAAGGCAGGAATAAGGTGCTAGGTTGGATGTTCGCTCAAATCTTGTTTGGAAATACTTGGGATACAGGCAAAGCTTCCCTTTTTTTGGTTTTGCTCTGGCAAAACATTTCGTGGTGAACTGTTCTGACCACATCGGTCAAATACATCGAGAAACATGGGCTGGTACTAACTTTATTTTGGAGTAACTTCAAGTCACGGGTGCTCACCTGTGTATATGTGACTTAACAAATCATATGTTCTAGTATCATCACCAGCAATTGATTGAGTGTTTTTGTTTTCGTTTCAGAGGATGCATGTGCAACATAAAGTATTCGGGTGACACAGGAATAGAGTATACAATATGACGACTTGATCGTATGGTTTGCCTCAATTATACCAAGGCATGATCTATATGATCGACGATGACGTCAACGATGATGACTCTTCGCTCCTTTTCATTGCAGGCGTGGGCTACACTGCTATGTTCTTGCCTTGCATGAGCATGTCGCAGATTCCAGCTGGTAGACCTGATATGAGGGTGTTTATCTGGCTATCGCGAATGCGCAAGGAGCGGTGGCCTGTTATGCCGTGTGGTTAAGCATCTCTCTTGGGCTCACTACACTCCCTCAGCTTATATCCTCCTCTTCTGCCTCCCGTCTCCTTTCCCGTTCTTCCTCCTGCTCCTTCAAGTGCATAGCCTCGACCAACTCAGCGCCCTCCATACCCACTTCGTCACCAGTGTTCTCATCTCTTGGTTGTTTCTCCCGTATCGCTTTTTGCGCCTCGACTCTTTCCCTAACCAGCTTGGCGATGGCATTATCTGTCTGCACATGCAACGGCTTCATCTTCTGATCCAGATCTCGCTTCAAGTCCCAGTTTGGCTTCTTAGGCTGTAACTTGAATAGATCCAGCCCCTTGTCTTCTGCCTTCTCTGCTTCTTGCTGGGCCTTTGTCTCGAGCGCCAACTGTTCTGCCTTGTACTCTAGTGTGTTGGTGGGGTCAGAAATCGGCAGGTTGTCGAAGCCCAGCTTGACGTTTCGTGTTTCCGGATCGAAGTTTCGGCCAGAGAGATATGTCTTCACTACGGAGGATTCTGCGTCATCTTCGGTACGCGTAAGGGCTTGCGAAGGCTCGGCTTGGTCTTTAGTAGCAGAAGATTCGGCAGCCTCAGGCGCGTCTGATATTTGTTCTTGCTTTCTCTTGAGTGACTTGAGCTGTGCAAGGCGTGATTTGCGGTCATTGGCTGCTGCAGATAGTTTCTCGTGTGAAGACATAGTGAGAGAGCTCTGGGTTTGCGCCAGGGAGGCTACAGGGCCTGTCAAGTGAGAGCAGACTGTGAGAATTATGGCAGAGGCTTATGTCTTGCCTCCAAATATATCCCCAGAATCTTGGCGGAAACTAGAAAGCGTGGTTGTTTGGCGCAGATATGGTTGTGGTGATAGTTGAGGTTGCTGTTGTCGCGACTTTTGCGGAGAAGAGCTCGGAGGTTGGCCCTGTTTCCCGGCTAGCGCTTTCAACCACATGCGCACTTTGTCAACTTTTCCTGCGACTGCCCAGCATGACACTATATTGTCGACTCCACCACGCGTCATGGCTCGATGAAGACGGCGACATCTCTATTCTCCCATGCCCCGAGTCCGCGTCCCCAATGCTAGCTTCATCGCCAGCGCGGACCTCCCCGTTCTTCCGTTCCTTGCGCCGAGAGCCTTCGCCGAGTCACCAATTCCAGGAAGTACCAGGCCACACAACCAAAGGGGCAATGCTGCACAGAAAGAGAAGCAGGCCCCCTCTGCGCTGCCGAAGTGCTCGCGACGGATAGATGGTGTTGGCGAGACTGGAGAGCTCCAATTGAAGTCTGACTCGACATGTGGCCAGCATCTTAGGCAAAGGAAACTTGACGCGGGGCTCCTTCAGATGCCTACTCTTTGGCGGAGAGAATCACATCATCTGAATCCAATCAACTTTCTCTATGCCGAAATATCCACTCTTACCCGACAGCATGCACGGGCATATGTGACCACTGCGTTTCATCCAAGTCCGCCGGCCCCAACTAGTCCGCCCAAAAGCCGACACTGTCGAGCTCAGTCAGGCCGCACCTCTTCAGTTCTGGCTACACACGAACCTTTGCGAGCTGCGAAACGGGCTAGGGCACTGGCTTTGGAAAGGGCCCGGTTCCTCAATTATGTCTCTAGACTGCCGTCCAATCTTTCACCCCTTCAACGGATGAAGCGTGGGCCCTATCGGTCTCTTTCTCGTCGCGTGTCCAACCTGGTCCATTGGAAATCGAGATACCTAGATTTTAGGACGGAAGCCCGTCGCACTAGGAAAGGGTTCTCTCTCAACCTAGCCTTCGCAGCACTCGACCGTGCCCTCTACACCTCTCTGCGGCAACACACACGAAGGATCATTATAAAACACAATCCGCGATGCGTGCGATTGAGCCGCAAGATTTTCCCGCCTGGTACCCCAATCGGTTCTCATATGGTATGGAAAAACTGGATCGAGTTTGATGTCACCACAAGAAAGGCCTATGCCCATCGGCTGCTTATCTACCTGTTGGATCGCGTACCCGGTCTTGCACTGCGATTTATACAAGTTATAGCCAATGACCCGCTTTTGCGAGGCCGAAAGACACAAGCTATTGCGGATGGTCTTGGTCATCTCTCCAAGATTCATACCAGAAAGCAGTATGGTGCTCGTCAAAAGTGGGGTACGGATCCAATGGCGCATAAACGGGTGTTTGTTCCTGCATTTGTGAACATCTTCCGTAAATCCTTGGCCAGCCAACCAGATGTCTGTTCACAAGATTTGCTATACAATCTGGTCGAGCTAGCCGAAATTGATGATCTCAAGAAGGTGTTTGATTGCCTAGCTCAGCACCGAACGCGTATTGGATTCGACACAATGTTGCACTACGCTAGCGCTTTCGGCAAGGCTGGTGAGGTCGAATACGCCTTGAAATGTCTCAAGGAGCTGAGAGTAAGGCTTAACGATGTGGCATGGAGATCAGTGGTCGAACGGGAAAGATTACGCTGGACATGTGCTACGATACTTCGCAAGAGCATGAGCACAAGCCACAATTTCCACCAAACTCCCTCCATAGTCGCTGCTTTTGTACGCTTGGGGATCAAGATGGACATTCTGCTTTACAATATAGTCATGCACAATGCTATGGAAGCTGGCGATTACATCACAGCCTTCAAGGTGTATAACACCCTAGAGAGCAACGGGCTCGACCCCAACCCGCATACCTACTCAATCCTTCTTCATGGGTGTACATTGCAAAGTAATCCATCTATCTTCCAGGACTTTGCCCAACACTGCGCGGATATAGCACAGCAGACCAAGGACCCTTGGCTAGCAACGGATTATCTGTACTATTTGTATGTACGTCACCAGGCCGATGTTGACGCTGGACACAGATCTGTATCACTGTGGAATGCCTACCTGAGATTTTTCTCAATGGCACCACTGGAGCCTTTCCTCGCCTCGGGAATGATGAATCCGGGGCCTGCCAGGATGGAGCAGGATGAAGCCTCTTTGGATTCTGTAAGGCTTCCGCCTCCTTCTGTGGCTCTGTACGTGATGATGCAAGCAGAAGTTCAATCGGCGGCGGCTATAAGCAACCAGCGAGTCCTCAATTTGTACAATAAGTTTACATCGGTCGCCATGCAAAGCAAAGGCCCAGCCTTCAAAAGCCTGGTGCAAACCCCGATTATCTGGAACGCCTTTCTCCTCGCTTTCAGCCAGAAGCAACAATTTGCGAACGCATCTCAGGTCATCAAAGACATGACCGAGAGTGCGACAAAACCTAATGTATACAGTTGGAACATCCTGATGCAGGCCTTCTTCAAAACGGGTCAAGTGCAGGCGGCTGAGCGTGTATTTGAGATTATGCGCAACAGGGGCACTGATCCGGATCAATTCACTTACGGCGTCTTGATGCGAGGATACGCCAAGGCACAACTAGTCGAGCGAATAGGCGAGACGATGCAGCATCTCGAGACTGAGCAAGAGCTGAAGCCTGACTTGTTGCGGGCCTTGGCTGCAGTCGTCAACCGACGACAGCTCATGCTAACGCTAGAAAAGGACCGACTGTACAAGGAGGTGAAGGCACAAGAGAATGCAGCTCGAGAAGCAGAGGACAGGCGGGTTAGGTGGCAACCGCCATTGTTTAAGATTTCAGATGTTGGTGTAGCGGGAGCAAGTGAAGAAGAGTCGGCAGGGTCTGATATGACGGCCATACCGCATGCTGAGAATGTGGTCAACAGTTCTGAACTCCCAGACACTCTCCATCAGCAGCAAAATGTCGAAGATGCGGATATTTTCGGCTTCCTCAAAGACGATCAAATTGACCCCGCAGCTGCTACATCGATAAGTGCCCGTCCCGTCTCTCGGCAGCCATATCAGGAGTCACAAAGGCCCATGGGCCAACCCAATTCCACCACTGCGGATGACAAAGACCCAGAAGTCCAATACAGAAAACTGCAGGAGCAATTGGGCCTCTTGGGTCACTCACAAACCTCTGCTACAGGTCAGGACTCGGAACCTCAGCCTCCAGAACCATTGGGTGCAAGTATAGGCTTCAAGAGCGTGCTTGGCGAGAACAGGGCCGTAGTCACTAGCAAGAGTAGCGTGTCAAAGGGACGTATCAGGCCCAAGATAAAGCGGGAGAGATTGGACCGGCCTTTCTCCGATGGAAGCAAGGCATGAGGGACGCCTTGGCAGCGTGGCATGTAGTTTATATGTATGTATTTATCGTGACGTGTATACATTTGTTTTCCAAAGAACAGTGGATATTGTACGTCGCACCACACACTAACCACACATCAAAATTGAAAAAAAAAGGCTCGCAATGTCACTCGAGGGCGAACGTTGAAGCCAACGAAACAACATATCAATCCTAACACGTACTAAACTCTTTAACCCCAACGGACATTCTTCCACGCCTCGCCTTACGGCTCGGCACATTAAGCCGACAATCTACGGTCCATTACTCGAACGCACACTCAGCCTGCCCTCTCTCGCATGCTTGCACATTACATCCCATAGAGCCACTTTTCGAATCCACACCAAAAACCCATGGGAAAAATAGCCGCAACCAGTGCAACAGGGAGCATGGGCATGGTGTGGGTATGACATGCATGTGACAAAACACATGTATGATCAGAGAGCGGAAAACGTAGCCGTGTATTACGCCTACTTTCAACGGGCGGCAGCGCAAATTACTTGATCGAGGCATGGATGGCTAAGTTTGTGCATGGTTGCACGACAGAGAGGGGGGGGGCGCGTGGCGGCTAGGCGGGATGGGGGAATATCGGTGAAGGATAGGTACGGGAAGGGGGAAGGGGATAGTAGGGTTGTTTTTTTGTTTCTTGGGGGGGCAGTGTATCGTGCAGATATGCCGGGTTGATGTGCATGTATGTGCGGAGGGGGAGGGGGATTGGGTGTGGCATGCAGGGTCTAGATTGCTCAGGCGCAGATGCGCGGGTTTGTTTGGTAGGGAGCAAGTCTAGAACGGGTGGTACACACGGAGAGGGCTTTTGTTGCTTGGGTGTGTGTGTGTGTTTCACATGCGCAGTTTTCAGCTTTGCAAGTTGCGGGAGTGCGATGTTAGTTCATGTGTTGTTGGTTGTTACTTTTGCTGCGTGAATGTTGTGTAAGTGGTAGATGAGCAAAGCGTTGCGCAGCGCGAATGACATGCGGCGGAATTGCGGGTAGTTCAGAGAAAAGAAAATTACAAAACGTAAAGAAGAGTTAAAAAGCATGAGCAGGACGGCTAATGTAGCCGAGACGGGTTTTGTGCGATGAGTGTTGGTATGGGCGTGCGAGGGCCCCAGGTGTGATTTAGTGGTCGGAAACTGTATCCGCAGTTTTCACCTACAATCTACACCTGGGTACTACAAATTGCCCGGTTCGGAATTGGTCATGAGAAAAAAGAGAGAAAGGATGCGAGTCAGTAGGTTGGGCAGGTGTGTGTATGGGTGGGAGGATGGATGCGAAGCGTGCATGGTTGACGGGTCAGACGATGAGCGGGTCGGCCAGGTATTCCGTGATTATCGGGGTTGGAAAGAGCAAGACATGGGTATGGGAGGGACAAGGCGTACCGTACCTTGGTGGGCGCCGGCTTGCAGAATGCAGATGCAGCAGGGTGAAAATGGAAGTATCGCGAGTGCATTCTGCTTGTGCGTTTGTGGAATTATTGTACTCTGGGTTTTTCGAGAGACAGGTATGCGTGCGATGATTGTGGAAAATGTCCCATGCAGGTTGAACCCCGAGGTATATACAAGTGTCGCAGTGATTGTATTTCCATGAAGAGAGAATCTGCAGTGTGTGAGTAGGCTGCCCTGGGGCCTGATCATCTCGTGTGCGCTGCAAGTCTGTGAACGATCTGCTTTTTGTGGGGTTTTGTGCATTGGTGTAGAGCAGAAGGTTTGATGTGGGTCTAAGAGATGGGATGGTGATAAGGCTCCATCAAAGTCTACTCCATATTCGTGCTTTAGCTATAAACCATCCAACATCGCGCGGTCAGAGATTGACATGGCAAGTCTAACACCTACTGATATAGTGCATGAGTAGGTGCTGAGTTATTACTAATGCATCTTTACTCGAATTGGAACAGCAACAAACTACACATCGCCAAAGGGCAACTCAGCCGGAAGTACTATGTTGTCGTCCAAACCATGTGCGTAAGCACCGTTTCCCAGGGATATGACGTGAGCAGTGGCTCTTAGGGAACGTTTGAGATCAAAGATCTCTCGACGGGTGTGGGAGTGCTGTGCCCAAGTGGCAGCATTTCGCACTGACACCATAACCCCGCAAAGAAGCTGCACCGAAGACGCGTAGAAGGGCCAAAACACCGGGACCTTCATCCGCGGAGCGCACTCTCCGCAACCATTTATCCGATGCATCTTGCGAGACTCAGTCTTACTATATGCAATTGCAAGTAGTTCATGTACTATGTACAAAATTCCCGTTGCAGCAATAGCATACAAGTACATCATCCCATGGCAAGGCAAATGATGCCGAGCGTCGCCGTCTCGTAGTGCCCTCAATTACTCGAACCCGTCAGACCGATGTCACTTCCAACACGCTACGCACGAACTCTGACCATCCCCAGATGGCGGGCAAACCCCCCGTCTGCAAAATGACGTTTCCTCCCCCGACCTTTGACGTTTTCGCGGTACAATAGTATCACCGGGGCTGAAAAAGGTCAAGCCGCAAAAGGTCAGAGGCAGAGAGGCTCAAAGATCGTCCCTTGCCTCCGAAAATGCACCGCAGCCAATTGCACAAAAGAGCACAGCGCAGTCATAACTTAGCTTAACCCAGTCAAGCATCTTTCCATCCGCAATGCGGCTTAGTGCCCGTTTTTTCTCTTTCTCGCTCGGTCAGTTAGCAACAGGTATGACGTCGATTGTTTCGACGCACCGAAGGATGATGATCTCTTGTGTTTTCTAATGCTAAACTTGCATTACGCGTATGGTTTTTTGCTCGCTGTACAACTATTAGTTCGTGGGTCATGGGAGGGGGGAACGCAATGACAGTGGCTGCGATCAGACCCTTGCAGGATATGACGGCATGGGGGAGCATGGAGAAGCTGGAGGGTTCGTCAGTGCCAGTGTACTATATGTAGTTGACGCCCCCCCCCCTCTCACGATCTTCAACGGCTTGTTCTTTGTTTTTGCTGTTCGATTGAGCAGTAGTCTTCTTCGATAAAAAAACACAATACGCAATGGCGATACTCGATCGGTTTAGAGGGCGCGATAGCACGTCGACTTCCGGGTCGACAGTGCTGGAGAAGGATGTGGAGGCGAAGCCGCAGATGCTCAAGGGAGGGATGAAGGAGATTTTTCGAATGCGGATTATTGCCATGGCGATTATTGTGTCCATGGGTGGGGTGAGTGCGATTAGATGAGCAAAGTAAGTTGTGTGTGTGTAACAACAAGCTAACTTGTGGTAATGTAGTTCATCTTTGGATACGACACTGGACAGATCTCGGGTTTCCTTGAGATGCCGGATTTCCTGGAGAGATTTGCGGATAATAGGGATCCACAGACGGGAGAACGGTCGTTTAGTAATTGGAAGTCTGGGTTGATTGTTGCTTTGGTAAGTTTTGTGGTTCTACTGAGCAGTCTTCGCTTTACATATGATCTAACACATCTCGTATAGCTTTCCATCGGTACCTTGATGGGTGCTCTGATCGCAGCCCCAATCGCCGATAAGTTCGGCCGCAAATACTCGATCGTCTTCTGGAACATCATCTTCTGCGTGGGCGTCATTGTGCAAATCACTACAACCAACGTCTGGTACCAAATCTCACTCGGGCGATGGGTTGCCGGTCTTGGTGTTGGAGCACTGTCTGTTCTCACGCCCATGTAAGTTATGATGAATCATTTTTCATGGTCACAAAGCATATTCTAATACAGCACTCTAGGTACCAATCCGAAACCGCACCCCGCTACGTCCGTGGCGCCCTTGTATCCTGCTACCAACTCTTCATCACCCTCGGCATCTTCACCGCCTACTGCATCAACTTTGGCACCGAAAAGCGCCGTAGCTCATTCGCATGGAAACTCCCCATGGGCATCGGCTTCATCTGGTCTGCAATCATGATCCTCGGTATTCTCTTCATGCAAGAGTCTCCCCGATGGGAGTACCGCAAGGGCAAGACGGAGAGCGCAAAACACACTGTTGCCTTGACATATGGTGTCTCGGAAGACCACCCCGAAGTGCAGCGTGAGATCCAGGAGATTCAGAGGAAGTTTGAGGCGGAACAGGCGGGCGGAGGAAAACATCCTTGGTATGAGATTTTTACCGGTCCGCGGATGGCATACCGTGTTGTGCTTGGTGTTGCACTTCAGGCTTTGCAGCAATTGACGGGTGCAAACTAGTAAGTCTTTCTTTTCCAGTTAATGCTCAAAAGGGTCTTCGAATGCTGACATTTGCCTCCAGCTACTTCTACTACGGAACCACAATCTTCAACTCGGTCGGCATCCAAAACTCCTTTGTGACATCCATAATCCTCGGTGGCGTAAACTTCGGCATGACGATCCCCGGTCTCTACGTCGTCGAGCGGTTCGGCCGTCGCCCATCGCTCATTGTTGGGGGCCTATGGATGTTCATGTGTTTCCTGATCTTCGCATCGCTCGGCCACTTTGCTCTCACAAACGCGGATGGAACGTCCAACCAGGGCATCGGCTACGCCATGATCATCTTCGCCTGTCTTTTCATCGCCGGATACGCAATGACGTGGGGCCCTATCATCTGGGCTGTTGTTGGCGAAATCTATCCTTCAAGGTATCGTGCTAAATGCATGGCTCTCGCAACTGCTAGCAACTGGACGTGGAACTTTCTCATCTCCTTCTGTAAGTTCTACACATACTTCCAGCCTCCCATGAACTGCTTACTAACAAACTCTTGTCCAGTTACACCATACATTACATCCGCCATTGACTATCGCTACGGCTACGTGTTCGCAGCATGCTGTTTCACCGGCGCAGTCGTAGTCTACTTTTTCGTATGCGAGTCCCACGGTCGCACGCTCGAGGAGATCGACACAATGTACATTCTACACGTTACGCCGTGGAAGAGCAAGCATTGGGAGCCGCCGGCAAACGAGGAGCTGCCGGCGCTGGATAACACGTACCTGACGCCTGGAGCGAGGGGTATCAAGAAGGGCAATGAGGCGAGGGCACCGGAGCAGTTGAGGAAGGAGAGCATACCGACTGGTGATGTACAGGCTAGTGGTGCCAGAGGGGAGTAGCACTCTAGTTGGAGTGAATGATGTCTGATGATAAATGACTTGGTATGACTAGATGTGGGGTTTTGTTCTTTGCTACGTTCAGCGAGCACTGTATTATTATCATTTGCATTGCATGTTACATAATGACATGACATGATTTTCAATTACAAGACGACAATCTTTATTTGTATACGATGTCTATCGAACCGTAATGAATATAATTAGGATTGAATAAAATTAGCAAGCGAAAATCTCTATTCATAAGAACGAAATGTGCGGCAGATCATCACACGGGAGATCTTGGTGATAACTGCCACTTGTAGCAAAAATGGAAACTTTGTACATTGAACAGATGTGATGCACTCACTATCAGTCATTCTTCAGTGCCGGTGGAAAAAACTTCCAAAAAGAATGGTTCGAAGAATCCCGAGCAAGCTCAGGCACGTTGTCCCCTTCGTGGATCGAACACGATACCTCCAGATTTAATGACCGAAGACTTCAGTCTGGCGCTCTCCCAATTGAGCTAAGGAGACGGCTTTTTGATGTAAGTTTGCTTTCCACCACCATCTATATTCCCAATGTACGTGAGACGAAAAGTGAGTGCATAAGCATGCATGCAAGGAGAAACGACTGTCGTGAATGCGGGGAAACAAGGTGTGGCGCTAACGCATCACTCTCCATTTCGCCACGGAGATTTGCACTAGGGGGCACACATATGTAAGTTAAATGAATAAAACAAAACGGGCGGCAATGTTGTGTGCCGCAGAGCTGGGTTCGTCAGGGCAAAAAAAAAAAATTGGCTTTCGGTTTGGCGCGGGAGGGCAGAGACAAGCTACTGGGTAAGTCCTGACATCATGTGTGTTCGTTCCCCAATGAGGCTTACATCTGTGTGTTATTGGAATTGGGCCGAAAGCGTGCGGGCAGGGACTATTAGATGAGCAAGAGCTGCTGATTCCATTGCGCCCCCGCAGTTACTGTTTTTTTTTGACATACGCGTTACGCGTCTTTTGTTGTCTCTCTCACACCCTCAATTTTCTCGACGTTCTTATTCTCAATTCTGCATAACTTTGTCGGCACGTGTTTTGGCATACTAGGGCCCACATCAGAGCATGGCGATTGTGCAAGGATGGCTGCCGCCGTCGCGGGAGAACTGGGAGCTGCTGTGCTGGATTTGGCAATTCTTTCCGTTGGTAAGAAGGACACGGTGGCTTGCGCTGGGGGGGTTTTGCGAGTACGAAGAACGAACTTGACAGGGCTGACTAGTTTGTGCAAAACGTATAGTTTACCCTGGCGCAATGGGTGCTCGATTGGTACCCTCAAGGCAAAACTTCGGTCGAGTCACGGTTCAATGTCAATGGAAAGATTGGATGGGCGACGATGGAGTCGGTGGGCTTCATAGTGCTGTTGTATATCATGATAGCGCTGCCAAAGGAGCTGGGGATTGAAGAGTTGCCATGGGGTAATTGGACCATGGCTGGATGCTTTGTAAGTGTGGTTGGTGAAGGGGGAGGAGAGGGTGGAAGAGCAAGAACTAAATGCAACCACTAGGTAATCCACTACCTCTACCGCGCAATCCTGTCGCCTCTCTTCTTGAATCCGAGCATGTCACCGATGCACTTGTTCGTGTGGGTAGCGGCAGCTGTATTTCAACTGTGCAACGCCATCTCTATTGGGGGGTACCTTGCAGGTTATGGGCCAACGTCGCAGTACGAATGGGCAGGGCGTACAGAGTGGATGTTTGTTGGGCTTGTTGTGTGGTGCTGGGGACTAATGGGAAACATGTTCCACGATGACGACCTGCGGGAAATTAGGAGAGCGGCGGATCGGAGGCAGCGCAAGATGGCCAAGGAAGAGGGCAAGGCGGTGGAGAGCGTGGACAAGGTATACATGATACCAAAGAACGGCCTGTTCAAGTACGTATTGTATGCACACTACCTGTGCGAGTGGATTGAGTGGGCAGGGTGGTGGATGATTGGGGGGTGGAAGTGCCATCCGGCGCGCTCGTTCCTGCTCAACGAGATTTCTACAATGGTGCCACGAGCGGTGCAGGGCAAGCGGTGGTATGAGAAGAAGTTTGGTAAGGAGAAGCTCGAGGGTCGCAAGGCGGTGATCCCTGGGCTGGTATGATGGGTCACGGGGTTTGTTTTGTGCACGGGAGGAGGAAGGAGCGAGGGGCTAGCTAGTGAGTAAGCTCGTAGGATTGGATAATAGTGAAAACAAAGGGGCAAGCAAAGAGAAGCACGGCATGGCATGGCATGGCATAAATCAAATTGGATGGGTAGAGTGTGTTGATGATGGATGCGTTGTGAGTAATGGCGGGTAAAGGGCTGTTGTTGTAGTGGTGGTGTGAGGCGGTTAATCTACTACTACTACTTATTAGATGGAGTACATGGACGTATAGAGTAGGTGGGTGTTGTTGTTGGCAGATGGCGCATTGCAGCTTCCTATTACGAAACATGGGTAGGCGGCTGGCAACACCTGAGTCGTGGATAAAGCAGAGAGAGGCAGGCCGGACGCGGTGACACGAGAGCAAGTGCAAGCAATAGAGGCTGCTGGCTGCAAGGCGCCGAGGGAGCCATGTCCTCTGTCTGCTGAGACGGGCTTAATATAGAGTGGCCCTGCAGCCAATGGGAGGTGGAGCACGGGCGGAAATGAAAAGTAAAGCTGGTGAAAAAAAAGCGAGGGGATGATGTTATTGGAACCAGGATAGGGCCAAGGGGCCCACGGGCAATGACGATGGTTCACGTCGGATGATGACATGGGTGGGGATGGGTGGCATTGTTGTGTTTGGGCGTGGGTGTGTACACTACTTGACTACGATGTAACTGCATATGTTGTTGTACACCAACGTTCACTTGGCTGTGGGAGTGAGATGCGTATACATACACAGAACCGCGACCACGACCAGGGTGTCTGCTGCTGCTGCTGCTGCCCTGCACCCTCTCGTTTCTCTCGGACGCACTCAGCCACGGACGTGCCGTATCAGTGATTAGCCCAGCGCCACCGTGTTTAGCAGCTTCCCTCTTCGGGGCTACTGCTGGTTGCTAGTCAGCAAATCCATCTTGACCTGTCCGTCTTTCCGTCTGGAGCTCCCGCACCACCAGTCAGCCCCTCTTGGCGCCCATTTTGTGCCGCCTTGTGGACAGACAGACAGACAGACACACACACACACATTGCATACAGACCATGACATAGTCTGCTACAGCCATACTCGCTGGCCCTGCGCATATCACACGGCACGCCCACTAGCTCACGCCTGTCTCCCTTTCCGTGTTTCGTGTCTGCGGCTGCATCGAGCACAGCCAACCCCTGCGATACGCCGTTGTGGGCCAGGCCGTCAGCGTCAGCACCAGCACCAGCGCCAGCGCCAGCGCCAGGCCAGTCGCAGCGGGCGTGCTGTGGCCATTGTTGTTGGGGTGGTTCGCTTCGGCAGTGCAATCAATAACCGCACCACGGCCGTCTGGCTGGGATCGCCCATCCTGCTCCCGCGCAGGGTCCACTCCGTCTCCTGCACAACTGCTGCCCGTCGCCCACTCACCAGTCCACGCTGCGTCCTTGATACATCATCAACCCGGACCCACGGGCGGAGTCCAAGCAGATCGCCGCCGTCTCGTCGCTGCTGCTGCTGCTCGCTGTCCACCCGTCGTCCCACGGCATTGCTGCCACCACGCGACACACTAACTCCCTCACCGTCGCCCTCGCCAACCTAGTTTCTGTCGCGGCTCTGATACCCACAAGTCTGCCTTCGACCGCCTAACCTCGACAGCCCTTCCTCGGCGCGCCCTCACACCTCGCCCCATCCACTGCTTGCCTCAGTCGCTCCTTTGCTAGTCTAAGTGTTGCGTGTGCCCTGCCTCTCTGGCTACGCAACCCTTTTTTCTGCAATCATGTCGAGCAATGCGCCTGCCAGTACGTTATCTCCCTCTTTTGTCGCGTCCAGCCCGCCTGCTGTCGCTCCTTCCTCTGCCTCTGCTGCTGCTCCCTCCAATGATCCTCTCGCTTCTTCTCCCTCTGCTCTTTCATCCCAGCCTCGTCCGCCGTCTGTAACACCCTCCGCAGCAACACCGCAGCCTTCATCAGCCCCTCCGGCTGCGGCTTCAAGTCCGGCCTCAAGTCCTTCACCGGCTTCTAACTCACCTTCAGCCCCGGAACCTACACCAAACCCTCCTCCATCTACACCCACCCCAACGCCCTCGAGCCCACCGGCTCCTCCGCCATCATCAGAGACTCCTGCTCCTCCACCTTCCTCTGCTCCTCCATCACCACCCCCTAGCTCCGCCCCTGCTCCTCCTCCTGCCCCATCCAGCGCACCGCCACCAGCCCAGTCGTCTGCACCACCCGCACCACCGCCATCCTCCAACAACAATGCGCCCCCGATTAGCACCGTCACCGCTGCACCAGCCCCTACCTCGACAGACGTCTTCACCTCGGTCGTAGTCATCACGTCGGCCACGGCTCCAGGCCTGCCTCCACAGGTCATCACCATCACGTCTACCATCAGCTCACCAGCCAACACCGCTGCACCCCCTAACGGAGCATCCGCCAGCGGCGGCAGCGCCAAACCAACCACCACCGGCACCACTGGCCTGCAGGATGCACAAAAGGAAGACAGTGGTGGTCTTTCCACTAGCGGCAAGACTGCCATTGCTGTTGTCATTCCCATTGTCATCGTCGCCCTGCTAGTACTCGGCGGCATCTTCTTCTGGCGGAAGCGCAAGCAGCGCAAAAGCGCAGAGGACGAGCGCAGGAAAGAGGTGGAAGAATATGGCTTCAACCCTAACCATGACCCAACCCTGCCTGCCGTCGGTGGTCTCGCCATGGCTGAGGATGAGAGTGGTTACCGAGGATGGGGCAACACCACCACCAGCTCCAACCGCAAAATGTCAACCACTATGACCTCTGGCATGACCTACTCGGATAGCAATAGCAACCCCGGCGGATACGCTGCACCCCACTCGCCAACCGGAATCTACTCTGACGCCCAATCCAATGACCCCTTGATGGACGGACGCCGCCAAACTATGGATTCTGATGGCATTGGTGCGCTTGGTGGTGCCGCCGCCGGCGCTACAGCCGCAAACTCTGCCAACAACCAGAGTGGTGTGCACCGCGGCCCATCCAATGCCTCGTCATCATACTCAGCTGCCGATCATTCAGACCATTCGGGCGATTATCCTGGCATGGCTGGCAATCAACAGCATGATTACTACGGTAACCAGGAGTACTACCAGCCCGGTCCATACGGTTCCAACGACCCCTACGGCGGCCAACAACAACAGCCCATCATAAGAGATGTATCTGCACGACGAAACACAAGAATCGAGAACCCAAGTGTGTTCCCCCATCAAGGGAACTCTGGTATCGCTCAAAACTTTTAATAATTTGACTGTACCTGATACACTCATTGCTACACTTGTATATTGCGACAATTTTCATTCGATCGACTTGTCTATATCAATCGGTATATATCCACACATCGGCGTTCTTCAGGCAGGGTTATTTATTTTTTGGTCGATCCACTTTCACATCATACCTCGGTCTTTCTTTTCACCGCCCTCAGTAGTGTGTGCACGCGCATGGCACTGAGTTGGGCGTCGACGCGGTCGTCTGCTGGGGGAAGCAGGCTTGTACTAAACTAGCACGATGAGATGGCATGAACCCGGTTGAACCTGCACCATAAGGTTGCAGGACCGAAGAAGAGTATCGAGCGAGATGGGCTTACACATGTGTTCGGCGGAAACAAAAGCAAGAAGCGTTTGCAAACTTGTCACTGCGACGTGCCATCGCATTGCGGAGAACCACACTTTTCTTTTCTTTCTCTTTTTTCATCTCAGGACCTTTGGATTCCTGTACCTTCTAGTGGTAACCCACCATTTCTTTTTGATAATCTTGAAGAGAAGGGGTTTCGACGGCTTTATGCGGACAATACAGGCTCTTGTAATAATCACGCTTCTCTCACTCTTACCCACGAGTCTTTCACTATTATTACCTTGATTTGTTTATACGTACACGCCTTGTACAAGGCTCATAACCTTTTTTCCTTGTTTTTTTGTTTGATCGTCTAGCTGGATGGTGGTGGGGTATAGGCGATTATAGTCTGAGGAAGTGAACAACATGTGGCGGTCATGTCGGTTCGTGTAGCAAGGAGCGAAATCACAACATGAAAATAAACAAATTAAACAAATTGCAACAGTATTTAATCATGTATTTAGATTTTTTTTTGTTGTAGCTGAGATATAAAAGTTCAGTTGTATGTAAATGCGGTCGTTTGTTCAACCTATTGTCTTGAAAGTATCTTGATTCGACTCGACTTGACTCGACCTCAGGTAACACAAACAGCAAGACGATTAGCCACGACATCCCTCCATGATACCAAAATCGAAACCTACAAAGTTCCCTCTCTCCACATCTTCTCAACCACCTTCTAAATCCTAAACAGACTTATTACACACTACCCTTAGTACACTTTCCCCGTCGTCTTTCATCTCCCACACATGCACATGCATACTACCCTCCCTTTTTTGGTAGCACCCTCAGCCCTATCAGCCCGTCAACCTAAGCTAATAACGCCAACTAAACTAGTCACCCACGCGAATCTCAACCAAACTAACATGCTAGCCCAGACCCAGACCCCAACTACGCATGCATGCACAAGAGTTTGGTCCAGACGGCAGACGCGCCACTAAGACACAGCACCTGCCGCTCCTTGACGTCTTTTGTTTTCTTTTTTTAGCTGCTAGTGGGGGTAGAGTTGCGTTGACATGCGTATAGCGCTTCTAGCATGCATCTTCGTCATGCTACAGTACCATCGTCGTTCTTATCTCCGTAAGTAGGTTGCAAAGAGAAAGAGAGAGAGAGAGAGAGAAGGAAAGACACAGAGAGGAAAAGAGACAGGTGCTCGACATATTGTCACCCATCCATCCCACCCTCCTCTCCCTAGCCCCCTCCCAACCGTTGAGAAACAAGTGTAGTGTCTCACACAACCATACAGTAGTCCCCCTCTTTGCCCTTTTCTTTTTTTTCCTTTCCCCCGAATCAACCGCCATACCGAATCATCCTCGCAACGACGGTCAATCGGCTCGTCGTTTCCCGTCTTCCTACCCACAATCTTTAGCACTTGTCTCTTTCCCCATTTCTCCCCCCCCCTAAATCAACCCCTCGATCCAACACGCACCCCCTCGATCTCTCCATGCCCTCCTAGACTCTAACCCCGCACACCCACTCTCCTGCTCCTCCTGCTCCTCCTCCTCCACTAGAAACGCAACTTCGTATTCTCTTGCAAATGCTCGTAGCGCCTCGCTTACTACCCCCTCCTCACCACCACCATCATCATCATTATCCCCGCCACAAGCCGTAGTAGTAGTATTAGTCACACTACTAGTATTAGAGCGAACCATTCTGGTTCCACTGTTCCCATACAGCCACTCCACAAATGCCTCAAACGTGCGCACCTCTACATTTTCGAATTTCAAAATGCGGCCGCCGCGGATGTTGGGCCGGGGGGCACGGGACAGTAAGCGCCGGAGGAGAGGGGAGCACGCGGCGAGTTTTTGCTCGTGGACGGGGATGCGTGTGGGTGGGGTGCTGATCATGCAGTTTACAATGTTGTAGCCTCTTTCGCTTTACTAATGTTAGCTCTCTTGATGTGAGTTTTCGTTGGGGGATGGAAAGGGGGGAGATGTACTTGGGGTCTGGATGGTGGAGGTATAAGATTGGCATGGCTAGGAGGCTGGCTTTTAGTTCTGTGGAGTCTAGCATTGTGGAATAGTAATGGTGATAACGAAGGCGATAGCGCTGGTGAAAAGGACGAGGCTGAGAATAAAGACTGTTGTAGTTATAGGCATCGTGGTGTTGTTATTGCCTGTCGTTCTGGTAACTGTCTGCCATCAACCTTAGTTGCAAAGACGGTAGTACCTACCCACTGAAACTCCCCCAGTCAGTGACTACCAGTCTCCAACAAGAGCAGTAGTGACGATATCTCTACCTCTTTTGATTGATCCACAACCACCGCTCTGGGAAGGTACTCTGGCCACTGTCTTAATTTCTAATTCAGGCACGTCTACCAACCATAGTCCACCTACTTCCTCATCACCCAACAAGCACCCCCCAAAACAACGTCACAAATCCTCCTAAACTCATCATACCAAATTATACAACCATGTATTTCAATTTTGTTAAACTACACTAATTACCCCCGACGCCGCACTGACCCCCAAAAAAGACTGCTTTTACCCGCACTCGCACAGTCCAAACACAAGAACCGAAAACTCATTTATTAAGAAAACAACGCCCATGATCCTCGAAATGCACCCGCAGATCAGAGCGTCAAAAACGGTCACACAAAACGCCTCATATCCCCCCTTTGCCCAACCTTGCCGTAACCCATTGTTCGAGGGAAAGATGCAAAAGTCAGGATAGTAGCACCGTCGCAATGCTGATGGTCATGTCATGAAACGTCAATTAGGGGTGTTATGGTTATTGTTGAAAGAAGCCTACTCTCATCGAGCGGGCATATTGGGAGCGTTGTTAGTCATTCCAGAAGACGGCACTCGCGTCATAGAAGGTAGGGCAAATGGTGGTGCTGGTGCGGGCGCAGGGGGCTTCGGAGGTAAGTGTGCGGGCGTGCCGTACTTAGCGATGCTGCTCTGTGAGCCCGGATCGCCAGATTGCGATGCAATTCGATTCATGGTCGGAGCAGAGGTATTGCCCTGCATGCTTTGAGGTGATCCAAATGATGGCGTGGAAGTAGCAGATGGACTGTGCCTGGGCATCTGGGTAGGCATAGAAGTCTGAGCAGACATTTGGTACCCACCGTAGCCATTCATCTGTGGCTGTGGCTGCATCATGTTGGGCTGCATTCCAAAAGGCATATTGCGACCCCCGGGAACGAAGGCTTGAGTCTGCGGATTGAACTGTCCACGGTTGTAGCTTCCCGGGATAGGATGCTGATTACGGTTGGGCTTCCCATTGTACGCATTTGGAGGAAACTGGCCATACGGATAGCCTTGCATAGAAGCTTGATGAGGCGCAGACATTGGACGATTGCCTGGTCCATTTGGAGCCCCGTAGTTGTTCTGCGCCATCGGATATGATGGCTGCTGATTGTTTTGCGGCCATCCCGGATTCATAGGTATATGTTGAGGCTGCTGATAGTTGTCTTGGTAGGACGCCATCTGTGGGTTGGCCATCTTTGGCGTCACTTGGGACGGTATGCCGGCGTTCTGAAACGAAGACATGCCCCGCTGAAAGTCTGCTGACAAGTCGTATCCATTCTGTCCTTGTCCGTAACCGGGGTACATCATCATCGATCCATTCGAGGGCTGATACTGCTGTCCGTTCCATCCATATTGCTGCTGTGCTTCCGGGTTCATCATGCCAGGGTACGGGTTACTGTATGTTGTTGAAGGAGAGGCCCCAGGGTTCATAGCTGCAAATGAAGCATTCTGTGTAGGCCCTGGGAAACCGTTGTAATAGACAGCATTGTCTCCGGCGTACGCAGCAACGGGGTACTGCTGTGAATAGTACACGTTGAATCGGGATCGAGCTTGAAAGTCATCGTCGTCATAGTTGCGCTGCTTCTTAGGCTTCTTCTTCCCAGCAACAGAGCTTGACCTCGAGACATCCTTTCCCTTTTCTTTGTCTTCCCCTGATCCGTTGGCCTCGGTAGCATCAGTTTCTTCGCTTTCAGCACTCCCAAAGATGCGTTGGCGTGCTTCACGATACCGCGCCTCACGCTCTTCTCGAGAAAGCGCAGTCTTGTCCTTGTTGGCTTCCCCATCGTTGCTGCCCTCACTACCACCCATCTCAGACGTCGTTTTGGACGCGTTCTGTGAGTTAGCTCCAGTGTTTGTTCCAGATTTACCGTCATCACGTCGCATAATCTTGCGAGCAGGAAGCTCCACAGGAGGAGTATTGGTTCCTTTTGCAGGATCAACCATTTGCGACACAGGCGGCGGGCTGTGACTAGTTAGCGTAATTTCCACCCAGACATGCGATTAACACGTACATTCTACAATATGGCGTGCGCGTAATTTTTACACCCGTCATGGTGGTATCAACCACGTGGCCAAGTAGATAATAGTCTGCAAGACGATGGGCCAGCATCCTGTAGAAAGTGTTACAATTAGGTAAACATAACTCGTTTTCACTGGAAGTCCGTTAGTTTACAATACACCGTAGCACGCTGAGAAGACGAGCTTACCGAGAGTCTTTGATGAAATCGATAAAGTCCTGTTCGATCTTAACGACAAACAAACGATCGCGTGGAGAGCGTAGGGCCTCGAGTAGCTTCTCGTCTGGTATGGCAGGCATGTTAGGTGCGCCATTGTGTGCAGATATGCCATTCACCAGAGGCTGAGACATGGGCCCCGCGCCGTTCAACGACTGGTTTGGATCGTACAACGTCTGGGGTCCAGTAGGCATAGTTGGAAATCTTCCTGGAGGAACTCCTCGGTGAGGTTGAGGGTTCATCACAGCTATCTCTTGAAGCTGATCCCTGAAGGCACGCGCAGCACCATGATCGGATCCCTGTCGGGAGTCTGCAATGACTGAATCTGGAGGAGATATGATGTCTTCCTCCTCGACCGCCCTTAGACTAGCACTGTCATCCGGCCGCAGCGACTCCTTCTCGTCCAATGCAAACGTCGTCGTAGAAGCCACGCTTTTTCCGTCGATACTGGGGGGTTTTCCCGATCCATCAGAAGAAGAGAGTTGGGTGTTACTGTCTTCTGTAGCAGATACCTTGGCAATTGCGGCAGACTGAGGTCTTTCGGCAGCTTCTGCTTTGGCATCTGCTGCTTTGGCATCTGCAGGTGGTGCCGGCGAAGATTCTGCTCTGTCAATTGGTGGCGCACGCTGCGAAGTGACATTTTCAGCACTTTTGTTTGCATTGTTATTTTCTTGCTTCTCCATGGCCGCCTTTAGAGCATCCCTATCTGCAGGAATAGCGCGCGTCTTCTGAGCAATGGCAGGTACTCGAGGCGTCGCAACAGGTGGTCTCGCTTTAGGGGCAGAATCTTTCGATATCTGTGGCTTTATTGCGGAAGCCGCAACCTAACGGTGTTAACAAACAAACATTATATTTTTCGCTGGCCAACAACGTACCTTGGCGAAGGAGAGCGGCCTAGGAGGAGCCTGCTCGGTAGGAGCTGGAGTCGCAGACGCCATGTTTTTTGGCGGCAGTTGGTGTAACAGCTCAGAGGAGCAGGAAATTGCAATCTCAGATGGCCTAAGTGCGGTGCGCCGTCTATGCTCGAATACAGCGAGCAAGGCGAGTCCGAGTTTGCGGGGTTTGGTGAAAGCCGGGTCGTTTCAATGATATTACAGACACCTGGGCCTCACGCCGAAAAAAAAATCACCAAGCTCAACGCCGTTAACGGGTCGTCGTGGGAGTGAAATGAAGGTGGTGTTGACCGGAGCAATGGACGGAATTTTTTTCAGGAAACGAGGTGCTCAAGGAAAGTCGCGATAACTGGGGCCAGAAAGCTGGACATGTTGGTGTGCCGACATTCGGGGGAAAGACGTGGGAGTGGAGTGGTCGTCGACGACTGCGGTGAAGGAGCCTTGACGCCAGGCTTGCGATCCCAAGGGCAGCTTGGAGTGTCGGGCAAGCGACTACGCACCCGGAGACACGACGCAACAAAAATGCGCGCGGCGGATCGAGTGGGCAGCTGGGTAGAGCGTCGGGTAGGGGGTGCGGCGACCAGGCTGGTATGCGGGGTGCAGGGCGAGGCGTGTGAAGGGCACAGAAGCGATGATGAAGCCGCAAGTGGGTGGGTGCGCTTAGTCATACCCTCCGCCGAATGTCCCGGCCAAAGCGCATCAGCGCCTTACCTATCGCGAACAAGGCTGGTCGCGTTCCCTTTGCCGGAAAGTGACAGAAAGAAGATTGAACTTGGCGACGTTTAATTGCTTCTTTGCCCGTCGCCGTGCTGACGCCCAAGGAGTCGCGTACTGTGCTGCCTTTCCCGGTCATCTCCCCTTGATAGTATACACAACAACGAAAACACAATAGCAGGAGCCCGACATACTCGACCATGTTCCGCCGCCCAGGTGCTGGCCGCTCCAAGGCTTCAGCCGACACTCTCTGCCAGAAATGCTTGCAACGTGGACATTACAGCTACGAGTGTAAAGCCCCTGCCCAGGAGCGCCCTTACAAGTCGCGCCCATCCAGGACACAGCAACTACTCAACCCCAAGCTGAAGCCTAAACTCACCACCGAGGTACCAGAGGATCTAGTGCGGAAGAAAGGCATCGCCGACGAGATTCTAAAGAAAAAAGAAGACGAGCGCAAGCACGCACGCTCGCCCTCTACGTCGTCTGTCGACTCCGTCTCCACCATATCAACCAATCGATCACGGTCACGATCCCGTTCACCACCACGCAGAAAATACCATAACGCAAGACGCCGAGACCACGACGACAAAGCCTTACGCAAACGAAGCAGACGATCAATCTCAACCGACTCGCGCACCTCACGAGACTCAGACAAGGGCGACAGAAACACCCGACGACGCATGAGCTCTTTCAGCCCCGACGAGCGCGGCCGCCGACGAACCAGATCCCAGTCAAGATCCAGATCAGCACGCATGCAAACGTCCCTCGAGACCGCCCGAGGCAGGATACCACACAGCATGGGCGGCAGCGTCCGGTCACGCAGCCGCAGCCGCAGCACTCGAAGAGACAGAAAGCGACCGGGCCGGCGGTACCCGGTGTCGCGGTCACGATCCAGGAGCGCGGATCCCATGGATACTTCGGATGAGCGACACCCCGCGCCCAACGGGACCGCACCAGGAGCCAGACGGGAAGCCTCGCCTCCACTAGCGAAGCGTCCTTCTTCACGCTCACATTCGCCCTACCGCGATAGTCGCGATCGCAGCCCCAGTCCGTTTTCGACGCGTAAAGCCCCGCGCCGGTCGCGAAGCCCGCGCGAGGCGAGGAATGGCGGGAGGAGACGTGGGAGTCCGAGTGGAATGGCGAGGAATAGGTTCGAGGAGTATCCTTCTGCGCCTCCGGTGCAAGCAGCGCCTCCACCGGCTCCTAGGGAGCGCAGTCTGAGTCCATACAGTAAGCGATTGGCTTTGACAAAAGCTATGCACAACGGATAAATCACCATCTCTGTGGTGCAGAGAAACTGCAAAACCTTGCATTCTTAGAGCGAATACGTCTGAATTGCCCTAGCTGCTTTTAAACTTTCTGCAAAGTTGGCGTGAGAAAGAACATTGCTATTCAGATTGTACGGTAGCGATTGTTTCTCGGTATCCAGGGGGGTTTTCCCTATATGGGCTCCTCATTATTTCTATTCTTTTTCAGACACTACTATCTTATAGACTTGAGCATGTATACAGCTGTGTGTATACCAATTTCAATTAAACTGTGCAACCCGACGATGAGCTTTTCATGCCTTTGACCCCTGATGATAGACAGGGATGAGAATGTATTTCTTTTGATATGCCGCCCACCCATCGCAATGATACGAGAAACAGATAGAGGATAAACGCTCAGGGCAAATGTGATGATATATGCTACAAGCAATCTGCCTTGCCCTTGCCCGGCCACTTCATACTAAAATCGGATCCTTCATAACGACTCAGACTACGGCCGACAGTGATAGTAGGTATTACCCTAAGCACCACTAGCTACACCCCGTATATTGATTCCACCTGCGGAACGCTCAGCAGAACCACGAATATTAATGCCTTCTTGGCTGTGCGATCGTCCCTGTCCGCGAATACTCATGTCAGTATCGCGGGATATACGATCCGCGAGACCGCGACGAGGCCGTGCTGGCTCAGAAAAGTCGGTGACGTTTGGGTCACGGTAATCGTTCTTCAGTCGTCCATATCCCCCTTCAGAGTCGTTGTCGTCGTCATCGCGCGTGATTCTATCAGCGAGAGAGCGCTTGTGCTGTGGGGCTACAGGTTGGCCATCCTTTGTCATGCGCGAGAGCAATGATGCACCGCTTCCTCGCTTCACGTCAATTGCATTCGACCGGTGGTGATTGCCCATGGGCGAGGTGTCCACGAAGAAGGCGTCCTTTTGCCATCGGCCTCCGCTTGTAGTTCCTCCAGCACGATCATAGTTTGCGCGGTCATGTGTCCATCGGTCAGCGCTAGCTTCACGCCGACGTCGGTTGTTGTGACCAGGGCTGCGGCTACGGTACCGGCTGCGGCCTGCGTGCGTTGCGTCCTCTGCAAATCCGAATCGACCGTCGCCTTCTTCGTCTGAGGCAGGGGAGGCACTACGCCCTCGTAGACGGCCAAAGCGTGGTTCTTTTGGACTGGCTTTTGTTAGTATAGCAGTTGATGCGCCAGATACTTGTAGAGGTACCTTCTCGAACCTGGCCTGTAAGAGTCGACGTCTTTGCCTTGGTTGTCGCTTCGGAGCCTGCCAGTAGATTGGCGGTCTCCTCTGCCTCGACCGCGATTGTCGCGCTCATTGCGGGTGTCTCGTCCATTTCTCCGCGGGCCCCTTCGGTCAACACCCGAATCTCCCATAGACTCGTCTCCGCTGTCTCTCCTCCTGCTGCGCTCGCGGGATCCCATCTCTTCGTCTCCATAGTCTAAAAAGTCCTTCTTGGGTGGTTGCCTTCGTCGCGGCTCCCTCTGGCGATTTCCTGCAACATCTGGATTGCGCTGATAATAGTTGCTTCTCGTCGCCGCGCCCCTTGGCTTCTGGTCTCCAGCATTGGACTGTCTGACCGAAAGAACGCTGTTTGGCTTCTTCGAGTATGGCTTTGCCTTGCGAGGCGCTTGCAGAGAAAGGTTGCTAGTATCACCGGTATCGGGATGCGTGAGCAAGTTCAAGGCCAGCGCGGCATCTTCCTTTGTGTAGTATTCAAGATTGACCGAGTTGTCGTTGACCCAGCGCAGTTGCTTGACGCGTGGTTCTGACTGGCAATGCTCCATGGCCCAGTACAATGGGTCGTTGGGGTCGAAGTCGCTCACGCCTTGGAGGTTTATCGACTCGGGCCATGGCTCGTGAATCACAATGTCCTCCAAATAAGCTGCAGGTATGCTGCCTTCGGGCTCTGCTATGTTGTTCTGCCACGGGGGAATCTTGTTAGATGATTGCGCCGTATACGTTACGACGTTCCGCTGAGCTCACCTGAGCAACTTGCTGTGGCTGTTGTTGCGTTACGGGTTCAACGTTTGGTCCAACATCAATTTCAATGTCGTAGGCGACATCGGTCATGTCTGTGTCGTCCATGATGGCGGGAACGTGCAGTGGGGCTCTGCGATTATGTGAGAATTGCGTAGGGCGGAGGTGTTGTTGGAGGCTGGACAGCCGGCGATGGGACAGGCGCGCCGCGGTAAGCTCCAGAGGCGGGCACTAACACAATCACGTGAGGTATGCGGTGTGGTGTGCGGTGTGTGCACGACAATGACCTGCAGTACCGCTTGGTCAAAAACGGTAGCTAGTAGGCAGGCTTTGGCGCAGGTGGGTACATATATATCAAGGTCCTGGTCAAACACGGAAGAAGCCCGGGTCGGGGACGTGCCTACTACACGCTACGGAGGCAGCCACAGTTACGATCATTGTTTCTGGGAGCTAACTAGGGTCAAACACGAAGACAGTGCTCCAGACAGACATCTTGAAGCGTCGCACGATACTATGCTTGCGGTGGCTAAGACTGCTCCTCCAACGTGAAGGTACCGGTCTTGGTGATGAGGTACTCGTTCACTGCGACATCTTTTCCGGACTCCTTACCGTAACCGCTCTGTTTGATGCCACCAAACGGCGACTCTGCAGCGGATCCATTTCCCTATTCTATTATTAGTGACCTACTTGTTTAATTTTGACGTTCAATAGCATGCAGCATACCGTGTTGAGTCCAATCATACCAGCCTCCAAGTTCTCAAACAGCCTCCATGTCCGGTCAACGTTCTTTGTGAAGCAGTACGAGGCAAGGCCCATGCTGGTATCATTGGCAGCCTTTACTGCCTCATCTTCCGTGCTGAACTTGATGAATGTGCAGATTGGCGCAAAAGCCTCTTCTTTAGCAAGATCCATGTCAGGTGTGACACCAGAAATGACAGTGGGTTCGAAGAAGTAGCCACCGTCCTTCTCAAGCTTGTTGCCACCCGTGTGTATTTTAGCACCCTTCTTCTTCGCATCTTCCACGAGAGCAACCGCCTTTTCAATCCCCCGTGGTGTCGTTACTGGCCCCATTGTCGTCTTCTCGTCAGCACCATGGCCAACTACAAGCTTTTGAGTCTCGGCATTCCAACGCTGAAGGAACGTGTCGAAAATACCAGACTGCACGTAGATACGATTCGCGGTAATGCAAGCCTGTCCAGCATGACGGAATTTCAGGGCGAAGATTTGGCCTACAGCCTGCTCAATGTTTGCATCGTCAAAGATCAGAACAGGACAGTTGCCTCCCAGCTCCAATGTCACTTTCTTCAAGTTGTCTGCACATATCTTAGCAACAAGCTTTCCAACACGCGTCGAACCCGTGAAAGTGACCTTGCTCACGAGTGGATGCCGACATAATGCTTCACTGAGCTCTGGGGTCTTATCGAGATCTGTAGTCAACACATTTAGTGCTCCCTTGGGGAAACCAGCCTTCTGTGCAAGGTATGCTAATGTGAGTATCGTAATCGGTGTTTCTGGACTAGGCTTGACTAGCATTGTGCATCCGGCAGCCAGTGCGGCACCTGCTTTCCTCAAGACCATTGCAATGGGAAAGTTCCAAGGCACTAACGCGACGGCAACACCGAGGGGTTGTTTGATGGTGAAGACACGTCGATTCGGGAGCGCAGGTGTAAAGACAGTGCCTTGGATGCGTTCAGCCTCTCCAGCGAACCACCACGTGAATCCTGTGGAATAATCAATCTCGCCATAGGCCTCGGCTCTCGGTTTTCCAGTCTCGTATACAAGAATGGTTGCTATGTCTTCTCTGTTTTCCTTGATCAGAGCGTCCCACTTGAACAGCATCTGTGCCTTTTGTCGAGGGCTGATATTCTTATATTTCTGGAAAGCGTCGTATGAGCTCTTAACAGCATTCTCAACATCAGATGCATCGTTTGTGGGACATTCTATCCATGGTTTTCCAGTCCCGGGGTCTTTCCTTGGTGTGAGTACATGGTCCTTGGGCATCGATCTAGTGACTTACCAACTACTTCGAATGTCTTGCCTGATTTTGCTTGCACCCAGTCACCATTCACAAAGGAGAGGTTGTGAAGAAGATCTGGATTATTCAGCTTTTGAATGTTAGTTCGAGTGATCTATGCTGGGGTGACAGATCTTTCGGACCTTGAATGGCAGCTGATATTTGCTTTCCGAACCCATTATTGCGTTGTCTACAAGAATTATTTGCGTATACTGAAGCCTCAAGGTTATCCGCACCGGAAGGTATCTGTCGAAAGTTGAGAATCACGACTCTGAATATTTCAAGATTGATCTTAAGAAAAGGCGAGGTGAGGGTGTTCGTGAGTGTGTAAGAATGACCGGTCCGGCGGGAAAGTGCACCAATGCTGTGACCGTCCCGGTCCTCGAGCTAACCCGTCCAACTACCCCACGCTAGATAGCATATAGGTTATCGGGAACTGACCGAGTTACTGACCAAATGCACCCGGCTATTCAAGGGCCCCTAGCACGCCAAGAGTATGGGTTCAATTGCAATGTTCGGCGAGAACGGCATGCGATTGGTCTGAACCACGGTGGTCCTCGAACGATACGTCAACTCTATGCGGGGCATCATCCTTACCCCTCACTCCTGCAACACTGTCGTTCCGAGTATTGGTTATCGGAACATGATAGTGGAGATGCGATATTCAAGGCAGAATATGGTGTCCAAAAGAAGTGACAGAAGAGGACGCGCTGTCCGTTCTTGCAACACGACTGCTCTGGTGTCCCATCCGCCTGACATCTGACGTTTGAATCCGATACTCGTTGATGCCAATTGTGATTGATTCACTAGCTCTTTCCCATACATCACCTCCAACAACCACTCCCAATCGTCACCATGGGTAGATTAGACGGCAAGGTTGTCCTTGTCACAGGTAAGAAAGACATCCTCCATCACCTACTACTCTTACTAACACCACCTCTCAGGCGGCGGCTCCGGTTTCGGCGCAGGAATATCCAAAGGCATGGCCTCTGAAGGCGCCAAAGTTCTCGTCTGCGATATCAACGCTACCGGCGGCCAAGAAACATGTTCTGCAAATCCCTCCTCACTAGCCTTCCACCAAATGGATGTGACAAAGTCAGCCGACTGGAAAGCAAGTGTAGCAGCCTGCATTGAGAAATTTGGGCGTTGCGACATCCTCGTAAACAATGCGGGCTGGTCGTACACAAACAAGCCGACAACGACGGTTACCGAAGAAGAATTCGACAGGGTTTTCGATGTCAACGTCAAGGGCGTGTATCTGGGATGTAATGCTTGGGTTGACCAAGCGATTGAGCGAGGTGAAGGTGGTGTAATCATCAACATAGCGAGTGTGGGTGCTACAAGACCAAGACCAGGTCTTGTATGGTACAATGCAAGTAAAGGCGCTATTTGGAATGTATGTTTCCATTCTTTCTTTCCTCTTGTGAATTCTTGCTTATATGCAGCAGGCAACAAAAGGTCTCGCGGCAGAATACGGTCCACATCAGATCCGTGTCGTATCTATTTGTCCCTTGGTCACTGCTACGGGCCTTTTCTCCGCTTTCACTGGTATGGAAGATACGCCGGAGAATAGGACAAAGTTCACGTCCAATGTACCCATGGGACGTATCGGTGAGGTAGACGATGTGGTAAATGCGTGTATCTTCATGGCGAGCAAAGAAGCAGGTTTCATTACAGGAGTCAATCTTGAAGTAGACGGTGGACGATGTATCTAACCACCCACCCACATTCCCTCAGAAATACAATCAATCCATTACTCTTCATCCTCAAACATCACATAATCTTCCATCCTCACATCTTCCTCCACCTCCCCCTCCTCATCCTCCTCGACGAACAACTCCTTCATCTCCCTTTGTCTCCTCTCCCACTCCCAATCACGCGTCTTCGTCCCATCGATAAGCGAATCAAGCACCACCGCACCCATCCTCTCCTCCATCCCCATCTTAACCTGCTTGTCTACCTCGACCCCCCAACCTTCCCACACCGCACCCCGCTCACTCGCCGTCATCGGCCCCTTGCTCGTCCTCCACCTCTTCGTAACCTCTCTCTCCCTAACCGCTGCCGGTGCCGCAATCATAAACTCAAACGCCTCTTTCACCTTCTCATACGCCGCTCGATGCGCTACACCCGTTGGGTAACTCCCCACATCACCTCCCGGCATAGGATACGACTCCAAAACTTTACACTTCCCATTTCGCACCCTTGCAGTAGCATTCTTCCACACACCCATCGGCAAGAAAATCGCTTTGCTCAGCACGATTTCGCCGCTTCCAGGACGTACGTGGCCGAGTAGGAAAGCATCGGTTTCGGAGATGCCGCCGTCACCGAGTTTGGCGCCGCCGGGGCCGAGTGTGTTGGCTGGGAAAACGATTTTCTGGAAGTAGATTTGGATGGGAATGTCGGAGTAGTCAGTTGCGAAGGGGGAGGTTACAAGAAGTGAGGGGGCGAGGGTGGACATGGGGGATGGTGGGGGGATGAAGGGTAAGGGGGTGGGTTCTGTGCGGTGGATGCTTGGTTGTAGGGGTTGGAGGAAGGGCGGTGGAGGATAGGGGTGTACGTTTGCGGGTAGTTGCTGTCCGGTTGCCATGAAACTGTTATTGGAACTATTGAAGACAGATTGGTTTGGAAGTGTAGATGATTCACTTGATTGTCCACGGTCGGGTACGTAAGTGCCATGATCTTGGTGTATAAATGTGGGTGGTCGAAATGGAACTGGTAAGGTCGGAGCGACAGGATAAGAAGGCATATGATACTGTGCAGGCACATATGGTTGCTGATCGTAAAGCTGATATTGTAATAAGAGATGTTGGGGCTGGTGAAGTGCAGGTAGGCTGGGTTCATATCTAGGTGGGTATGCGAAAATGTTGTTTAAAGCGCCAAAATCATTGAAGCCATCTGGCTGGATGATTTCATCGAATATGGAAGATGAGAAAGCATGGCGATATGTGGCTCCACCAGGTGATTGCATGATGAAAGGGTCGTATTCTCCAAAGCCCCCAGACAGCTGATGCTGAGGTCCAGGATTATAAGCTTGCAAAGGAGAAACACCAATGTATGGAGTGAAATTTGCAGTGGGTAAAGGCATTGAGGCTGCATGATGCGCCGTAGGAGTCGTATGAGGCATGGACAATGGAGGTGGGAAACCAACGTGGCTATGTGTCTGCTGATGTGCATCCGACTGTCCTGTAGGAGGAAGAAATGCTTGATTGGTTTGCACGGGAGGGTTTGGAGGTTGTAACGGCGGCAAGTTCAATTGTGGAAGATTGGGAGGAGGCGGTGGTAGTGGTCCAGAAGGCATGCGCAATCGGTTGCTTGCGTCGCCACTATCGTCATCATCAGAGTCGTGGCTGTTGGACATGTTCTCATCATCAGAAGCACTTGTATGAGATCCCCCTTCTTCGCCGACAATTGTATGACGTTGTGCTGGACCCGTGAGAACGTCCTCCAAGTACCTGGCTACCGTCTCTCTATCCTTTGTTCGTTCGAAGAGCTCACTTTTCATCATTCCCACTAGAGGCTGAGGGACTATGTTGATTTTGTGGTCATTTTTGTTTGTGGCCTGCTGGATCTTGCGCAACATCTGCACGGCCATATCCTGACGAGGAGGGTATGACAGTGTCACAGGAATCAGCGGAACGCCCGATGCTTCTTCAGACGTTGCATTGTTTGCAGCAACTCGAGCCTCAACAGCCAGCCTGTCACTGATAGCAATTTCCCTCTGCTTCTTTGCGTACTGTTCCTTCTCCAGGAAAACTTTCTGCGCCATTTGTGCATCTCTCTCGTAGTTCCTCAGACCCTCTCCCCCAGTTGGAGGAGTATCCTTGACATTTTCCTTCTGACATCGATTGTAGTCTCTAATCTTTTGCGGGGTGACTCCAGCTTCCATGAGCATGTAAAAGGCGCGTTGTCGTGACTTGAAGCAAGCAGCGTAGTACTTTGCGCGTTTTTGCGAATCTTGAGGAATGTTGATCAAAGGCGGCAGAGGTTCGTTCAGCTTTGGTGGTTGTATACCAAAGTGCACTTCGCGGTATTGTAGACGTTCGCTTTCTTCTGCCTTGCGTTCTAGTGCTGCTAGATCTGGTTTGTTTCGCATTTTCTTGGTAGGTGAGTTTTGGGTAAGTTCTTCTGTGTTGCTATGCGTTGGTGTCTTGTCACCTGCTTCGTTCTTCTCATCTTTGCTCTCTTCATTTGCTTGCTTCATCTTCTTCTTGATATCTTCTGGGACCATGAGTGGATGATGCTCAAAATCCCACAAACTCGGAATCTCTCCATGCAATGCCGCCTTCAGTGCCCTCCCATCTCCCTCGTAGTAATCGATCCACCGGTACAAGAATTCGATAAAGTTAGGCACCACAGCGCTGTTCACCTGTATGATATCAACCAGAATTCTCAACATGTCCTCCTCGTACATCAATTCTGGGTCTAGGATGCGGGGCCGGACTGTGATTGGGGGTGCGCTCTGTCGCGATCGCTGCGCAGTGGGCAAGTTTTGCTGTTCTTGGTCGAGACGAGGCTTCTTCAAGGAGTGCGGGTTGACGGAAAGCTGGCGAGCTGCAGTTTGATTCACCTCCCACTGCACGTACCAAGTCCATAGTTCTTTGCCCGTCTCCCTTGCCTTGCGTTCTGTAAAGTCTTGTAGGAGTGCGAGGAAGACGGCGTGGTTTGTATCCATACTGTAGACGATAGGGTTTTGCATGTATCTTTCGTATGGTATGAGCATGGGAAGTGGTTCGACATTACCAACGACGTCCTGTAGCCCAAGATAGCGATCGTCGAAGAGGTCGAGGACCTTGCCATGAGAGGCCATACTGTAGCAAAAGTAAGCAAGGCACCCGTTGCGAGATGAAGAATCTTGGGTGCAAGGAAAGCGGGTTTGACGGGCGGGAGGTTCTGAGTGAGAGGTGACGGGTAAGTAGAGCGCGGTCTTGCGTTGCTACGCAAACGCAAAGGAACAATAGCAGTGAACGAAGCGGGGAAGGTGAGTGTGGAACTGAGAAGTGAGAATGGCGCGATAGGAAATCTCACACACAAGGTCTGCCTGCACGAATTTTTGGATAGTGTATGGATATTTTCATCAAACAAACCTATACCTGCTCTTCATTATAAGAAGCTCCCCATATTTGTACACGTGCAATCAGGGTATCGCAGCAGCAGCAGTAGCAGCACACGCGCCCTACGCCTGCAACAAGCATGCATCAGGTCTATTCTAGCAGTTTGTTTTCTCATTTGGTGCTGTCCCTGATTTTCTGCAGAATGACGCTCGCCCTGTCCTCTACATCTTCGCGCACTCTCCTCCAGTCCGTGTTGTACACCTTCTTGACACCCTCCTCGAGGCTCCTATTCCAGCGGTCTTTTGCCATCTCTGCCAACCCTACTGGGGCCTCCCGACTTGTCGGCTCTGGCTCTGGCTTCTTGGGCTCGTAGAACTCGGCAAGCACCCGGCGCTGTTGTCGTAACAGGGCGGCTTGTGTTGCGCGGTTTTGTGTGTGCAGCGATATTGTGAGATAGAGGACTGCGGATGTGAGAGTGACGCCTCCAAGCTGCATTGGTTAGCCGAGAAGATGTCGCAGGGACACAGCACGTACGAAGCCGGTGGTGAAGCCCATGGCTAAGCTGCAGTAATTCGTGGGCGCAACGCTTAGGGGGTCTTTGCTGGGGTAGGCAAAAAGCCAATGCCTCTACAATTCGGCGTGTGAGGACTTTCCGAAGCACTCTGGAAGCTCGGGGCTGCTCCTGTGCGCGCGAGCGGGGATGGTGGTCGATATGGAGGAAAGTCGGCTCGGGTGTGAGGTCAGCGTTGGGGATCGCGACATGCCAGGGATGGCCAGTTACCAGAAGAGGTAATTTCTGGCAAAATCCGTAGATTACGTGGCAACGCAGTACCATGAGATTTCAGCGCTGTACCATGACTATACCTAATTAGGCTCGATATCCTGTCCACCAAATATATCCTCACGTCTTTGCCTGGAATACAAAACTAGTCCTCTCCAATGACCTTTTTCTCTATATATTTTCGGGAAAAAACATGTCGTTGTCACGAAATTGAGAGGAAATGATGGTCACGCTGATATGTAAATGGTGTGGCTATGTCTTGATTGGGTACAGCTGTTACCTGATGGAGCGAAATGCGCCATGAGAAATCCATCTAGGCGAGAGCTATATCTATATGGTACGAGCCTATGGCGCAGCGGGTCTTTCTCATGGTCGAACAACGTGCATTATTCTTTTGCATATCAATGCCTACGATTACCAACCTGTTGTACGACATCAACCCGCCATTTTAATTCTGATCAGAAATAAAATAGCCAATGCACTACCGCAAGAGCATGGCTTACGCGTATCACTGTTCACTTTTGAGATAGTAGCATGGTACAATGGGTAAAGTTCGGCTACCCTCCATTAATTGGTTTACGTAAGTATCCGAAAAAAGACACTCAGTATCCTCACCAATCGTCTTCTGCTGTCTCGAAAATTGGCATCGAGTACTCGGTCTTGTGCAACGCAACTAAGAGCGAGTGCACGCATTGCGGCAGCCAAAATTATCAGTCTGCCTTACGTATGTAACAAGATGGAAAGATGTATGGTATGTACACCTCGGTACCAGTTGCCGAGATCAGTTACCAAAACTCATTTGCGAGACAGACGCCTGCGGGTAAAACACATGGTATGTGACGACGCTGCTGGTCACGTGAACAGGCGTTGCCGCGTCGCGTGGCTTGTCGTCTGTGCGTTGTGTTTTGCACGCAGTGACGCGATGTCGGTGCCTGATGGGACGACGGCGATTGCGGAATAACGACGGCGAGTTTTGAGCACCACGAACCACGAGCATACTTCAGACGATACTTTAGCCTTGATACTCGATAACACTTACTCTTGATCAGACCAGTGTCCAACTCTTATACACAACATACTCGCTACAATGGGCCCCGCCCCGCCTGGAAGCCAGGCAGCCCCTCTGCCCACAAATCTGCCCTTTCGTCTCGTGAGCAAGACCATTGGACAAGGCGCATATGCCTCGTCAGTCTCCGTCTTCATGCTGTCAAGTTCTCCTGCTAATGTCGCCTCAGGATCCGCAAAGCCGTACCCCACAATGCCCCCAAACCCGTCATCGCCATCAAGTTCATCAACAAAGAACATGCCCTGCGCACCGGCCGCCTCACTCCGAAGCAGATCAAGATGGAAATTGTATTGCATCAGCATCTCGGTAAACACCATAACATCATCCATTGCCTGGGCTCCGGCGAGGACGCACTGTGGACATGGATAGCCATGGAACTCGCAGAGGGAGGTGACTTGTTTGACAAGATCGAAGCAGACGAGGGTGTTGGTCAGGATGTGGCACATCTGTACTTCTCACAGCTTGTCAGTGCCGTCGCATACATGCATAGCATGGGCGTGGCGCACAGAGATATCAAGCCTGAGAATGTACTGCTGAGTGCCGAGGGAGACTTGAAGCTGAGTGATTTTGGACTGGCAGCCTTGTTCAAGAAGGATGGACAAATACGGCTTTGCAATACTGTTTGTGGCTCACCGCCCTATATTGCGCCCGAAATTGTCAGCGGAAGACGAAGCAAGAGGGCCGATGTCTTGGACGTAGGATACGAGGCCAACATGTGCGATATTTGGAGTTGCGGTGTTGTACTGTTCGTTCTTCTTGTCGGAAACACGCCGTGGGATGAACCCACGATGCGGTCGGAAGAGTTCAAGGAATACGTCGACACCGGAGGCCATACGACTGATGAGCTGTGGGCCAAGCTTCCACCTGATATTGTCAGCTTGCTTCGAGGCATGCTCAAGGTCGATCCAAAACAGCGCTTTACCCTGGACGAAGTGCGTACGCATCCTTGGTTCACGCGTAAGAACCCCTACTTGACACCTTCGGGACGGAATGCCAATCCAATCGGTCTGGCGACACAGATGCTTTCCCATCTGCGCATCGATTTCACGCGACCACCCACCCAATCTCAACGCGGATTCTCGCAAGACGACGGTGATGCAATGGAAATTGACACAAGCGACGACCCCCGTCGTTCCAGCGCCATCCACATTCTCTCCTCCACCCAACCCGAAACCCCCTCCGGCGACACACCGTTTGACTGGGAACGCCCACCACGCCTCGCAACCCACGACGGCATGTCCGCCTCGCAGCCCACCACAACCGGCCACGCAGCCATATACCATCCGGAAACAAGTTCCACGCCCTTCCTCTCACAACTTCCATCCTCGACCCAAGACGCTCTATGCCAAGACCCCAGCATGACCCAATTCAGCTCTCAACCCGGCGTGCCCTTAACCTTTACCCAAGCCGCCCGAAAATTTGCCGACATCCTCCCTTCCTACTCCATGGCCCGCTTCATATCCCCTCGTCCTTTATCCCTACTTCTCCCTTTACTCCTCGCGTCTCTGAACCGTCTCGGCGTCCCAGCTCCGTCCTTTTCCGCCCTCCAAATCGAAGAAGCAGAGCAGCTCGGCAGCGCGAGTATACGCGTCAAAATGGCGGATGGGCGGCGGCAGGGACTCAATGGGCATGTGGTGGTTGAGAAGGCCGTGTATGAGGGCGCGGGGTACTGGGAGGTCAGGTTTGTCAAAGCGAGTGGGGATCCGCTGGAGTGGAGGCGGTTCTTCAAGAATGTAGTCCTTTGTGTGGGGGATGTGGTGTTACGGCCGAATTAGGAAGGGGATGGTGCGAGGGATTTTTGGTTGTGTATGATAAAGTGGTGTTTTGAGCATCTTTGTATGGTAATGTTTTGGTAGGTGGGGTTTATGGTGTGAAGAATATGGGTTGTAATGAACGGATATGGGTATCCGAATTTTGTTTTGAGTAATCATAGTAGATGTCATAACCTAGTTAAAGAAGACGTTTCGTTTCATTCCTCTTTTCTTTTCGTCTCGTACAGAAAAGTAAAAGATATCACAGAAGTTTCAACTCCAAACTAAAAAGCAACATGGAAATCCAGATAGGGATATGATTTCTCTAGATAAAACAGACTAGCGATAGCATTACTCATTAAAAACGTGACAATGATGTCGTCGCACCCGTCACTCAATCTACATCATCATAGCGCTAATAAGCACTGCCACAACACCCACGACCACCCCACTAATCCTCACACTGCTCGCCGCATCTTTCTGATCACTGCCACTTCCCGGCCTATCACCATCCGCACTACTCTGCGGCTGATCCTCCGCCTTGAGCTCACCAGGGCCGTAAGGCTTATACCCACCAGACAGCGAACTCTTATGTCCCGTGCTGCCCTCTACACACTTGCCCTCATCCTGGAACGCATCCCACGCCTGCTTCCACGCAGCATCGGGATCGAAAAACGTTTCGGCCGTGTAGAAAATCTTGCAATCACTAGCTTCATAGATGTATTGTAGCGGCGTACCAGACGCATCGCCCTTGCGAACCTGATCTTGCGATTGCAACCGCGAGGACTCGTCGCCCGCGCGCGTGGTGATTTGCGGAGTGTTTGCAATACCCGAGAGTACAGAGTCTGTGGCTGAGAATGCGGAGAGATCGGCGAGGGAGCTGAGGTTCAGCGCTACCTCAGCGTACATTTGCCAGTAGAAGAGAGGCGTGACTTCGCCGCCTTTGCTGCCGGTGACAGTTTGAATAGGCTTGTTTTCTGGGCGGCCACCGACGGTGACGGCTTTGACGCCGGCGATGTTTTTGAGCTCTTCGTGGAAAGAGGCGCAGGACGAGCCGCACAGGGCGTCGGTGTACATGACGATGTTGGAGGCGTTGAAGGGGGTGGGGCGGGTGCCGTTTACGAAACGGAAACCTGCAGGGAGGATGGAGAGTTCGTCCGTGTACTGTGTTTTTGTTAGTAAAGAAAAAGGTATCACAGGATTGTGTAATATATAGACTTACGTTGTATCGCATAGTCGAAGTAAAGCTGTCGCCGTTCAGTTTCACAGGTCCGTTGAAGTCATTCCAGTCCTTGAAATCGGCTCCATCACTGTTGAGGAAGTGCCACCAAGACCAGTATCTGTATATGTTGCTCTTCTCGATATCATTCCTTGTGAAACGAGTAAACGTCCTCGCCTTGGAAGAATCACCTCTGATCTCATTTACAGCGTCGCCAATCTTGAGAAAGGCCTCAGTCGCCCTGTACCGTTGTCCAGAAAAGGGCACCATTTCAGGGAAGAGTTGCATGAAGACGTCCAAGAGGAGATTGGTGTTGCCACCACCGTTTTCACGCAGGTCGATGATGAGTTTTTGCTTGTTGTCGCTCACGCAGCTTTCAAGGAATTTGGAGACCACGGCCTGGAATTCGTTGTTGAAATCCGTCTCGTCAATGTCAGAGCTGGGGTTGCTGAATGAGATAATCTTGAGCACGGCGACATCCTCATAGCCGTTTCCGTTGAGGTAGTATCCTGCTACAACTTGACTTTGTGATTCGACAATAGCGTCTGCATAAGGACTTGGGATAGTCTGGCGCTTGTTGCGGAGGTGGTAGATACCAGTAGGAATACGGGGAACAGGGTCAGGAGCGCTTGGAGAAATGACATGGCTGAGACTCGCGGGGTTTTGTGGCCCTTGACTATCAGTCTCTGGCGAACCCGTCGTGGATTTTGTACTGGCTGTGGCTGGTTGGGCAAAAAGGCGGCCTGTACAGAATGCGTTGAAAAAGGACTGTCCATCGGTAACACGGGAAAAGTCTTGCTCTGATCTGGCAAGGTTGGTAACAGAGACTGTTGTACCGTTCGCCCATGTGACATCTGTGCTGTTGCCATCATATTTGCTCTGTATCATGAAGCTACCAGGATTGTCCGTATCTCCTTTAGCCACCATTTTGTTGAGTAAGCCATCTGAATCAATGTACTGCGACCATGAGACAGATAGGAGGAAGGCATAGGGGTCTTGACCATTAAGCTTAGAAATCTCAGAGACATCCGAGCTACCTTGAGCCAGAGCCAAGACGTCGTCGGCAACGTACAACTTGGGCAGTGATTTACCATCCTGGGAAATGGAAGCGACATTGAAGGGGCGCAGGAATCTGAAAACCTGGAGTATGTCGGGTCTATAGTTGAAATGGAAGTTGCCAGTTCGAATGGTGATGTTCTGAATGGCGAGTTGGACAGCGTACTCGGACGAGAACGAGTCAAGATTGCTTTTGATGTTGTCGAGTTCCGCCTCGATATCTAACGGACCCCACTCCCACTCATTTCCTGGATTCTTCAGCCATGCGAGTTCTGACTGAAATTGCCATATGTTTTTTAATTCGTCGAGGAGAAGGCGATTGCCTTGGACGTCGACAGGGACAGATTCGAGACATTCGTAGGCGGCTTGTGCCTCGATATTGGTAGCTCGATTCAGCTGAGCGGCAACAATTGCGCAAGGCTCAGAAGAAGATTGAGCTGCAGTCCATGCTGCAGAAGCCACAAGCAATACGCCCTTGAGCATATTGGACATGTGGAGGTGGAAGTCGACAATGGTACAGCAAACAAGGGTATCGGGCAATGTCGAAGCAACCAAATAATTAAAACCAAAAAGAATGCCGCTGAAGGGCAGAAGTACAGAAGTATGTGAATAAAAGGACAATAGCCGCTGGGGCTCTAGGATTAATTGACGTCTACTCTGAAAGGCTGCAGCATGGCGCCTGACCTTGAACGAAAATAGAGAAAGGCAAAGGCGCCGCTCGAATTACTTTTCTTTCCCAGATAGGCTGCCGGTCTGCCTAAAGTGCAGATGGACAGGAGACGCCTCTCGCACTATGCCGTGGGGGGGATGGAGTGTGCTAGTCTATTCGTCCGTTGTTCAACTCGGGGGATCCACATGCACCAGCCACTTTCGCTTCGCTCTAAATGAATTGTCCTCCAGTCAGTGTCTGGAGCGCATGTCACATACCACTTGGCGGTACGGGCCCTGTCCCCAGATTGTTGCTGCGCGCCGCATCTTGCTTCCAACTCTTGGCTCAAACACGCGATTGCATCATAGCGATTGCTAGATCAACTCGCCGGCGATCTTCCCCTGCTCCCCTAGGGAAAAGCAGAAGTGTCGGTCGGCTTCATTCCCTGAAAGAAGGTGTTGTTGTACTTAGCGCTAGTCCGCAAATTGTCCTCATGTCTTCAGCTCTTCACGCCCTTCCGAGGCAAAGCGCTAGGCATGCGCCAAGCGTGGCACAGGAAGTAGGCAAGCGAGCAGCGCGAGGCGCCATTGTTCTGACCGGTCGCGCCCGTCACGCCCGACTATGCCGCGTTTGAAAGAGAGCCAACAAGAATTGTGTGGAGGCTGTCGAGTTGGTTCAAATGCGCTGTCATTGGGGGCTGCGCCGACGTAGTGCCGGCACAGACAGGAGCTTGCTGGCGCCATGCCAAGGTATTTTGCTCAGCTTCCAGGGTATCACAACATGCACGAGACAAGAAGAATACACTTCATCTCGTGCATCCTGCAAGAGAAACCGGCAAACAGCGCCTTCATGCATTAGGCCGACTGCGCGATTGCTTGTGAATGTGGCTTCATGTGGAAGTCAACGGGTATCGTGCTGGACCTGCGACTAGCCAAGCCTACAAAGAGCCTCACCGGCCTGTCGAACAAGGCTCCTTTGTCTCACATCAAGTATGACAACATCAGCCTTTTACGTAGATCCATGCCTGAGGCGTTCCGGCCCCCAGCCAGGCTGGAGCAAAGAAGTATGCATGGCTTGAGAACAGGATGATTTTTAGAGGGGTGCAAGGCCAATCACAAGACAGAAGGATGCCTAAATAACCCAAGACCAAGCCACCTTATACTCAGCCTTGCGCCCACAAAATAAGTGTGCTGATGATGAACGTTTGACTAACTTATGATGGATGAAGCATGCCTGGATATGTTCTGGCCCCCAAAAGCCATGACTCTTCCCCCATTGATACCTTATGCTCGTTGGATACGCAGCGGCAGCTGACGAAAAGACTAAAGTCATCGCTGAACTGGGCTTCCTATATATTCCACAGCCAAAACATGTGTAGAGGCATGTCGACATATCATACGATTCTGTATGTCAAGGCTCACCAGCTGCAACTCGGTCAAAGTGCCTGTGCATCGAGCTGATGCCCTACATGCAATCCGTACAGTGAACGATGAGATTTCATTGTCCAAAGAACAGAAGAGACACTACAAAGGAATTTATCTGCTGGGTATCTTGGGACCACACAACAAAGTGACCGTTTGCTCCTTGACGTAGATAGTTGCAGTATGAAGCGTTGATGTGCTGATTTATCATTATGTTCGACTCTATATGGACATTCGTCTCGTGTTGTTTCTGGCATTATCCGACATGGTGCTGAAAGCTGCACTTTGGCACACACACGGCCAACATCTCAACTCCACGAGAGAATTCGTTTCTACCATTTTTGTGAAGTGATGGTGTATCCGGAGACTGTGGGCGCATCCATACAACCTTCTCAAGACTGCTGAGGATGACGACCTATCTGGAGAGTCACGTCTCTGAAGTTTGCGCCGTTAGGCCCAACCTATCCTCGATCACGTCTACGATTTCTCTCCAATCTTTCATCGCACCGCCTCCTATATCTCCGCAAGCCAACTCTTTCTCCATTGGCTGCAGCACTTCAAACCAGCCTCCATTCTTGACGCCCCACTCCTCTTCCAAGATGCGCACTTGTTTGCTTGTAATGGGCTGATACCACATTGCCGTATTCATACTTGGTGCGACTAGTATCCTTTTCTTTTGTATACCCCCCTCTTGTTGCGGCCACTGCACACCCGGTATTCTCCTCACAGGGTCAATTAAACCGGTGGTGTCCCAGGCACGAACGACAGAGAGAAGCAGGTTGTCCGACCAGCCTTGTGTAATTTTAGCGAGTTCATTGGCGCTCAAGGGAGCAATAACCATAATGTCAGCCCATCGCCGTAGCTCTATGTGTAAGATCTTGTTGCCCCGCACCCATGGCTCTCTCCACTCGTCCTCGTCAAAGTATATCCCATGCACATTTGGTAAGGCTTCTATATCCTCTAATGAGGGCTGTTCCCCACTTTGGCCCTGTAGGAAGTTTGTTGCGGCAGCCGTGAATATAAGCCGTATTTGTACATTGGCGTGCTTTGCAAGCGCGTTGATTATGTTTGGTATTTTGATGGTCGCCACCGATCCTGAAGCGCACAAAAGGACATGTATCTTGTCATCGTGATGGTCGAACGCAAACGGATCAGCTTCTGGTGGGTCTCGTACTTGATGTTGGACAGGCCGAATATTGAGGGGTTTGAGGTCGCGTATGTCTGCAGTCATGATGCGCTGTTAGATGTTAACGCAATATGCTGTTAGTGTATAGGCAAAGACATCTGCAGTGTGGATGTCGAGTCTCTGTGGCGTGTCGGCAACATTACAAATGCCTATCACCATGCTCTAGCGAGACAGTTGATATGAAGTTTGACGGACGCTAACTCGCTTAGTTTCGGATCACCCGCTGCAAGGCGTGTCAGCACTCTCGAGCAACCGTCCTTCCAAGTCTAACACCAACATGATAATATATCATAAATCGCACAAACTCGTTATTGTATAACTGAACATGTCTGGTTTTTAAACTCATACGAACAGTATCCTTGTGAGACACGGACAAAAAGCCATCGCTTGCCAGAACTCTTACCTCCGTTTCCTCCAGTCTCAAGTACGCTGGTGCTAATGCGCTGTAATTCTTCAATAACGGACGTAGCCAATGAATGATTGAATTGCTTCATAAGACGGTCCGTTTACCAGGCAGTAACATATCAACCCTGTTTCCTCTGCAAACGTGTTGCGGAGTACATACTATGAGCTCATGGAAGGCGGGGCTATGGGTCATTGGTGTCACGGACTTAACGCAACGTCCTTGCCATGACGCTGTTAGGTCCGTCAAACGCTGTCTCTTTACAGACGCAATACACCTGATTTCGTCCGCTCTCCCGCTCAGGTCCCATTCTGCTACTATTTGACCGAGCAAATTTGGCCGCGTAATATACGCAGTACGTTCTCGTACCAAGCAAAGGTCGTATATATCGACTAAGGAATCGTGTCGTCACAAGATAAACAATATTCACAGTGCGCATCAACAACGACTGCTCAAAGAAAGCTTCATACTACTCACAATGTCTCTTCCCACCGCTCCGCTCGGTCGCAATGGCCCCCAGGTCAATCGTCTGGGATTCGGCCTGATGGGACTATCCATGTCATACGGACCACCAAAACCAGACAATGAGCGCCTCGCTCTCCTCGATCAAGCTTACGAACTAGGAGAACGTTTTTGGGACAGTTCTGACTTGTGAGTCTACTGCAAAGCTTTCTATGGTCCCCGATTTACCAGTGCTAACATCACCTTTAGGTACGGTGACAACGAAGACCTGCTCGGAAAATGGTTCAAAGCCAACCCATCCAAGCGCGCAGACATATTCCTCGCCACTAAATTCGCCATCAAGAATGGAGGCGCCGAAATTGATTCTTCCCCAGAATACGTCAAGGTTGCCTGTGAGAAATCACTGGAGCGACTGGGTACTTCATACATCGATCTCTACTACTGTCACCGCGTGGACCGGAAGACACCCATTGAACTTACTGTGCAGGCCATGGCCGACCTTGTCAATCTCGGAAAAGTGAAGTATCTTGGGCTTTCTGAAGTCAGCTCAGACACCTTGAGAAGGGCACACAAAGTCCATCCAATTGCTGCCGTGCAAGTCGAGTATTCACCCTTTGCACTGGAGATCGAAAGCAAGCAGATTGATCTGCTCAGGAAGTGCCGAGAGCTGGGTGTCGCCGTCGTTGCATACTCGCCACTAAATCGTGGAATGCTGACTGGAGCTTACAAGAGCCCCGATGATTTTGAGGAGACTGACTTCCGCCGCGTTGCACCTCGATTCAGCAAGGAGAACTTCCCAAAGAACCTGAAACTTGTCGATCGCATCGTGGATATTGCGAAGGCAAAGGGTGTTACGCCAGGACAGCTGACTCTGGCATGGCTTATGGCACAGGGTGACGATATCTTTCCCATCCCAGGCACTACTAAGGCGGAAAGACTGGAAGAGAACGTGGCAAGTCTCAAAGTGCAGCTGACCAAGGAAGAGGAGAAGGCTATCCGAAAGGCGTGCGATGAAGCAGAGGTTGTTGGTACAAGGTACCCTGAGTTTTTCATGCAGACTTGTTATGCTGATACTCCGCCTCTGGAGCATAACAATGGTACGGCTACGAGTGGAAGCGGCGTCAAGCCTACACATTCGGCTGATATCATGGGCGGCACCTGAAATGACAATCCATGTCAAGTCTGGGCCAGTAAAGAGCGCGTTACTCGACCCAGTACCTCTCACGTCCAAACCCCTATATTCCATGCGTTTCTTGCACAGTCCAATAGTATAAAAAAGCGCCGAAATCCCAATAGAAAAACTTCATTTCTCAAACTCGTTCTGCAATACGCGTGATAAGACAATGCTGCCTTATGAATACCGCATTCCACGTCTTCAAAGGACCATCATGTGCCATATGTATCTCGAAATTGCGCAGTATCTCTGGAATAAACTTGTACATCTCTACCAATGCAATCTAAATCTTCACACAAGAAGTCAGCACATGTCAATATCAAGAACCCATTTTCCCCCACCACTTGTAAGATAAAAGCAAAAGGTGATTCCAACTTACATCCTTGCCGACACAGATCCTTGTGCCCGCACCAAACGAAAGCAAATTCTTCTACATCTCAAAATTCATAGCCTGGCTCTCGAGCCACCGCTCCGGGCGGAACTCTGTTGCGTCGTTGCCAAAAACCTCGGGATTGTACTGTATCGTATGCGGATTGACGCCGACAACGTAGCCCGCGGGGATACGCTGACCCTTCAGTAAGATACCCTGCGGCGGCGAGACACGAGGCAAGCTAAAGCCGACGGTAGGAAACAGGCGCAGAGCCTCCTTGATACAAGCGCCAAAGTAGGGGAGATGCTTTACCGTTTCATTGTAGGTAACCGGGGTGCTGAGGACGTGTTCTTGCGACTTGATTTCCTGGACCACGAGGCGAATGCAGTGTGGGTTCTTCATCAGACGGTAGGGTTCATGGTCGATACGATCGAGTCGGAGCCTGCCATGAGGCCCGCCCAGGACTCGAGCGTGACGTCGCGGTGTGTGAAGCCCTTGTCGGCACCGCCTGTTTCGACGATGCGCAGCTGCTGCGAGAGGATGTCGGGACGAGATTTTTTTCCTGGGTGGAGCGCTCCATGCGGAGTTGGGTTTGTTCCTTTGCGGCGTCGCTGATGGCTTGGATTGCTTGGAGGTGTCCGACGGTGCCGGGGATGAAGATGGAAAGGAACATGAGCACCTTGCGTATGTAGTTTGGTACGGCGGCAATGACGTATATGAAGGGTACGGCCTTGTCTAATGCGTTGAGGAAAGAGCCTACGTCGCCTCCGGCCTCGAGGTAGCCAAAGCGGTGGCCGAAGAGGACGAAGCCAATGACGTCGTGGGCGTAGAAGTTGAGGAAAGAGCCTAGATTGATTGCTTCTTTCTTTGCAGCGAGCTCTCTCATGCGTTTCGTGAATAGCGTGATGCATTCGTCAATCGCAGTTTCGTTTCTCAGGGCACTGCTCATCTGATAGGCTGGCGACACAATCTTGTGGTGCTTTGTATGTTTCTCCTCATTCGTTTTGCTGAAGAGATCGGCATTTTCACCGAGACCGGTAGGAGTAAAGATATGGTACCTGCGGCGGGCATGCAGCGTCAGCGGTCATTACTTCAGAAACATTCACTATAATAATGGCTTACCAGTCGGTCTTTGGCAGAGGACTATGTGAAGAGTAGATAAGAGGGATCACGCTTGCATCAGCGCAGCTCACTTCTTCTGGAACAATGCCTATGAGCTGGCCGTATTTCTTATGAAGTTTGTTCTGTGCGACTTCCAAGCCGCCTCGGAGCATGCGGTACACTGTGGTCAAAGTAAGACTTGAGCTGGACTGGCCTAGGAAAGAGGGTTGACTGTTCAGCAGAAATCAATTGAAATTCCTACTGGTCATCTGTTAGCATTGGCTTCATGGTGTCAAACAGCAAAGACATTACCTCGTCCATGTTCGGGAAACCGCAGGCCATAGTGGACCAGGCACACGTGCAAGTGGATGGAGTGTGCGACAATAGATGATCTAAATAGATGATCTAAATAACCCAATAAGCAACAAATGATAAAGAAAGATAGGCCACCGTGGTGGCAGACACAAGACTGAGCACCGCCATTATAAAGTGTTGTGTGGGGTTTGGACTAGTCAAAGCAGACGTAGACGTTGTTGACGCTCTTTTATATCGAGGGTACAAGAGCATTTACTATGGCGGTAGGCCAAAGGCTTGTGTGTTAGCCACCAGCAAGGGGGTGTTGCAGATTAGGGTAGAGAAAGAGCAAGAACTAAACTGTATCTAGAGTAGCTTCCGCTGGCTGCCTCATATCTATCTCTGATTAATGGATTGAGTCTCTCGGACGTCCGATGAAGTCAGAGATAAGATCGCCCAACATCACCAGTATTATTATACTTGACATTCAATTGGTTATAGTCAATATAGAGCGAGTGTATCTATCTGTTTATTCTAATTTTATTGAAAATCATATTGCGGTGGTGCTGATATCTCGTAGTAAAGGTTGGTTTCTCTATGTAAAGAAGAGTCTATTTATCGTTTTCAGTATCTCTACGAACAAATCATATGCCGGTAGTCACAACATCTAATCACATCCCGTACGCATGTATATAGCTCTATGTACGTACTGTTACGAGTGCCCTTTCGGTATGTACATGGGCTCGCGTATTGGGTCCGTTTCCGGACAAGACCCTGTCGATCACCATCAAGCGAAAGGTCGACTGGTATTGTTAGCGAGCGCGCAACAATTCCGTAGTGACTGAGACATAGTAGTTGTGATAAGGTAGACACAACATGTAGTAGAGTCGTATTCGGAGACTGGGCTTAGAATAAGTATCAATATGATGTGAGCAGGAGAAGTCTCCATCCAAAGTCTGCGAGGTGACGCGGCAAACAGGGCCGTCCCTTGACCGACCGTCTACTTAAGTTAGGATCTAAGCATGGTATGTAGCCATCAAACTCATGATCTGCCGTTTACTAGTAGCGACAACCTACGTGCTTTGTGTACCTTTCCAAGTCTTCTCTTGCTTTTTTTTGGGGGGGGGGGTGTGGACTGTTGACCATTTCCGGTGCAACTAGTACTTTACTTACGGACGTAGTACGTACTAGGTTATGTAGTACTTCGGAAGCAAGTCCGTGGCGCTCTCGCAGTGCATGACAAACGCGGACATTCTAACTGCTCAGCACGGCAAAACCTCCGAGTTCTATCGCAGGGCTTACACTAACGTTTTAATGCCCTCGTCCGCTTTCGCTCCCAACCTTCCGGGATGTAACCAACGAAAAGACCTTCTCGCCAGCCCAAAGGTAATCATGTGGCCGCCAAAACCCAATTTTTTCTTGCTCTCCCTTTCTGAGCAATTTTTTTATGCGGCACAATTGGGCCCCCACTCTTCCCTCCCTTTGACCCTTTAACATGCAGTACGACCGAGTGAACCTTGTATCGTTGAGCCTCCAAGGATCCGGGTATGTGCATGTGTTACACACGCTCGGTCTGATGAACCGTGTATGGAAAACCTAATCTTAACAGTGTGTAGCGATGGAGGAAGGAGGGGTCTCGGGTGTTTTTTTCCACGGTCAGCAGACGTCTATGTACCATGGGCGTTTGTACCCGCCCGTAAAGAGTGTTGATCGATCTCAGAATTGAGCAAATGTCGTACGACTCGAAGTTTGGCCATCCATGTATTAGATCGGGTTCAGGTGTGGATATGGCTCGGGGAACGGGGAAAATATCGAGCCACCCAATCCGGCAAGTGGAAGCGTTGGGCAACGACGGGGCGCAGATCGGAGACTCAGCTCTTTTCTCTGGACGGCATGTGATAAGTAATCACGATATTGTGGCAGTTCCACCACTACAGGCACGTACACACGAGTACGAAGTACTTGCAACCAGGTGTTTTATTTTAAAAAAAATACTCCTCTACGATGAGCAATGTTCACATCGATCGTCAAAGGATCATCTGTCTTAATCGTGGCAAAACGTTATCGGTCTCGTCGCACCCTCTAGTAAACCAATCTCCGCACGGCAAGACATTCCCAAAAACCCACGTTTTCCCATTGCTTTTACCTGACCGGTGCATGCCGAGGTCGATCCCACGGGTCCGGGCAAATCCGCGCCAACCACACATCGCGGAGTCTTGCCCCCCACCCCCCCTCTCAAAGACCTTACTATATCACCAAAAACAAAGGGCCCACAGAAGATGCTTTCAGGGCCATGCGCGAGCCCGACAGAAGCGGACGCGTATATACTTACTACTATATGGTATAGTATTGTGGTATGCCATCTACGCATGTAGAGAAGTAGGCCGAGTGTACCGAGCATTGGCAGGGCTCAGGATCACGCCAAACGCCACGCCACGCGAGATCGATGGAGATATTGCCAGAGTAAAGTTTGAGGGGCTCGAGGTGCATATGGGTGTGACTGATCGCGTGCCATGATACACTAATCAAAGAGCGCTACCACTCAACAGCAAGGACTACCCTAGGTAACACGACGTAGGTAAACGCGTTGGGAAAATATCATCATGAGTTCTTCTATAGAGTCAGACAGGGTATCTTGAAAACCCCCCAATTAGGGTACAGTAGTGCTGTTCAAACCGTCCATCATTCCTGCAGTCCCTGTTTCCTGCGTCCCATATGCACACCCACCCATATACCGCAATCCAATGCAGGGCATTAACCTCATGCTTACCCGTGTGCGAACGGTGCAATGTCCAGGGGCTGTGAAGGATATACTAGTTACATCATCCAAATGCGCCGATCGTCGTCGGGTGGACTCGCTTGTATGCAAACAAGGCGAGGGCGACCGAAGGAAGGAAGGAAAGCCAATAGACCAACCAGTAGAGTTGAGCAATCTTACTGTCTTGATCGCCATTTCAGCGTCCACTGGAAGCGAGCAAAACTCTCAGCTTAGCTTACAAACATGAAAAGACATCGATCGCAGATAGCAACCTTATTGTAATCGAACAGGAGAAGGAAAGCCGAAAAAAGTAACGATAAAAGAGTCAAGAAGGCAATCTTACAAACAGCCGCCCTATGCTAACGTTTTTTTTGCTTTGGCCTGGAACCCCACAGAACGCCACAGTCTGCGACTGGATGCATGGAGTAGGAGAAGCGATGCGATGGTCGACAAAAAGGGTGTCGGAGGAACAATAAAAACGACTCAGGATGAGCCAATAGGCTGGATAGTGTTTAACGAATCAGGACAAGTTCGGTTACGCTGAGGCGGCAGCGGCGGCATCTAGACCACGTAGCTGAGGAGCATATTTAGGGTGCTTGATGAACTTGGGTACCGAGTCCTGAGTGGGATTAGCTGTGGGCTGAAAAGACGGCAAGTACAGAAGAGACTTACACTGGACATCAGCTTGAAAATGGATTGTTGTGCCTTGTCAAAAAGCGAGGCAACTTCGTTAAGACTTTGCAGCATAGCGGCATCGTCTCCAACAGCACGTGTCATGCGAGTGGCTAGCTGCGTACGAAGGCTGTGGTCAATGTTCAACTCGTTGGGTGAGCCAGGCGCTAAGAATGCATTGTACAAGCCTGTGGATGGTTAATGCATGGTCATAGAATAAGAACCCTCAAACTCACCATAAGCAGCAGCGAGTGTTTCACGAATGACCTCGACCTTGTTTTCTCCCTTTTCGTTGACGGCATCCTTGTACTGCTTGTTGAACTGCTGGACCTCGAGGAAGAAGGAAAGGTTCTCCTCACACATGGTCTCCTTAAGGAACTCGCGGTATAGAAGACGCCAGGACGGGTTGCGGATGATGACGTTGGTGCGGTTGCTGTTGGAGTCACGGGTAAGGCCATCTCTTGACTTGACTGCCATGTCTCCACCTGATGGTACTTCCTCGAGGAGCCATCCTGCTACACGCTCGCCGTGGTTAGTGATGTAGTAGTGGACTTGCTTTGATGGCTGGAATTGTTGATCCGAGTTGCGAGGGTCGACAGGAGCAATGAGCTTGAGCTGCAAGAACAGTGATCCAACCTCAACAGCCTCACGGGGATCAACCATGGTGGAGCAGTCCATCAGCCACTGTGCGGCGTTGCGGCCGTTGAATGTGTACTCGTACTGACGCTGCGAGTTTGGCCGATGCTTTACCAACTTGACGCCAATATCGCACTTTGAGAACTCATGTATCGAATCAGAGTCTGACTGAGTCTCGTTTGCAGTGGTACCAACGAAGCGGCGGAAGATGATCTCGACAGTCTGCTCGTCGTGGTGTAGCTTGTCAGTTTCTGTGTTGCGCTCAAGGACGACAAGTTGGCGTGGGTTCCTGTTGGATTCAATTACAGCCCTGACATGCGCTGAAGCAATACCGTTGCGCGTGCAGAATCGCTCGAGAATGTGAATACCCTTGGGCGTAAGTTGCCAGACGGAGTTCTTGTTCATGAAATCAGTTTTGCCTTCTACCGATTCAATGAACTTTGCTTCCAAGAATCTCTGGCAGACTGAGCGAGCCATTTCCTTAGCCATGGAAAAGGTGGTGGTAGTGGTTGTGGTGACGACACGTGATGAGTCCTTGGGGTCTGGCATGCGGTTGGATTGAGAGAATTTGAGGGATCCGAGGTTGGTGATTGCTTCATCTGATGTGAAGGTGTAATCGATCATCCTGAAACGCACTCGGTGGGCTGTGAGGGGAAGCGAGACCATTAATGTTGCAAAAAGATCCTTGAAATCCTGTGTTGCGGGTTAGTTGAGTTTTCAAATTACTTGCAATCCAACAAGGCGGAAGAAGGCACAGCTGCTCAATGTCCGGCAGTTCAGTCGAAAGAAGGCGAGCCATGAACCGAGAGAAAGCGACAGCCAAGCCATTGTTGTTCTGACAGCACATTGCTCGCTTCACCAGACCCGCAGCTACAGCGAAGAGTGCTCATCGCAGTCGAGCGGCTGGTGCATTTTGGCCGTAAAAAAGACAGTGACGCCTGAAATGCTCAGTGGGTTCTTCAGTGCGAATGAGCCATTTTTTGACTTTGGCGAGCCAAGATGTTAACTTCGGCACCAGCCCACGTGGGCTCGCCACGTGGTGGACTCGGCAAAAACAGCGACCGAGAGCATCAACAGTAATAGACTATGGTACTCACTCTTGTGTATGGCCGCTCATCGTCCGTCATGCGGAGCAGGCGTGAACTTGTTTGATGCATCTTGTCAGGTTTCTGTGCTTTCAGTCTCAGTGGCTGGCGTGTTGTGGTCGTCGCCTCTTGAGCAATGACGTCGCCGTCGCGGTGGGTGCTGGGAGCAGGCTCTCGGGCGGCTGCAAATTCAGGACCACGGGCAATGGATTGAGATGGGCGTGGAGCGCCAGTAGGGTGGAAGAGCGAGTCTGCAGGGCTCTTTGAGGCGGAGGAGGAGGTGGAGGGCGAGCGGGCTAGTTCGCGGCTGCCTTTGCGCAGCAGAGGAAAGCGCGAGAGAGTGTAGCGGCGGGCGTGGTTGATGGAGCGGGACGAAGATGAGGACGAGGAAGGCGGGGGGCGGTCGCTCCTGGCTGCTGAGAAGGAGTGGGAAAGAGCGTCCGCTGGTGTAGAGGCAGGTGCAATGGGCTGGTGGTCGCGGGCGTCTCTGTGGCCGTCGTTGTGTAGTGTTGGTGATGCGGCGGCGGCGGGGGAGTGCGAGGACTCGGGAGAGAGGGCGGGTGTGGCGAGGTTTGGGCTGTCAGGCACAGGAGAGACAGACGATGGAGAGGGAGGGAGCGAGGTGGTAGGGAAGGGCATGCCGAGTAGAAGATGTTCGCGGAGAGGTAAATCGCGGGCCTCGCTCGCTGGAGGGCAATGTGTGGGTACCCTAGCTGGGATTGGCCTTTGTCTCTGCCGCTCGAACAGTCGCTCACACCGCCGTGCTAAGACAGCTAAGAGAACCTAGCATGGCGCCGAATTAGCCCTGGATCCGGGCCATGACAAAGGCTCTAGCCACGCCCGCCTCCTAGTCGCATACGAGACACATGGCCGCCTGCACGTCCGCCGACCATGGGAATAGAGCACCTGGCCGTGGGCTTCCACGAGGCATCCCTGCACTCTGCCGCCCCCTGTCCAGGCCTGCGAGACGCTGTCCACGGCCTCGCCACAGGGTGTCCGTTCCAATGGGTCCATACTTACTTGCTACTATCGTCTGTATGTATGTTGTATGTATGTACATATATATGTATGTATGTATGTATGTATGTATGTACATACAATAAACCATGTGCATATGTACCAATACGCTACCTGCCTACCTACCTACCTTCCCTATATGTAATGTATATACAGTAGTGTATATACATCCATCCTCTCAAATCACTACACGCAGCCACGCGAGACCCAAAGACGCCTCTACTCTATTGAGAGGACCCGTCTCCCACCACATGGCCTGACACACCCAGCTGCCTGTCCGCTCTGCATCGCCGTTGCTCCCACCTTGCCAGGACCCGTTCCCGCGTAACCTTTGTGCTGGCCAACGACCCTTTAGCTCGGCCCACGACACCGTAGTACACTCGACTACAGTAGTTAGCCTCTCCCCCCTTCTCTTCCCTTTCTCGCTCTCTCTCTATCTCTCTCTGTGGTGTGGGCAACACGACCCACGTCCACACGCGACGCCGCGGAACATTGTTGTTCAGAGGGCCAAGACATGCGTATAGTCGACGCCGCACCCTTAGACGCACCCACATGTACGTGGTTAGATACAGACACATGTAAGTACGTACGTACCCAGACGTGGTCAGCGTGGCTGCATGGCTTGCGATGCAACAGGCGCCGGGCTTGTCGGCCAGACTCCAATGGTTGAACACAACCTGTGCCCAATCACACCTTGGCCTGCACCACAGCAACCATGCATTGTCGTCATCACCTCTGAGCAGACTCGGCAGATCTGCGCCCTATCTACCTCATGGTCGATCAATGCCTGATTACAAGCTCGGAACACTGCCAGTGGAGATTGTCCTGTTTCCCAGCCTGCAGCCTGGAGAACAGACGATGTGCCGCCATTCCACGTGTGCAACCCCACCTCGAGGCCCTCACGCCTCGTTGGCCTGCCATGCGAGACATCCCTCCTTGGCCGTACGCATCTGCATCCATCTGCATCCATCTGCATCCATCCGCCTACATACGTGCCCACCTGCGTGTTACATTACATAGGCCCGCACTCCTGTCCGTGTAATCGCCCTGGACCCTTCATCCTTTCAGCCCCCCTTCCCCTCAACCCCCGACTCCTGCCTCTCCTCCTCCGCTTGCCTCTGTCACCCTCGGCGTCGCTCGGACTAATCACCGACCGCTCGCAGCGTCATCGCCACAAGCCTCGGACGCCTTCACGCATGCGGTGAGTAAGCAGTGGGCTGCCCATCTCTTCGGACCCGACCACCTGTCGCACCTATCATATCGCGGACCGCGCCACAGTCGCCCAAACACTGTCCATCCCTCAGGGCCGTGACCATCTGAGCGCGAGGCTACACCAGACGCCCGGAAATAAACGCCCACAGCCCACTTTAGGGTTTCAGGGCACCCGCGGGGCCCGGCATAGTTAGGCCCCCGACGAGGCAGAGAGCATATCTTTTTCTACTCTCAGTCAAGATTGCTCTCCCTTGTTCGTATTTATATACTTACTTACTACATTCTCCTACACTGACTATACTACTCGCGCCACCACTGACCCTGAGCTGAGCCCACAGCATCCGCGCTATGCAGCTATCTCTACTCTAGCGCATCCGAGGTGACGATGATGCTGATGATGATGATGATAATGATGATGCAACAAACTATGAAGCCCTAGTAGTTCCCCCCCTTTCCCGTCGCGTAACTTTGGCGACTTGGACACTATGCGGCTTCAGCATCCTGCGCTGCCAAATACCCTCTAGCTGCTGTGATAAACGAATATCGTCATCCTTGTTACCATTGACCCACATTCCATGGTCTGGGGTTGCGATTTCTTTTTTTTTTTTTCCTTCAAGGGGTTTTTTTTTTGAAGCTTGACCGCCCTAGCCGCAAGAAAACTGACTCTGGCAGTTTTCTTTGACAAGATTCCCATAGTGCTTCCAAAGGGAAAAGATCTTCGGTGCTTATGGTGACGAGTCAGGCGTGACCTCGTCGAGATAATGCCGTGGCTGCCAGGGGTCACAACACGTGGCAACCGATTTCTTTTGCCTAGCGGCCGCTGGCGTGAACGATGTAGCATAGTGTAACACCGACGCGTCTGCCCATGCTTTTTTCACTCTGAGAAAGCTAGGCATTCAATTCGCATCGCATCGTGAACGCCTCTCGCCAAAGCCTTTCAGCACTAATGCAAGGCTGGCCTGCAGCACCTCCTCATCACCATCACCACCAATAAGCCGCCCTCGTTGGCCTTTAACAGAAATTGTCAGCATGGCTTTCGACGTGCTCTTTCTGACACGCTTCTCATTTGCAGCTTGTTTCAACAGGGGTCTACATGATGCCCTATGCGGCACCTTGCCGAGATTGAGCGCGTCTCCTCACGCTGCGGTCCTGAAGACTTTTATCTCCACCCATATTGCCCTGGTTATTGCTCTCGTCGTCTTTTTTTCTTCGACATGGTCATTCTCTCGGGTGGGGCGGCCGGTGCATTTCGCCCGGCGCACAAATGTCGGTGAGACGACCTACACTCGTGATACAAATTCATGGGAGCAGGGAGGGGGTTTCGCCGATAGACTCATCGATCTCGACAAGTCATGAACCAAAATCAGGATCTTCAGCTCTGGCTGCCCCAAGACTTCGGCTCCTGACAAGGCGCGAACTGGACGCTCGGTGATGCCGGCTAGTGTTTCCAAAAAGCGAGACGGTTATGGCCAGCTAGCACGTGATGGTGCCGCGGCTGCATTCGGAACACATTCTCGAACCCGATAGCTCAAAGTATCGGGACATCGCGCATGATATGCTTCAGCTATGCAGAGCGTGGCGTCTCCTAACATTAGTATGTAATCCATTCCTCCCAACTGTGTCAGTGCGACCGCCTGTCCTCGCGATATCTGACTCGGGTCGCCGGCTTTATGTGGAGCACGTCGGCTGCTATACACCGATGGCCCCACGATGCCCTTCATGCCTTGAACCTCCTCAAAGCACTCGGGCATTCTCCAGCGCCCGAAAATGGTCGTGCGCTGTCAAGGAAGCGCCATCAAAGAAGCGCCTTCGAGAACAATTCTTGCCGTCTTCCCGCACCACGGATGATGCGCTATGTCTCCTCAAATCCAGGCTGAACTTCGGGAAGGAACTCCATGGAGCAGTAGTCTGGGATTGATTTGCGTCCACTAACGGTGAACTGACTAAGGATAGCCGTGAACAATTTTTTTTCTCCCGCCATGACCGTTACTCGCCACAATCCACACACAATCCACAATCGCAGCAAACAGAGTCGGGGGACTGAGCTTCTGTGATAGCTCATCTCGTCGGTTCATTAGCACCTAACATGACACAACCTATACGAGGATGAGAAAAGTTGTCGCAATCATGCGGTAGCAACGCTAAGAGCCATCGAATCACCACATCATGGAGCTTGACTAGTGGGGGACTGGTTTATGTGTGTCTATGTGTGGGGGTACCCGTTAGTAACAGGGGAGGAAGGAGCTGGAGAGTTGTCTCGGAGCTTTAGCAACAGCCCGTCACTCACGGCTACACCACGTCCGCCCGTAAGACACATGGCCCAGTGCACGTACACGCCTCAACCCTAGGTCGTCCCTTTATTGTGACTGGACCAGTGCAAACCCACCAACTGACCTCTTCACCGCCTACACTATGGATCCAAATTACTCTTGCGCATTCTAGCCGCACTATCTACCCTCCGCGGGCATATGGGCTTCCTTCACGCAACCATGAGTACGCACAAAGAGACGGACAAATATTCAACTCTTGTCCGTCCTCTCCTGCCTTTCGCGGCACCATCCCCACTGTTCCGCGATATCTCCACGGCATCGCTGATGCCGCTGTCGTTGTCTCGACTCATACTTACAGTCGGTAGTAGGGCTAGAACATAGAGGTGCTGCCTGTCGCAATCTGTGCAGGCCACCAGCCAAACGTTCATGCCTACTTCCACCACTTCGGTATCACTATAGTGCCATCATCACGCTCTTCGTACCGCCCCGCGGCCCTCATAATAAACCCGTTATACACCACAAACCCTAGCTTCGGCAATCGCCAAGGGGCAGTTGCTGCCAAAACCAAGGCCGTTTACACGCTCTACGCGACGTGAGCGACGAAGTCTTTGATAATTATACACCAGGCGGGATTGGGACAATCGAGTACTTCAACGCGGTTAACAGCAACATGGTGAGGGTGACGAATATTTGACTTGATCTAGTTCGTAATACACACACAACACTAGCATGCGACTGAAAACGGTCCCCACTCAAACGGCTATTGCCAGCTTGGGGAAAGCGCTCAAGGATGAAGCCTCAGCATTGCGGTTGTGGGCACTCTTGGTCTTGGAAGGTACCATGTTCGCAAATACTCATGGCAACCGCCCCTAGTGCTTCAGAAGCCGGCAGCAGATGTGCCAAGTGTTCTCATGTCGCGTCAGAGCACCCCGTTCGGCTGTAATTGTATGTATTACAGAAGACAGAACACGCATAGTTTCCATGTTATGTTATGTCAATGTAACATCAAAGCTATATTACTTTGGAACGAAGGAAGCCGTACTAGTGGCGCAGCATCCAAGCGTCTGTAGGTAGGGTCTCGGCGCGCCACGGTACCGTACCTGAAACTCCACCCGCGAGATTACCTGCACCGCTTTCAAGAGAGAATTTCCCAATACGTGCACACGGGTCACTTTCCTCGTGATTTGAGAGCGTTGACCATGTTTGGTCGAGCAGTATTTAGAGCGTCTGCGGCCAATTACTACACATTTGTCTTGTGCCCAGACTGCCATACACTTCCCACTTCCCACTTCCCAGTTTTTGTCTCTGCCAAGTAACGATGCCACGAGAGGTGCGCCACAATATCTCGTGTTAGAGAAATTATAAAAGGAGCAGTATGTGATAAGCAGCTGCACCCTCATCACACTGGCTATATCACAGAACGGAACATGGTATTCCGTTGCGTAATGGCGTTTTGTAGCTTCACTATTGGAAGGGAAACTCTAGCGCGCATGCAATAGCCACGTGGGCAGAGTCAAGGAAAGTGTCATAACCTTGTTAATGAGGTACATGTATACTCCGCGGCGTTTGGTCACATTCCCACGGACCGCTAGAGTTTCCTGTATTTGACACTGCAAGATTCAAGACGTATTCGCCTAACACCGTAAATGACCAGGGTTCAACTGCTATAGGTGCCCAACATCAAATCTTGCACGTGTTCAAATCTCCAGCTATCAAGCTCAGGAGAAAAAAAACGCCTCTAGATCAGAGGACTCATGTATCTTGGGGATTTTGATTGAAGTAACATGACAAAAGTCCCATTGCCAACCGTTGTTTTTGTTGGCTTTGAAGTAGTCAAAAACGCAAAGCAGCGGCCCAACAACGGCGATGCAATTTAGGATCAAACAAGGGGAATAGCCCAAGCTCTTCGAGGCAACATACGCGTAGACTGCGCATCGTGTCCATGAAAAAGAAAGGATTCGCGTAACTAGATGTACCACTGCAACTTGTCAAACAACCCAATCAAGTTCACGTAGTCAGTAGCGCCACTCTAATATGGCCACGACCCTAATACGGTTATGATCTGCTTCGTAACATCAAAAAGGACTAATTTTCATTCGTAAAAATGTGGGCGTAGGAATACCTAGAAGTGGACCATCATACTATGTACTTCGTAACCAATGCCCATTACCATGCTCTAACAACGCTGATCCTGTTTGTACCATCAATAAAGCCCCTATGATATACCATTATACCCCAAAAATAAAATACCCGCTCGACTCTCCTTTCTCTGCCTGGGGATTTCTTACATCCTCAAGATTTACAGGCCTCGCGTAGCGTACTATACGAGATCCGAACTGTAGGACGATAATGCAGTAGGTACGTGAATTCGTAAGTTGGTATACGAGTAGGACAGTTTGGTTAGACAGGAACGTTGAAGCGCGATGTGGACCCTGACGTGTACGTAGTCGAGTTCGATACGTGATGCTCTAAGCACGTCGACGTCTCACCTCTTTATACACTTAGCTGTAGTACTTTTCTTTTTCCAGCAGTATTTAAAGTCAAGCTGTTTAGTCTAAGACTCGCATAAGCGTTTAGTAGATCGTATATTGCGTTGCGTACGTTAAAATATCCATCGTCATGATACGTCTTCACAACTATTGGAAAGGACATGTGCACTATCGAACCACGCAGTCACAATTCATCAAGCGCAACTAAAACTTCCTTGCATACTTCAAAACCTGTCGTGATGATGTGTGCTACAATAATATCGAAACGTGATACCATGACACTACCACTCGTAAAGTCCAACATGATGAAAAAAAAATACATAACTCGGGTATCGCGCTTGCCCAAACCGAACAGAAAAACCCCCAAACAACAAAGGATGAGGAAGATAAAATCAAAATAGAGAGAGTTGTGCCGGAGACCTTCAGGCGTAAGCCAGAGGTGGCGATCGGCATTGTCGAAAAAGGATGAGAGAGAGAGAGAGTTGTGCCGGGGACCTTCAGGCATAAGCCAGCGGTGGCATTCGGCATTGTCCAGAGAGGAGTGATACCCAGAGAGGGGTGGCTGTCAAGTCGGCGATGAAAGAGTGGCATCCGGACCTGCCAACAAGTTGCTACCTAGCAGTTCGCTGGAGCATTCTTGATCTCGCTTGTTGACAGGCTGTCAAACCTGATGTTTGGCTGAATAGCAAAAACACCCAGGTGCCTGTACTCGATATGGTAAAGCGAGTTTGGGCTGAGATTGACGTAACAGCGTTTCTTGAACGCGTCACAACCGGATGCCACTTTGGCTAGACGGACCTCTTCCGTTTGGACCTGCTCCTGTGAGTTTTCGCAGAGCATAAAAAACTTCCACTGCCAAAATGGCTTCCTGTCTTGAAGCCGCTGTCCACCGAAACTCGTCACCAGCCGGAGCTTGACGCATTCTTCTCCGCCCTTGCCCCGGTACTTTCCGACAATGACTACTGGATGCCCCTCTGGAGAGGACGCATCCTGGCGTTGCCAGAAGATGGAGCTTGGAGGAGGTACACCGAGGTATAAAACCTGCCCCTCTGTAAGCTTGTCGAAATCCGGTGTTGTTGCCGGCTTGTCGAGGGACTTTGGTGGGGAGCCACTCCGCCAGTTGTTTGCGGTTGCCCATGAGTTCTGGGACTTTGGTGGTGGTGGTGATGGTGATAATGATGAAGAAGAAAACGATGAAGAAGAAGAGGAGGAGGAGGAGGAGGAGGAGGAGGATCGACTTCTCCAGGAGTCGGGTGATGGTGAAAATGATGGTAATGATGATGAAAATGAAGAAGAGGAGGATGATGAGGAGGGTCGACTTCGCCAGGAGTTGGCTGATGGTTCAGCCTCACCCCACCGTTTGTTGCCAGAGGATGCCATTATGATGTTAGCATGGAATGAGAAGAGGATTTATGAATGATGTACTACGGCGATGATACGATAGTATGAATGATGAATGATGATGGCATTGAAGTTGTCTTAATTCTGGCATCGATGGTGGATGGATGAATGGAGGGAAAGAAAGAATAGAACAGGACTTTGTCCATGATATATGAGACAACGAGGATGCCTACTGAGATTGGAGAACATTCGAGGAGATATGATTAGCCAGCATCACTGTTAGGTACTGGTAACCTTTCACGACTATTAGAGAGTACGTGTACTTCTGGCACGTGAAGTGACATCTGACTTTGACATGAGCGAGTAGTGGTTGGTCAAATAAGCAGACGATCTTGCAGTCTAGAACTATCGATGTATCGTATATTGGGAGAGGTTTGAAGGATGACTCGAAGGATATAATGGTATATCGAACAGGATGTCTCTCGAACATCAAACGCTTTCTGGTTTAATTGCCTTGAGACTACGTGTGTCATATTGAGAACCACCACATACGTAGATATATACAAAGAAAGAGGAACGTTGCTATGGGGACGCTGAACTTCTTCTTGGATCAGTCAACCGCTGATACCTGCTGCGTCATTTCACCATCCAATCACGATTGACAAGTTAGTACAAAAGGCAGGCTCATAGGGCCCTCGTTAAATTAAAACTGTCAGACTCCCAGATTGCTACATCAAAAGCTGGGACATCATGCAACGCCAGTGCTCAATCATTCATCGTACATAGAGCGTCTTATAAGCAAATCTTCATAATGTATTCTTAGTAAAAATACGTCATGAGTGCTCTGATGATACTGTTCATAGATATCTGGACTGCTATCCTTCCAATAACAAGGGTTCAAATGTATATCGCCTTCTTGTTTATTGGTCAAGTCGGAAAGAACTAAGTCGCTATTACTTGAAACATCTTGGAATGTGCTGAGCGAAGTTGTTCATGTGCATGGGGCCAGGAAATAACGCATAACCCCTTTCATATGATAATAGAAAAGAGCACAAATAAGAAGTGACTGCCTAATATTTGTACTCAGCAAATTATAGAAAACCAATATACGGTCCAGTTTATTCGAGAACAATGAATAGGTAAGTAAGCTCTGGAATAAGAACTCGTTATCCTATGCTGCTGCACATCCCATGCCACGTGATACTTTGAATACCACACTGAGGCCTACCTGCTCTAACCCTACTAAAGCCATATTTAACAGAAAGAACGTTCAACCTTTAACATGCCTGGAACTCTGCCAGAGTAGATCAGTAACTTTATAGAAACCTGTGTAACACTCTTATACAAAGGACGCACTAATGTGAGGTAGCGAGTAACTTCAGACTACTATCGGAATTGCATGGGGTAAACCCGAATTTCCCCGCTCAGAGCCTTCTTTCTAATTATTTCAGGCTTACGAATCGCAGCACAGGCACAAGTTTTGTGTTTCCAGGATAGACTACGAACAAAACGATACTATGGCCATTTTGAAAAGGCTCGGTTGACCAATATTGTCAATAAGATATTGCTGCCAAATTTCACATTTTCACAAGGTAGCGGCTTCCTATCACGACTGGAAAGATACACAATTGCAAAAGTGCACTTCTTCCACCAAAGCTCAAAATGTATCGAAAACAGCATAGGGTATGATTGGAACGGCACGTCTCGTCAGCTTGTAGTGGATACCAAATGATGCCCAATAAACGTTGAGTATTATATGAATATTTGGGTTATCTTTAGAAAGAAGGAAGCCTACCATTTGTAGGTACGGATATCTTTGTACTCGTTAGTAGAAGAACTCTACTTGGTCTGTGGTCACATATACGTAATTATGTGGAGATAGCAAGTTCACTTGAGAGTTTCGATTCCAAGGGTTGAGTTCCAAATACGAAACAGACTCGCCAGATTATTCACAAGATCTTTCGAGTATTCAGTGGTTGTTACTTGTGTATATGCGTTAGATATAGGTCTATTCTCGCAGTGCAGACAACTTATAAGATGTCACTATAACAAAAGGCATGTCCTTGAACTATTAGCCCATTGTAAGAAGAGGCATAGTTACTGAGACACCCCTGTTAGAGAACTATTGCAATAGAGTTGCACCTATTCATTCGAACAAACACAACACTCGTTACCTTACATGTTGCATACTTATTAGCGAACATGTTTTTTTCACATGCTTGATGACAATCAACTGTTAACGCGATAAAGAAAAATTCGAAGCAGGTAAGATCAATTTCTCAACGCACACACCAATTAGCAATGATGGCTTACATACTCTGCCAGTGCACTCGCTGAAGCAGAAACAAGTCTCTATACTGTCTACACATGCAAAAGAAGACGAGATGGAGATAAGAGGAGCTTCGACGCACAGACCCCCCCATTTATCTCAACTTTTTGGATAAAAAAAGACAGAGGATATCAACCTCAACCACAACCACAACCACAACCACGACGACAAGGACCTTGATAAAAGCAAAAAGAAAAGATGTTGACAAGAGTGGGATTCGAACCCACGCAGATTTCTCTACTAGCACCTGAAGCTAGCGCCTTAGACCGCTCGGCCATCTTGCCAGATGATATATGAAAGCTCGATATTTTACAAGATTAATAGACCAAACCATAGCCCCCAGCAAAGTTGACAGCCGCAAGGAGCGGGTTGTTAAAAATTGCGTCACCAACGAAAGTGGGGGTGATGAGGGGTAACTAACCCCAAACCCCCGTCCCAGCAGACCTTCACGCCGGGCCCAGAAAAAGCAAAAACAACAACAGAGAAGGGGTCCAGCATCAATGCCTGTCGCGACCACACAAAGTCTGTGCCACTAACCCATCTTTGAAACCACCAATAGAGTGTATACGCGGGCGGGGAGGGCACTCGTCTCGATTCGCAGTAATTAGTGGTAGCCTCCCCTCCCCCTACGCACACGCTCACTAAAACTTCTTACACATGCTCGCTTAACCATAGGAGTCTAGAATCACATCGCTAAACGAATGCGCGTCTCCGAAGAACAAGACAGACGAAACTCTAGGCCTCGGGCGAAAACATGTGTGTATGCGCCACATGAGCGCTTACCCTTTGCGCTCTGCGGAAGAGTCAAGAGTTTGGACTTGTTGTGTGGATATGGCGGTCGGATATACTATCCCGCGTTTTCTCTCCCTGGTATCATTTCGTTTAATCGTCGGGCCGGGGCTGTGGTTGAGGTGTGTGTATGTGTGGATGGCTGGGATGCTGTACCTGGCGCTAAGGGATAAGCGCACCGGTCTGTTTCGCGATAGTCGCGAGATTGTGGTAGTTTGCCTCAGGCCTCGTGCCAAGAGGCGGGTAGTATTCTCCAGCAATTTTCAACTATCAATACTGAGGGGTAAGGGGGCATGTGGAGAAGAAAACAAAACGGTTAGGTATGTTGGGCCGAGCTGAACGGGAAACAACACGATTGGATGGTAATTCGAAAAAAATGTATTGTTGCGAAAAAGCAAAAGAATGGATGTGATAACTACGACATTAGCATCGAGTTGTGCATGTTTTTGCGGATTGAGGGAGTGATGGATTTTCGTTTGTTGTTTTGTTTTGTTTTTGTTCAATGTTTATTCAAAAGAGTTTCTAATTATGTACGACAAAGTACCCAATATCATTCCCCATTCATTGCCACAATTCCACCAAACTATCTTTCACCACTCAGTTCCGCTTCCGCGGCCAATTTACAGAGCAGCAACCATAAATCCGGCGAAAACAGCTGCGAGTCCGAGATCGACCTTGCCAGCGGCACCGCTGGGACTAGGAACACTAGCAGGGCCAGTGGCGCTGGGAACAGGCTTGGGAGTACCAGTCGCGATGGGAGTGGTACCATTTGCGCTGTTGTGACTGCCAGTCGACATGGGAGCGGTGCCGTTTCCGTTGCTGTGGCCGCCAGAGCTAGTGGGGTACATAGGGACCAGAGTAGAGGCTCCAGTGCCGGTAGGCTTAGGGGATGAGCCCGTAGTCATGGGGGCGGTCGCAGAAGATACGTCGGAGGCTGAAAAACAGTATTAGTATGTTGATCTTGATGCCGTCGCAGTTCCTCTTCTACCCTTTCTACACACCGACTGCAACGCGAGATAGCAGTGTACTTACCAACATTGGTATTCTGGCCATTGCAGATATCTGCAAGCGCCGCCACCGCAGCGTCCACATCGTTGGGACAAATCGTGGCAACCATGGACTTCAAGTCCTTGGATTGGCATACCATCTTGATGGTGGCCGGGTCACTGTATTGGCTGGCGGCCGCAAGAAGACAGGCAGGGGGCGCAGCGACAGCGAATTGAGCAAGCGCGAAAAGAGTCGCGGCAAAAACGGTGCGTCCGAGCATATTTATTGATTGTTTTGGGATAGATGATGTCGAGGATTGGATTATTTTTATTAACAATAGTGCAGCCTAACGAGTGAGGATGAGCGAGCGATCCAAAAAAAAAATAACGAATGTACAACAAAGAGTGTAGGTGAAGGAGGAAAGCAGGAGGCGCGTTAAGAAGGTCATCAAAGAGCAGTCCTCAAGGGGCTCGTCTCACCGCGCGTCCGCCAAGATGATAACTGGACGCTTATCTATTTAAAGTCAACGCTAACGGGTCTTGTCAGGAACAAAGTTTCGAAACACGCGCTGATTGGATGTGCTGACCGAATGCCGCAAGGTCAAAGCTCAGAGGCGACGTGCATGCTGTTCTTTCGACTGGTCCAGATGGCAAGTGGTAGGGGCAGTATGGTGATTCAGGTTCGATTTTTGTTGATACAGGAGGCACACTTGAGGCGCCACATATCTTCCGCCAGCTGTTTTCTTATCGCATACTTCAGAAACAATAATGTACAAAGAAAGAAGCTCGCCAGTCCCGAACCGGAGGCGCCAACCTGGGGCGACTAGTGACCAAAAAAAGCTATTACAACGATGTATCCGCAATACGGAGCCTTGTTTTATTTAGAACTCCACAGCCGACGAAAGACCAGAACGGGCAGAGGATCCAATAATGATCCATGTGCAGGCATGCTAATCTATCCCATGTAATGCAGTATGATTCCGAAGATCAGAGTTCAGTTGTTCCATCAGATATCCAATCTGAGAAGCAAGGACCGGTTAGTGGACTATCAAATTGCCCTACCAATGATGCTGCAATGCGCCACAAACTCCGTCGCTAGGTATGTAAAACACAATAATAAGGCAAAAGGTGAGAGTACGACGAGACAGGAGGAGACATAGAGGTCGGGGTTCGTCGTTATAGAGAGCGGGAAGCTTAAATGTAGATCATGAGATATGTATCTGTGGAGGATCATTGCTGCCTGGTCCAAGCATAGATGGTATAGGCTTGCGACGAGCTTTGGCCTGAGGTACGCGAGGTACGCCTTGGATGACGCGCGGTTCCTTCATCAGTGTAGGGTCAAGTTTTGCAGGGACTGCGATATTTGTTAGCAAGCTTTGAGTGAGGGAATGGATACAACATACTCCGACTGACGACAGAACGATAATCGCCTGGAAAGCGTGAATTTGGTGGTGTTGCAGAAGCAGTATGCCACAGGTGGTTGGTCGTGTCTGACAAAAAGTCCACCTTCGATTTGTAGAAGAACGACGACTTTCCGCGGTTGCGCTTCGCTAGAATAACCTCATCAAAGAGTTTGATGGAAGGATCATCGGCTGATCTGCTCTCGCGCTCATGGATGAATTCGTTGAAAGCTAGTCTATGGTTAGCCATTTTTGTAAAAAGGGGGGTTGTAGTTACAAACCTTGTGTTTGCTGGAGTGCAGTAATGTACTGCACATTTTCCACTGGCAGGCTCTTTACAAACTCATCCATCTTGAATTCATAATGCATGCCAGATTTCTTACGCTCTCCGGTAGCCGGAACCAGGTAACGTCGATAAGTGTAAAATAGGCTAGCGAAGCATCGTACAAACGATGCTCGGACCTGATCAGGACGAAACGCCGTAGGGCACACAATGCAAATAGATTCCACACATCGGCTATGGGCATACGTGCTGCAACCTGTACAGGGTTAACCAAAAACATTCACTAAATTTGCAAGTATGCGGAACTTACCAGAACAGCGATATAGACCATCGTCTGCCTTTTCTTCGCAGATGGAACAAACAGCACGATCTTCGTTGGGTCTCCACTGCAAACAATGTCCCTCTTGCCACTGCGTAGTTGAGGTATTGCGAACCTGCTGCACTGCCATACCAGGCATGATGGTTGATGCGGCCAGCGTTGACTGCGCATACACTGACGGCGCATATGAAGAGCTAGCCGCTTTGTATTCTTGGCTCAGGGATGATGTGGACGCACTGGGAGTATGGCCAGTGAACGGCTGAGAAGGGCGCCGAGGTGGAGGCACACGCTCAAAACCAAACTAGCTACGTTAGTCCATGGACGATCAATATATAGAGAACCAAACTTACCGACGAACTTCGCCGACTTGAAGAGTCAAAATGCGCGGATCTCTTCTCCCGAAGGTTAGCCTGAAGAGCATACCCAGAATCGCTGCGCGATATAGGCGTGCCTGGCATGGGCGGAAATACCGTAGAAACAGGAGAGACCTTGGGTGAAGGTGGAGAGTGGTGTGACTTTATGGTTGTTGCTGTTGATGGCCTGTCGTTTCCACGACTCAAGGCACTTGATTGTAGAAAGGCGTTGTAGATTAGGACCTTTGAGCTCGGTGCCCCAAGAACTGTGTTGAATGAGGTCGAGTTCAATCCAACGTAATTCTGTATCGTCAATGGCTGTGCCCTGTGCGAAAAAACCCCAGGGTTTTCAGACGCGAATGTATCGAATGGGAATGCTTCGATCGCATACGCAGGTGGGCCAGTGGGCACGCCGTATTGCGTATGGTGCGGGGCGGACTGCTGGAGCAAGGACATGAGCTTGCGCCGCTGCTGGCGAGGAAGCGCTGGCGGTGGAGGACCATTGGATACTATCGAGTCGGCATCTAAATCAACCAATACATAATCGTCTTCGGGATAATCGGCGGGTTCGTAACGACGTTCGATTCCAACAATGTAAGGACAAGGCGCCTCGATAGTCTGGACGAGACGGGATGGTAGGACGGGGATGAAGACGCCGGTCCATTGGAAAGGGTATAGTAGGTTGGTGATTGCCATGCTCGCAAGATGTAGCATGGCTGTGTGAGAAGAGAGTAGGATGATCCTAGCCTCAGAGAGAACAAATTCGAACAGAGTGATGATGTTTGGGATAGACATGCAGCGGAAAAGGGCGTAGATGTCAATGTTGCGGGACCCCGGCAACTCGTTGATAGCTTCTTTCCGAGCATACATGCGAAGCTCCCGAACAGCTAGTTCGACCTGTGTAACAGAGGTAATCGGACTAAGTGCCTCTGCACATAGATTGACTACGTACCGTTCGAGCGGTTGCCACATGCCTACTCGCGGTGAGCTTGCTGGCACGCGAAGAACCGCACCAGTGGTCATAGGCACGGCGACTGCCTTTAACCACTCTTTCCAGAATGGCGTAAGACTCGCGTCTCGTCCCAATACACCATAAGCGCGTGGGATCCACAGGCCAGTCTCTCCGTCAGTAAGACCTTCAATCTTGGAGGCTGCACCATGTCGTACCGGACGGAGCAGGTCCGTCATGAGCTGAATTTTTTCTTCTACTGCGCCAATCTCATCATCGAGATTCTCGCGTTCTTCAGAATCGGGAGCTACCGAGGGAAGTTTGGTTAGAAGCTGAGACAACTTGGCACGCTCTAGTGCAAGACGCTCGCCCAGGCTGCTTGCCAGTTCCCGTTCCTCAGGATTCATGTGCAGATTTCGCCATTCTTCGCATTGACGCTCAAGGCCTTCGGCAGCTGTGGCATTCAAAGGCAACCAGACAATAAGGCAAATGCCGTAAAGCTTTGATCCATCCCCGTTGGTCATGGCAAATCCGTGCCATTGGCTCTTTGGTCTCTCATCCGAGGAAACGACACTAACATCATTTGGAAAAGCAAACATTGGTACATAATCCGGAAAGGGGTTGCGCTTCTTGAGTTCCTCGACCATGTTCCTTGGCGGATAACGATCCAGTAGAACTGGCTCGTAGCGACGGAGAAGAGGATGCATATCCGGGTCTGGCGCGAAAGGCTGCGGTGCCGGTATTACCGAATTGTACCCTGACATGCGTTTGGAGGTTCGGATCGAGGCTACGTGCATGTCAGTAATCGTCGATAAGAAAAAAAAGGAAAAAAAGGAATATCATCTCGTCCCGAAAGGTAGTTGTGTAGGCGATATGACCTTTTGGGTGCATAGTATGATGCCAACTTACATTGTCTTGCAGTCGACGGTTGTCTCTTCAGGCTGCTTTGCATAGTGGATATGCGCCGCCGGATGCTGCCAACGCCGGAACGAAGATTACCGACACCATCTTCGGGGTTGGCTTGTGAAACGCGCTGAGGTCGGGGGCGCGGCCTAGTGGGGGTAGAGCGAGACTGCTGTGCAACACCAGCAGTGAACTGTATCTCCTCGAGAAATGAATCTCGTTCAGAGGCAAATTTGCGAAGGGCAATGTCGAATTCCTGATCGCTTAGACCAGAGCCGCCAAGCTGCACGCCCTTGATAGTGGCGCTGCTCCGGTTACTCGCCGTCGGCTTTGCGTCTGGTCCAATGATTGTGCTGACTGACTGGCGGTTTTCGCTGAGGCGGTTTGCAGAGCGTGACCGCGACCTTGACCGCCCCCTATCGCGATGGGACAGGCCGTCCTGTGAAGTTGGGCGTATGGCATCCGTCTCGAGGGCGCGGTCCTCTTCGATTGTCTCATCGACGGGCGGTTGGGCCAATGGCGAAGTGACTATGACATTATTCTGGGTGCGCTCATCGTAAACCTGCGATGACTCGATGCCGGAGATGAAGAAGTAGTCGGCGAGCGGGGGTGGTGACTGGTCAGCCGTGGCGGAAGAAGGGGAGGGAGCAGGCGCCATGATGGTAGGTGGGCATAGGATATCCAAGAAAGACTCGTCGACGAAAGAAGGTGGGTGGACTGGACTGGGCAGCCGGGGGCGTGTCGGGCGTTGGGTCGCCTTTGGTCGTCTATGTCATTGGGGATTGGACGCCAGGTCCAATAGGTATTTGTGGTGAGCAGTGCAATGGGTTATTATGCGCGTCCGAGGAGACAAGTGGTGCGACAGTGACCGTCAAATGCAGATGCACCGGCGCCGAAGGGGGAGCCCAACGAGACGATTGACTTGGCTGGGCAGACGTGGCAGGCAAGGCAATGAGGGTGGTTGCAGGGTGGGAAGTGCGGTGAGGGGCAGTGGCAGGGGCAGCAGAGGGTTTGTAGGGGTGGGCGGGCGGTGTTTTGTGAGGCCGGGCAGTGTGGTTGCTGCGGGCACAAGAG